TTAAAAAATATAAATTATTTATAAAGTTTAATAATTAATATAATATATATTAATTTTAATTAAAGTTTATTTAAATAAATTAATTAAACTTTATTAATTAAATATAATTTATAAAATATTTTTATTAAAATTTAATTTATTAAATTATTTTAATATAAATTAATTAATTAATAAATTTTTAATATTAATTAATTATTAAAAATATATCTTTTAAAATATTTAATTAATATTAATAATAATATTAATAAAGTTTAAATATTTAAATAATTAAATATACTAACTTTAAGTTACGACTCGCTCCACTAACCTTTATACCTTTTAAGGGTACAACTATTTAACTATATCCTCTATGTTTCTTTTAATACTTTCCTCGAGACTTGTCCATCCCCTAACTTTTCCCATGACGCGCAGCAAGTCTTCGGCTCGTTTGCGAGGCACGATATTGCTGAGGTCCTCATCGCCCTGGAAGTCCGACGGAAATGTGCGATGTGGGTACAGCTTTCGCATGATGGCAAGGAGTTTGTCCCCATTAACCGGCTCGGCGAAGGCGAAGACACGCTCATTCTCGACTTCTGGAAGAATCGCCGCTGCCACATGCAGCAATGCGGTATCTTGGACGTCCACGAAGTACTCTGAGAAGACAATACCCTGGTAAGCCGAAGTGAAGCTGGGAAGAGGGAGGACGGGAGAAACGTACGGACTGGCAAGCCAGCCAGGGGCTGCCAGTTGCCCTTGAAGAGCTCAACTACTAGAGCAGAGGTAGAAGGGTGACCTTGGTTGGCATAATCAAGGCTTGCCCCGAAGTTGATGTTGGGCAACACCGCGTTCAGCGTGAACCCTGGCTTCTTTTCGCGGACAAACTTCCACGCCTCTCTTTCCGCCAACGTCTTGGCGGCAGCGTACACGGGGTACGCGCGCTCGGGCTCGTAAGGTGGCCCGCGGGTGGCGTAGGCGACAGTCTCGTCGTTCCAGGTCTCTGTCGTCACCGTCACTGGATTATTCGGCTTGGGGATCAGAGCCGACGCCGAGGAGGAAGTCAGCACGAACCGCTTCACGCTCTGTTCTTGCGCTGCGGCTGTGAGGGCGTTGACGGTGCCCTTGATGCTTCCTGGGATGACTGCGTTGGGGTCTGGGTCCATGGTATAGTTCGTCGCGGTGTGTATGACGGCAGACACCCCTGTCAATTCACAAAATCAGGATCGCTCATGCTTTGAGTTTATCTGAGGCTACAGTTCAAATGAACAGGCTTGTTGGTTGCCCACCTACCCTTCACGGCTCCATGGAATGCCTCGTCTTCCTCCATGTCTGGAACAGCGATGAGCTCGAACTTTCCTGGGCCATATTTGCGACTGAAAAGGTCGCTGACCCATTTGCTCTTCTCAACATTGCGTGTAGTCCCGCGCACGTTGTAGCCAATCCTGAGCAACTGGTCTGATATGTTGGACCCGATGAACCCATTGGCTCCGACGACGAGCACTGTGGATCCCTTGGGAATAACGGGAATATAACCTAAAGACATTGCGGAAATAAGGTTTGCTGGGCTGATTGGCACGGTTGTTTAGGGCTCTTAACTATCATTGGGCAATCAATCGCTGTGCAAAGTTGCAAGCGAATGGCTTACTTTTAAGTGGGAGAGCTGGCATGGTCTTGTGTGGAGGCTTACCTAACCCGAAGGAGTAACCCGATTGGGAATTCCGGAAACTCCTGTTGGAGCCGGATGTTGCTCCTTGTGCTACTTTAGGTTAACAATAAAGGAGTCTGATGCTACTCGATATAGTCAAGTTCCGCCTATTCAATTACTAATATTCTCGGTGATTTATAATCTGTCTCCGAGATTAACTATGATGCTACTTAGGGAAGACGAGAAAAATAGATCTACCAATGTATCTTAAATATTGAACCAGGTTGATGAGGCGTCTATGTACGCGAATGAAACAGTATTAGTTGAGGTTAAGCGCGGCGGCCTCATTATTCTACAAGGCACCCACCCCCCTCCCCCAAAAAAGAGCAGAGAGCCGAGAAAAGAAATGAGAAAGCAAGAAGCTCAACTAAGCGAAAATGAGGAGGCAATGAACATAAGGAAAGATCCGAAAGTCCCCAGTCCTATGTCTCCAAGGTCTTTCAAATGGTAAGTATGAAGCTGAAAGTGGCGGAGATAGTGCCCGACTAGGACAAGTTTGCGATATCCCTGTTTCCAAATGTTCAACTATGACTGAAAGGGCGCGTCATGCCAATATCCGCATCGGTCATTAGCAGTCGGATCAGCCGCCAGCTGGAATTTCCTGTCCGACATTGCCAGCATAGATGACAGATCCCACTCCGAAAGAGCGGGAGACTCTGTGTTGTTTGGGTCACCGTTGGCGACGAAAGCGGTGATGTAGTCCTGAATGACGCGTGCGACAGTCCCATTGACACCACTCATGGCTCGGCCGTTGAAGAACACGTATGGGACGCCCCCTTGGTGCATTGCCGGCCAGACATCGAACAGATTGGAATATCCGGGCTGGGCAACGGCCTCGTGCAGGAATGGCGTGTTGCAAGTGCTCACGAGCTCGCCCCAGAACAACCGCGCGCTGCCCAGCTGGTCGGTGTACCCCAACGAGCCGTCGAAGACAGGCGGATATACAGTGTCGGCGACGTGGTCGCGGACGTCGATGTCGGCGGCCCCCAAGAAGACGTCCACATACTGGCGAAAGTCGGCCTCGCTCGTGACGTTGGCCGGGGCAAAGGGGACGGCTTCGTTCGATTCAATGGTTGTGAGTACCTTGACCCTCTCGTCGACCCTGCCGTCGCGTAGAAGCCTCCTTGGGTCGTCTGGGATGAACTCGCCGTCGACAACAGGGCTAAGCAAGATTGTTCCGTAGGGGGTGCTAGAGAGCAGGATGTGGCTCTCGTCGATGACCTTCTGGGAGGGCAGCTGTCTTGAGGCTTCTAAGCTTGATACGTTGAGCAGGTTAAGGAGCTGGGCGGACCTCTGGTTTTTAACGCTCGGCGACTGCCATGGTACCATTGAGGGGGACTGAGTGATAGCCTGCTGGAAGGTTGTGCTCTGGTTGTTTCTATTGCCGAATGCTGTCATTTGTTGAACAATGGAGCCACCGCCGGCAGACACTCCCATCACCGTGACCCTGTTTGGGTCGCCTCCGAATATGTGGATGTTCTGCTGGATCCATTGAAGGGCAAGGTGCTGGTCATAGAGCCCTCCGTTGACTTGGCCACCTTGTGAAATGAATTTAGACCTAAACATCCATCCTAGGGACCCGAGCCTGTAATTGAAGGCGACGTATATGATGCTATCTGGGCTCGTCACCCGGCTACTATCGAGCAGTCCAGCCGGACTTCCTAGAGATTGGAGGGTATATAAGGGCATGTCGGGTTCGTAAAAGATAGAAGTGACTAAAGCTGTCCTTTGCAGCACTGGCCCACCCGCCGCCATATATGTAGACAAGTACTGGTGCCTTTGAAGACGAATTGGCTGAGTTGAAGATGGTTCTGGGCGCGAAAAAGTCTAAGAATATGCAGTCTTCGGCATCGTGAGGGTACCGCGCGCTGGCAGGGTTGGCCTCGGAACACTACCCGCCGCCATACACCCTCTCGCTGGTCGAGTTGAAATTAAATGCATTGCGCGTGAGGTAGGCCTGAGTAAAGGCGCTCTGGACCCTAAACCGTCACGGTGATGTCTGTGGAAAATTCCCGCCCTGCTTTGACCCGTCGACGATGGGCACGATGCTGCTGTTGTGCCAGTGCTCGCGGACGGGGGCTTTCGGCGCGGCCCATCTCAGCTCACCCACAGGTGCCTAGCTAAAACGGATATTTGTAAAGTTGTAGTAATCCCCGTCTGATTCCAGCTGATGGCTCAGTGACGCTTATACCCTAAGTTAACCATAGGAAGCACATGGCTCCGTGCCACAGTTAGAGGTGAAAGAGCTACAAGTAATGTAATAATAAGTGGAAATATTTTAGGCTTGATTTATATTCCTTCTATTAATAGTTAATATAGTTAAGGGTAACTTTCTACTATTTATATAACTACTTATAATACTCTAAACTTATTTATCTATTAGAATGATTACTTTATATACTATAGCTATAAAGCCTCTTACTTCCTATTACTAATATTATAGCCACCAGGCCTATTATAAAGTCTGTTCCTTCACCTTAATGTCTACTCCTAAGAATTAACACCTCCTCCTTCATAGTAATACTTATACCTTAATGTTAATAGCCACTCTTTAGCACTAAGCTGAACTTAGCCTTGCATGTCTATTGTTAGTAGACCTAAACGCTTAGCTAATTGTCCTATAAGGGCTAGTACCTAAGCCTTATTGCACTATCCCTGATCGGGTGTATCAGCAACGACTCCGGATTGTAGTATCAAACCCTTTTAGGTTGCCTATGTGGTTCCGGTGAACCAAGCTTTAAAAATAGATCAGTACTAGGGGAATTTGCCTGCTGAACGTCATTCTGCCGGCCCCGTCCCGCCCCATCTTGCCACCAACGAGTGATCCAGCCTATCGGTCTGCCCGGGGAGCTGCGTCCCTTTTAACTGCAGGGACCTCAGCCGCCACATGACATACACATATCCGACATGGATACCTGCAGACGTGGCTGAACCTGACGGAGCTGAGATGCATGCTAAGGTCGGCGCATGTGGGATGTTTGACCAAAAAGGAGCAGGCTAAATAACACCACATGCGGCTTTGATTGAAGCCCAAATCTAGAGGAGGTCTCAAATGTGCACCGCTCTGTGATAATAATTAACAATAGTTGCAAACACAGAATTTGTTGACCCCAACCCCTTATATGATCCTTCAAAGTTGCCATGGGCTATGCTCTTTGATTGCCTAGAATAGGCTGTTAGTCTCACTCTGTCCTGGATCTATTGATAACCTCACATGACTGTGAAACAAAAGACTGATTTCTTTTGTGCTAGTCACCAGGCAACAACTGTCGTTAGGATTCATGGCTGTCTCATGGATATGGGATCCTTCAGACATCAGGTCACGGCCCTCATAGCAGGTGCCCTTCAACTTTAATAAAGCACCGGATATGGAGGATTGAGGCTATGTGGAAAGTCTAGTAAGAATAGTAGAATTAATAGAACAAACGTAGATTTGCCCTGGAATTGGATTTATATTGTTCTCATGTGCTCAAACTTCAACTTCATTCCAAAGTGAAGTATCACAATGGAAATTGTCCACATGCCCGCGAAATTGTCAGCATACCTCATATTTGAGACTCAGACAACTTCACATTGTACTTTCTCCACAGCTCACGACACAATTCTTCCAAGTCACATTCCCGTTGAAGACAAAGACCCAGTAGTCGCAAATCAGACTGGGGCCATTAAGTCAACCAGTGCCATTCTCCACCATGTGCTGCCTCATCATGGGAGGCATGGCCGTACCTGTCACGGAATTAAAGGGCAACCCAGAAAAGCTCAACAAATTCATCAGCCACTACACATCCTTAACACTACTCTACCCCTCCAACAAGACTATAAATAATATAAACACCTTCCTTAAAGTTTTTATTATTAAATTATATATAGTTTAATAAGGTGAGATTTATAATTTATTTTTAATATATAGAGAGTATTTTTATTATAATATTAATATTTTAAATAAAAAGTTTTATAAATTATTATATTAATTCTTTTAATAATTATATATAAATATATACTTTTTATATAAAAGTTTTTTATATAATTATATTTTTAAATTTATATTTTATATAAATTATTTAATATTTATATTTTTAAATATTATAATTATTAATATATTAACTTTTATATATAAACTTTATATAAATATTTTTATATAAATATATAAATAATTAAAATTTAATTTTTTTTAAAAAGATATTATATAATAAATAAATATAAATTTATTTTAAATTCCACTTATTTAGAAAATAGTCTCTATATAGATACATTAATTCCACTAGCTATTCTTAAGCTAAACGGTATATTCACCGATTCTATGATTAAAAACAGACGCAAAACAATGGCCCACGTTGTATTTACAAGCCTTGTGCAGGTGGTTGCTCAATAGATGTGTCTAGGACTTAATTCATTGGCTCGGATTTCTTCCTGTACTACAAGCTATGAACATCAGCCTCGCCCATGTGTGATGGGGATCCCCGACACCCTGCACATGGCTGTGGTCTTAGCCGAACAGTCATCACCTTCAAAAGTTCCACCATAGCCAATAAAATACTCAGCTTACCATACTGCCTAAAATTTCTCAGCCGCTGTGGTGCTTTGGGGAGCGCTGCCACCCGGAACTGCGTTGGGGTCTCAAAGCTGTGCTTCTTATCATGTAGGAGCAGGATCAATCCTTCACAAGGGTCAGTAGGTGTGCCTTGCTAATCGAATCTCGCGTAATCTAGTCTTTACCCCTTTTGTAGATTCTGAGGCAAAACTCAACTCCGGGAAAAACAGCCTCATCCTCGTACCAAGTTGAGGATTGTGGAGCAACCAACGGTATATTTAAGGGAGTTATGTCACCACAGTTGGTCCAGAAATAGGCCTGTAGACACTGGACCATATTCTTGCTCTTTTTCAAGCGACTGCCAAATCAAGTGTGAAAATGGTGTCGTCGATTCTTTTCGCGGTGGCTTCCGCCATGACCATGGCTTTCCAACACACGGAAGCGCTTTCTATAAGCAACCAAACGTGTAAATGCATCCCTGGGGACGACTGTTGGCCAACTACCCAAGACTGGGAGGCTTTCAATACCACAATTTCTGGAAAGCTCGTGGCTCCCCGCCAACTTGCCTCCGTTTGTCACGATCCAAACTACGACCAAGCTGCTTGTGAATACATTCGCGAACAGTGGACTCAGCCCGAAATCCAGTTCGTTCCACCTCACATATTAACCTCCTCATCAGGTTTCTTTGTGGCTGTACTAAAATGCTCACCAGTGATGAATCTCCCTCATCAATCATGGCGGCATCGGTGGCAAATGGGAGTTGTGACCCTTTCACCGCGCGGGAGCTACCCTGTGAGCCTGGACTCAGCATCAGCTACGCAGTGAATGCAACAGATCCATCGGATTTCACAAAGGCAATCGCTTTTGCGCGTGACAGAAATGTTCGCTTGGTCATCCGAAATACCGGTCATGAGTAAGTCTCCCTATTTCTCCCGCTAAGTATCACTCCTAACCTGGCAACAAAGCTACCTGGGAAAGTCAACTGGAGAATGGGCATTGTCTATCTGGACACATCATATGAAAGACACCGATTTCTTGCCATCTTATACCAGTGAGACCTACATAGGGCCTGCTATGAAGCTCGGGGCGGGAGTTCAAGTTGAAGAAGCCTATACGGCAGCCCATGCACACGGCCATCTTGTTGTGGGAGGTGATTGTGCAACTGTTGGCGTAGCCGGGGGTTACTTGCAAGGTATTTTCACCTTTCCAAATTTTAGATGGATATTCTGTCGCGGGCCGTTTGACTGACCATGATCTAATTACAGGCGGCGGCCACTCGGCCCTCAGTTCCATGTATGGCATGGCTGCGGACCACGTTCTGGAGTGGAAGGTAGTGGACGGGACCGGAACCCTCATTACAGCCTCCCAGACGCAAAACAGTGATCTCTACTGGGCGTTATCGGGAGGTGGCCCCGGAACCTACAGTATCGTCGTGTCAGTGGTTGTCAAACTCCAACCAGACACTTCAATGACTGGCGTACAACTTCAGTTCGACCTCGATCCAGAGAGGCCTGAGGTCTTCCACTCTGCAGTCAGCAAGTATCACGAGCTTGTCCCCACAATCACATCAGGGCCTTACTACGGGATGGGCATTGCCGAAATCACCAGCAGCAGCTTTTTCTTGACGCCACTCACCCTGCCCAATGTATCGGATGGCGACGCAAGACAACTCCTGGCTCCGTTGATCTCCCAACTGAACGACGACGGAGTCGAGTTCAACCTGACTATTTCCGAGTCTCCCAACTGGCTGGAATATTGGCAGACCCTCATCAAGCCCAATCCTACCCAGCTGGTCCAAAACGCACAGTACGGCGGATGGATGATACCGCGTACCGTGATCGACGAACAGAGTGCGGATCTGCAGTCAGCAATCCAGAAAGTCACAGATGTCGGTTGTGTCTTCGTCAGTCTGGCTCTCAATGTCTCCAACCCGGATACTCAGAACTCGGTTTTGCCGGCATGGCGAGAGGCAGCACTGAACGTCATCCTGTCAACGTGAGTAGCCACATCATGCCTTGTCTCTTTCTTCCCCGTCAATGGAAAGGGGGTATTAGAAGCTTTCCCCCGGGTTGAAACTTTGTCTAACAAACTGGTTCTCAGGCCGTGGCCAGCGGGTGCACCCCTTGGGGAAATGCAGGCCAATGCGGAGATGATGACTCAATTCTGTGTCCCTACTTTGTCTGACCTGGCCCCTGATGCGGGTGCCTATATGAACGAGGTGAGCCTGCCGAGTTATTAAAATGAGCGTATTTCTTCTTATACTAATATTCTTGCTTCTCAGGCTGATCCGAATCAACCGGACTGGAAAACGGCTTTCTATGGCGCTAATTACGACCGCCTCTTGACAATCAAGAACACTTACGACCCAGACCACCTCTTCTACGCAACAACAGCTGTTGGCAGCGATTACTACACTATAGACAGTGCAGGGAGGCTGTGTGAGGCGGACTAAATGACAAACAATTGGCAATGATGGACATATAGCCCACTTTAGACATTTCCACAGACTGACTGTACCTTATTTCATAGACTGTAACTCACTTCACAGAATATGAACTTCTTCACAGATCACATGATGCCTGTAGGGCTTGCATAACATGGCAATTGAAATTTCTCTATGGATGACCAAGATCATGCGCTGCATTCACATCCAATCTCATCATCTTTCACAATATAATTAGACCTATTGAACAAGTCCTGTTTGTCATTAACTTGTTAGGTATTCCCGGTATCTTTGAATATTTTATATTACGTGATATAGCTTTGAGATGATGTTTTTGAGTGGCTGGTGGGGTTTGGTTGGTGATTGAAATACGAGAGTCTGGCCGGGCCCCAAGCTGAAGAACGACATTTCTGGAGTCCAACATAACCACATTTGATGTTAAACAGCAATTCCAGAAGAAGTCCATCATGGTTGGCTATATAACAAGGGAAAGTGTGGTGTATATGGTGGCAAACATCCAAGAGATATGTGCAATATTTCTCCCTGGTCTACCACTGCCTGTGGGGTTTATCAACACACAATCAGTGGCTCACAAAATATTCTTCTCTGCAGTTGTCTAGTTTGCCACGGACTGAAAAAGCACAAATCAATTGCAAATCCACAGTTGAAGGGCAATAGGTCTAATCCACTAATGTACACGAACATACACAAAACAAAAGAGCAAACCGTGAATCAAGCACCGAGTCCCTGCAGGCTCTTGACCGCATCCAAAATGCTCTCCTCGAGCGGCCTGTAGGTCATCCCAAGTACGGACTTGCTGCGCGTGCTATCGAACCCGTATGGCCCAATGGCCGGATAATCCCCCGTCTTGAGGGCATCTTTAGTCGGTAGGCTTTCCTTGAGCTCCGGGAACTTTTGGCCGATGATTTCTGCGATCTGCTTGTTCAAGAAGTGACCGCCGACCATGAAGAATCGCTTACCAGCGGCCTCGTCCTTCTCCACCGCGAGGGCGTGGCCGAGGGCCAGGTCGCGTACGTCGACGAACAGGTGGTTGCCTGTCTGCGGGAGGCGGTTTTGAGGCTCCGCTCATGAGGATGCGCTCATTGGACGTGTTGAGGGACGCCAAGGAATCCTGGTGGTGGAGCACAGGACCCAGTACGAGGGGAGGGTTGCACTGCCAAGGATCATTAGCGATATATTGGTCAGGAAAATCACCGTACCGATTGCTCCCCGAGGGAGGGGGCGGCGCAGTGAACATGTTAGGTACATACAACAGCAAGCGTGAAGTTGGGCTTGTTATCTTCGACAAACTTCCATGCGGCCCTTTCCTGGAAATAGAGGTGGAGTCAGTAACTGCAGCGACGGACAAAAGGAAACGTTCTGTTCAGAGAACTGACGGCAAATGTTTTGCTGGCGCGATAGCCGTCCGCCGGGTTGGCCAGTGCTTGCTCCTCGGTGACCGGGCACCAATCGGCCTCGCTGTACGGAGTAGACCTTGGTCGGTCGGCTCTGATCAAGGATTGCCGCAGATGAGGAGGTAATAACCACGCGCTTCACACTCGGGGCCTGGCTGCGAATGGCCTCCAAGAGGCCGACGGTGCAGTTTATGGCCGTGGGTTATTTAGCCACCGAGAAAGGCCGAGCTGCACTGAGGGTCCCGGGAGCACTTCAGTATGGAGACTCACCAGGGTCGAGAAGCTACTTCTTGTTATCCTGGGACTTGAAATGGTACGGGCTCGCAGTATGCACGACCGCGTCAAAAGGTGGATCGGATACGACCGCCTTGTGGAATGCTACCACAATAATGTCAGTGGCAAGTAACACATTGACCCAGTGTGAGAGTGGTTTACCATTGGGAATAGAAATGTCCTCGACCACGACATAGTCAAGGGTTGTTTTTGGTATGGTCGCGATGCGCATCGAGGATACGGTTGCCCTTCTGGGAGGAGCGCACTGTAGTCACGACCGAGTGGCCACGCTTCAGCAGGACCCCAAGCACGTGGGCGGCGATGAAGCCGCTGCCGCCAGTAAGGAGAATTCTAGTCATTTTTCTCGGTGGGGTGCTGGTCAATACAATTGGCTCTGGGATATACGAAGGCTTGCAGTAGCATCAAATGCACACTTGAAGTGGATCCGCTAATCTCCAGACCCTTTATATATCAACTATTCTTGTTCTCAGGCGCAGTTGACATCAGTGGCTGGCCCATACTAAAAGGAGTTCCCGGGGTGTTTTACCTTAGGGTTTGGCATTTTAAGCAGAGGATGCCCTGTGTTGTTGCCTTTCTCTCCCTTTGACAATATCAGCATGTATATGTATATTCTGCTTAACGCCGTCGTCGGAGCTAAGCATTTGGGCAATTTTCAAAGGGCGGCCTTAGCCCACCTCCTTCTCGATTATCAAGCCTATTATCCCGACTAACACCGCATGCCAAAATGGGTGTCGCTATTACGTCCCTGGTCAGTACCTGTTGGTGGCTGCTAGCCCCTGGCCCACATTTATTAGTGAGGGTCCTTTTGGAACAAAGACGAATAACCCAAGTTCAGCCTGGCGGGTCCCGAGTCCGTTTTAGTTTGCTGCTCACGTTAGCTACTGTGCGGTTCCCACCGACCGCATCTACGAAACGTCTTTGCTGGCTCCCTTATCAATTTACATGCATGCCATGGTCCCATGACCTCAGTCTTTGTTCCTGTGTCATCACCGCACCTAGGCTGTGGCCCCCACCTTGACCGTGACGTTCATGGGGCTAGATCAAGTTCGAACCATCGCATGCACACCTGGGAAGCTGGATCGGCCAAGGTGTGGTGTCATCGCTTCGCTGCTGTCAGCTGATGGGCAGCCACCCTCGACCCGGCACGCCATCCGCCAGGAGCTTGTCCTACCCGCCCGCAGCTCGTGTAACAACGACGGCTTCGCTATCCTAGGCACCTGCAGGGAGGGCACATGTGCAGGGTAGGCAGGATTCCGGGCACAAGGGTCGTTCCAAGGTTTGCTTGGGCCAAACCCCACTCTTACCCGCCTGAGGCTCTCTGGCACACAGCCACAATCGCACCCGGAGTCTCTAAAAAGGAGTTCCATCAACTCCAACCCGGAGGAGTGGCAACATACCCGCAGATCTCGAGAGTGGACTACCAAAAAAAAAAAAGAGTCATGTTCGCTACCTTCCACAGCTCGCCGTCGCACACAGCGGGTCGGCAGGATGGTAACTCAAAGACTGCGCCTGCGAAGCGCCCCAAGCGGGCCCAGGTCCGGCTGGCCTGCGACTGGTGCAAGCTGATGCGCATCAAGTGTGATAATCACCGACCGTGCTCCAACTGCCAGCAGGCCTCCCGTGACTGCTCGACCAGCAGGGAGAACCAGTTCCGCAGTATCGCCGACGCAGTCAGGTACGTGTTCCGAGGTCTGAGTTCGGACGGTATGGAAGTAGAGTTCAGGCACGGAAAGCTGACATGATGCGTGTCCCCGCACAGCGAGGTCAAGAGGCTCCGTGCCAGGATTCGCGATATCGAGACGACGCAACCCCAACAACAACCCCAACAACAACAACAGTCAGCAATACAGGAAGATCATGCCCAGAATTCGCCGCCGGAACCAGGGCACTCGAGTCCGAATGTGCTGCCCTCGCCTGCCCGCACCAGCGTGTCTGAACCGGGAGGGGCCAAGGATGGAGGTCAACCCACCCAGGCCGAGGCAAGTGGGCGCCAGTCCAGCGTGTCAGACCAGAGAAGACATACCGCATCGCCGTTGAGTCGCCCACAGGTGGCACCTATTCTCCAGGGCGTCACCTCCCTCCCATCGCTATTGGCCCGCCTGGATGAATTCCTACAATCTAATCGGCCACAACTGCAACTCGAACTCGACCTGTCCAGTTGCGCTGGCAACTGCTCACAACAGCACATAAACGCCACACACGGATATGGGTTCTTGACCCGCGCCCAGGAGTCACACTACCTAGATCTTTTCTGGCAAACGCACTACTTCAGTTTCCCCATCCTCAACGAGGGCCAATTCAGGAGTGATTTTAAGGCCCTCTGGGCCGACCAAGATGCGGCGGCCCCAAGGAAGCCCTCTCCGCTAGTAGACATCATGCTTGCATTATGCATTCAACTCGGCAGCTCCTTCAGGCGACAGAATGCCGGCGAAAGCGGCAACGGTGCACCGTTGGCTGGCTACCAGTACTACCGAAGATGCCAGGAGGCCATCGACCAGACCATAGAGAGCCCATCCATCACTACAGTGCAGTGCTACATCTTCAGCATCGTCTATCTCTATGAGGCCGGCCTTCTCAACCGGGCTCAGGCAGTTGCGGGTAAGGCCGTCATGATGGCCATGCTGATCCGACTGCCCAACGAGCCACGCTCCACTGAGCCAGAACCACAGAAGGAGGTGGCTCGCCGGACGTGGTGGAGTCTTTACATCCTCGACGGGATGCTCAGCATGGAAGTGGGACGGCCGCCTCTACTCGGCCCTTACCACTCGACATGCGACCTACCTTCAGACTCCATCGAGGTCGCAAAATGGCTTGGCCCTCACTACTCGTTCGACGATTCATGCCCGACCTGGCTCGGGTTCCAGACGCAGACACTGCGTCTCATCAACGCGGTCAGGCAAGTCCGGTCTGCTGTATACACCAAGTACGAGAGCATCGTCGGGGAGCGCGGATACAGCAGTTTCGTGGACAACACGGCCGCGCGCGAGGAGTGCGCCGGGATCCTGACGGCCCAGATGAAGCAGCTCGATGCCTGGGCCGCGCAGGTGTCCGAGGGCTACACCGTGCCGCGCCGCGACGGGCAGCCCTTCTCGACGGACCGCTCCGCAATCGACATCAGGCCCGACACCATAGTCCACTGCCAGCGCCAGCGCCTCCTCCTCGAGCTGCAGTACCACCAGCACTGCATGAGCCTGTACCAGCCCTTCATCACCCTCTCCCCGGCACCCGACGTGTCGACGCCCCTGTCCGACACCAAGGCCGTGGCCGCGCTGAACCACGCCATGGCCCTGACCGCCATCATGCACCAGTCGCTGACGTCCTCCGAGACGCTGGGCGGCACCCACCACGTCCTGCGCTGGCAGCAGAACGCCCTGTTCATCATGCTGGGCTTCGCGTATACTTATCCCCTCAGCAGCTCGATCCCCGCCGCGGCGAGGGCCATCGAGATGGCCACCGCCGTCATCGACATGTACTGCGAGGCCCTGCCGCAGACGCGGGGTGTCGCCGCAGTGGCGCGTGCCTTGGCCGATGACGCGGGCGCCGTCAACGCCGGGCTCCACTCCGGCAATGTGTGTACCGTGGGCAGCACCGTGGGCGGCGGCGGCGGTGGTGGCGGTAGCATCAGCCGCGGCAGCAGTGTTGGCTTTCAGGCGTCGATGTTAGGGCCGTCGACAGCAGTGACACCGACGCAGATGCACCAGCCCGGGCCGCCAAATCTTCCCTTGGCAACCACATCCACGATAGAGGGCCCCGAGAAAGCTGCGCCGACCACCTTCACCAATCTGCCTGGCACTGACTTTGTGAGCAACATCCCAGAAGGCGACGTCCAGCTCGAAGCCGTGGATATGGACTGGGGCAATATGAACGCGTACAATGCGCTGGACTATCCGTGGGCCTTCGCTGTCGACTCGTCGGATGTCAGGATGTGGTAGCGTAGCTGAGCCTGCTTGGAACTTGCTGCTGCTCCGGGGGTGGCAAATCCTCCTTTGTCGAGCTTCTGATGCTTTTTACATTTTCTCCTAAAACCCACTCCTCTTATAATCCTGTAGAATCCCGAACAAGACCGTTTGGTTTCCCGGGACTGGCGGGAGATTCCACATCAGGAAACGGTCAAGGGACACAAGAGCTAGATAACTGCACAGGTAAGAAACGAGGGGGGCAGTCCAGGAGTCTTGGGCCACTGTCATAGAGATCAGATAATATCCATGCATGTATGTTCACGTTGGCTTGTCCAATTACAGGCCCTATGCAATGTCTTGCCTGTCTTGTGCTACGATGAATCATGTCTGCACATGCGGGTAGTGAGATCCCTGCAGCGGACTGTTGTGCAATTTTTCCAAGACTGCTCCTCTAATTGGGGCTTTTCTTTTCTTTTCAGCCTCGTCGATTTTCCTAATGGAGCAAGTCCAAATCAAGTATTGTTCTCCACAAACATACGATTTCTCTTTCCCGAACCCCAAAGAGCTCCCTTCGCCGACCGCGAGGCTCAGCTTCGGTCACGGAGTTAGCCAAATTACCTGCTCTATTAAACCCGATAATCCTTTAGCCCGTAGTTGCCTGTTCTGCCACGGTCATCCAGGATCTCCGTCGACACAGACTGGAGTATAAGCAACATCTGAAGAAAGGAAACCTTCATTTGGGCTTTTCTGCTCCTGAGGCTGCTGTCAAGACAGGCAGTGAACTCGGAAAATACTTGGGAAGAAGGCTAGTTCATCCCCACGGCCGCAAATACAACTTCGGAGTTAACAAACACAACCAGCCCCTGACAGCCTTATTAGTCATCAGCACCCGATTGAGAACTCCGTGAACTCCAACACCCTTTCCGGTTAGGCTCCGGCTCGCCAGATTCGAGCAAGACAAACACACATTGTTGGCATGATGTTTTGTAATCATTTGCGGAGGCAGTAGAATACTTTGGTCCGAGCATGTGGTTTTTAACATTCACGGATTGAGGCAGCATGGCCCGAACTGCCTCCTTACTTCCCGCTTTGGTGTGGCAGCAATTGGTTGAGCCGCATCGTTTGCTCGACGTCAGACATCAAATTGTTTTCCCGCCTGCCTTCGAAGTGGTAAAATTGAAGCCATCAGGATTCAATGTTCCGTTCAAGCCAGATCTTTGTCCATTCCAACACTTGCAGTGTTGCCCCTGTGTGTACACTGATCCCGATCTAAGCTTCCAGCCCCCAATAGATGCCCTGCGACGCATCTGAGGTCGTCATGGAAGAATCAATTGAGAGCGTCGGTGAAACTGTGAAGCAATTCCTCTCAAGCAATGGCTCTACTTCAAGCAGTCGTTCAACCGTTGTGTTTGACCGACTCTTTGTCGAGGGCAGCGGACGTGGTGTGAGTAAACAGAACCATTATGTTGGCGGTCAACGCAACACCCGTCACTAACTATGCATTTCACTGGCAGATACAAGCCGCACCAAATGTGTGGTCCCGGTTGAAGTCGTGGTCGAATATCGTCAATCCGCGGGCATACGGCCAACCCGAGGATTCACGAACTCTGCTACATGGGTTCTCCGGTTCATTAGAGGGCGGCGAGATGCTGCTCGTCATTGGAAAGCCGGGCAGCGGTTGCACCACGTTCCTCAAGGCTCTGGCAAACATGCGGGACGAGTACAAGGACACGACTGGAGTGCTCACGTACGGTGGTCGTCCGGCTGGTGAACGCGATCTTGACCCTGTTAAGCCAACTTTCTGTGGTACGTGTCCATTCTGTCTTTGGCAAGATGCGGAGATGAAATCAGACTGACAGTGGCCACAGCTGAGGAGGATAGTCACCTACCCACCCTGACGGTCGCTCAAACCCTGAGGTACGGTTTAGCCACAGCCTCTGAGGTGTTATCTGCTAACATGAGTTCACAGCTTTGCCATACGGGCGACATGGAATGCACGGGCTTCTCGAGCGACTATCAACACTGCAGTCGAGACGCTGGCCAAGTGCGTCGGCTTAAGCAAAGTCCTGAGGACAAGAGTCGGGAATGCAGCCATACGTGGCGTGAGTGGTGGCGAAAGGAGACGAGTATCGCTCGCCGAGGCAATAGCAACCTGTCCAGAGTAAGGCCCCTCCATTTCTTCTCCTCCAGGAATTTGGTCAAAGTTTTCGCTCTTTTGCTGATCTCCGAGTCTTTTTTCTGTAGTGTTCTCTGTCTCGATAACCCTACCAATGGCTTGGATTCAGCAACAGCTCTGGACTTTATCCATATGATGAGGGAGTTTACCAACCAGCACGGATGCTCTACCGCTATGAGCGTATACCAAGGCAGCGACGCGATGGTCTCGTTGTTCGACAAAGTTCTGGTCATCAATGGCGGACGTCAGATCTTCTATGGCAAGGCTACGGAGGCCAAGGCTTACTTCGAGGGCCTCGGCTTTGTGTGCCCTGAGCGCACCACCATAACGGACTTTCTGAACTCCATGACCTCTGACCCGGAGCTACGACACACACGTGAGGGCTGGCGAGGTCGTGTCCCAACGACGGCCAGACACTTCGAGGAGACATACAAGAAGAGCGATTACTATAAGGAAGTGGTACGCGATGTTGCCCAGTCTAGATCACAGGAGGTAGGTCTCCAGAGGCGAGTTTACTGCCTGCCTCTGCACCGACAGATCTTGGAGTGTTCGGTGCGGCAGTTCAGGGTGCTCGCGGGCGACCGGAACACGTGGATGACCGAGGCCATCACCATCATCGTCCAGAGTCTGGTGCTCGGCACGCTGTTCCGGGACCAGCCCAGAACCACACGCGCGCTTTTCATGTTGGGGTCCTCCCTGTTCAACGTGGTTCTGGTGCCCGCGCTGCAGTCGATGGCCGAGTTCAGCAACAGCTTTGCCGAGAGGCCGCTGGTCATCAGGCAGAAACGGTTCCGCTTCTATCGCCCCAGTGCCTATGCCATGGGTCTCGTCCTCACCGATGCTGTGTGGAAGATTGTGGCCATCGCCTACAATATCCCTCAGTACTTTCTCACCGGCTTCCAGCGTTCAGCAGACAAGTTCTTCACGTGGTTCTGCATAGTCTACGTCCTTCACATGGCCTTGTCTATGGTCTTCCGGGCCATCGCTGTTTCCTCGCCCAGCATAGGGCGTGCGGTACTACCCGTGGGAATCATGTTCAACATATTTGTTCTTTATGCCGGATTGTACGTTCCTGGACCACAGATGCAGATTTGGCTGTTCTGGGTAAAGTACTGCAACGTAAGGCCTGGCCCTATTCCCACTAAACTTGAAGCACTACGAGTAGTTGCTGACTCTTTGCGATATGTAGCCACTGTACTACGCATATGAATCTGCCATGGTTAATGAGTTCGGCAATCTTCAGTACACTTGCAGCGAGAACGACCTTGCTCCCAATGGAGGAGCATACGACTTGATCGAGAACCAAGTATGCGCAGTGCCTGGTGCCGTGCCGGGTCAGACGCTTGTATCTGGTGCAGCCTACGTTCGAGACCAGTACGGCTTTGAGGTTTCGCATTTGTGGAGAAACGTGGGCATAAACGCCGCTTTTTTTGTTTTCTTCGCACTTTGCACGGGGTGAGTCTGAATTCGCAAATGATAATGTAGGGGGGGGGGGGGGGCGGGCGAAGGATCTTTGGACTGGAATTTGCTGACACCAGTTCTTAGTATCGGAATGGAAAGATACAAGCTGCCGGTTGGTCAGCTGGCAACAATTTTCTACAAGGCCGAGCCGAAAGACTTGACGCCGAAGATCAGTGAGGATTCTGCGGATAGCGAAAAGGGCTCTTCGTCTGACGATAATGTGCCTCCAACATCGATTGGACCACAAATATCACAACAAATTCGAGATATATCAACTCATACCGGGCGAACACTCGTATGGAAGAACATCTCACTGGACCTGAAGCTCAACGGTGAAGAAAAACGCCTCCTCGACAACCTCAGCGGTAGGCACCCTGGTCCTCTTCTCTCTTCTCCCCTGGATATGATGCTGCTAAATACATTTGAACATATTTCTGACGTTTAAAAATGCGCAGGAGTCGTTGAGCCTGGCCAACTGACAGCGTTGATGGGTGCTTCTGGAGCCGGAAAGGTCTGTATTCGAATGCCATTTTGCAGCTGAGTACTTGTCGCTGACCTAGTCAACAGACCACACTATTGAATACGCTTGCAGGCAGGTTGGAGTTCGGGTCTTTGTCAGGCGAGCTGTTTCTCGACGGTGGCCCGCTGCCCAAGTCTTTCCGTCGCTACATGGGCTACGTGCAGCAGCAGGACGTTCACCTGCCGACGCAGACCGTCAGAGAGGCACTCCAGATGACAGCCAAGCTCAGGAGGCCCCACACTGTGTCGGACGATGAGAAGCTGGCACACGTAGAGGCTGTCATCCGAACTCTGGAAATGGAAGACATTGCCGAGGCCCTAATTGGTGTGCCGGGTGCTGGGCTCAATTTGGAGCAACGGAAGCGGGTGACGATCGGCGTGGAATTGTCTGCAAAGCCAGACATTATGCTCTTGGACGAGCCCACGTCAGGTCTCGACGGTCAGTCGGCCCTGACTATAGGTCGCCTGCTGCGCAAGCTGGCTCGCTCCGGCCAGACAGTGCTGTGCACCATCCACCAACCTGCTGCAGAGTTAATGGAGCAGTTTGACCACTTGGTACTCCTACTACCAGGAGGACGTCTGGCCTACGACGGGCCATTGGGAGACAAATGCTCGACTGCCCTCGAGTACTTTTCACGCACCGGCAGAGCATGTCGCGTTGACGAAAATCCTGCGGAATACCTGGTCCAGGTGATCCGAGAAAACGGTGCAGGAGACGGAGAGAAATTCAAGGACCAGTCACACACTGCTCATTGGAAGGCGAGCAAGGAGGCAGCTGCGCGGGATGCGCAGAGAGAGCGAGTCCTGACTCAAGGGGCGGGCTCGCGTACTCTGCTACACGCAGAAAGCACGCATGCCGTGCCGCTATACTCCCAGTTCCTGACCACCATGCGCCGCACCTGGTTTTACTACTGGAGAGACCCCGACTACTTTGTGTCCAAGTTCCTGATGAACATCGCCAACGCCCTTATCAACGGCCTCACCTTCCTCAACTCGGGCAACAACGAACGCGGGGCGTACAATCGCATCTTCTCGGCTTTCATGTCCCTCATCGTCGGGCCACCTCTCGGCCTGCAACTCCTGCCGCGCTTCATTGCGCTGCGGGACATATTCACGCAGCGCGAGAAGTCTAGCTTGACATACAGCTGGATCTGCTTCGTGGTCCCAGCCATCCTGATCGAGCTGCCGTACGCTTTTGTCACCAGCACGGCCTACTGGCTGCTGTGGTACTTCCCCGTCGGCTACTTCACCGAGCCGACGAGGGCTGGCTACAGCTTCCTGATGTACCAGCTCTTCTCCGTCTTCGCGCACAGCCTGGCCCAGCTCTGCGCCGCCCTCATGCCGAGCCTCAACGCCGCCTTCACCGCCAACGGCTTCTTCTTCATGTTCGTGAACCTCTTCTCCGGCACGCTGTCCCCGATCCCCGTCACGCCCTCAGGCTGGCGGTGGTACTACAAAGTCTCGCCGCTCTTCTACCTCAGCGAGGGCGTCACCAGCGATCTTCTGTATGGCCTGGGCATCTCGTGTGATGTCTCGGAGACGTCGACGTTCCAGCCACCTGACAACACAACTTGCGCCGGCTACGCTGCCGACTTTCTTGCTTCCGCTACTGGGTACCTTCTGAACCCCGATGCGACTTCGGACTGCCAGTACTGTCGGTACAAGGACGGACAGTCATATGTAAGTATCAGTTTGCCGTTAAAACTCACGTCTTTCAAGTGTGGTCGTCAACTGACAACTCTTTATAGTACATTCAATGGGGTTACGATTTCATCAACCGGTATAGGAACATCGGTATCGTTATTGGCTTCATTGCATTCAACTACACCGCTGTCATTGCGTTGACATATCTACTGAAAGTGAGGAAGTGGAAGAGAGATTGAATGAGGGCAGTCTAGCGATATCTTGGGCGATGTTCGAGTACATGAATTGCTTTGGAGAAGTGAATGGGATCCTTGGAGCCGGGATGCGTTTGAGGAAGGAGGAAGAGGAGGGGGGGTGGAGCATTTCAAAAGCATGCTATAGGACATGCCCAACCACCTTGTAATATAGATATATCCTCTACTGGGTATTATCCTGTAATGAGTATTTTCATCACATTCTGCACAATTGAAGGGACTCCCTGGGTTCTCCTCCGACAAAGGCAGCTAAATTAGCCGAGAGTCGAAACTATTCTGTCCAAACCAACCCCTTTGATCTTTGCATGAGGTGGGCCGATCAGTAAGGACAGTACTGGGTAGTAAATGTCTTGCTATACCTAGAGCTTATATTTCCATGACGAGGCTGCCATCCCCGTGATTTCTGATATCTAGAATTTTCTTTCGTAATTTCTAAGTGAGTCTGTCCTAAAATTGATATCCAATTTTAGAAAAACAGTCTTATGCTAGCTCGCTATTCTCTAAGACAACACATATATAAATTAATCATTTCTCGCATCTCAATGGTACTTATACTTAACTAAATGATAATTTTAAACATTTTCGAGCGCTCGGGTCTTCCTGTCTTGCATCTCCAGATTGTATGCAATCTCATCTACTAGTTTTATGAGACGATTTAGTATCAGAGACACTAATAAAATTCATGGATGTACAACTTGTCAAAACTTAGCAACCTATTGTTCGACATTAATTACATTGATCTGAAATACGGCGTCAGAGCCATTTGTGTAAGACAACTGGACCTCTATTCTTTGGCGACCTGGAAGGGCAGACAGTCATAATTCTGTGTTAGAAGTTTGACCCGTTGTGAGCCCTCCGATGTTATTACATCCACGTTATCAGCTACTCTCGAAAGAACTAAACACATCCCTCTCTGCCATCTCATACTCTCTCAAAACTGTCTCCCTGATCTTTCCAGACCGAAGCACGGGCTTGCACGGATACTCCTTCGGGCAGTACAGAAACCCGTTGTGATAGCCTGTGACAGGGTCTGCATCAACTTTCATTGGCATGCCATCCGCTCCGGTCTTGGCCTCGAACTTGAATGCCCAGATCAATTTGGCCACGGATAGTAGCATGTTGCGCTCGGCGAGGTACATCCCTGGGCAGATGCGACGCCCAGCTCCGTATCCGAAGTGGTCACGTTTTGCCCAGTCGCCGCCGGCAACGTACTCTGGAGCCAGCAATGGATGGTTCCGGTACCGGTCTGGGTTGAACCTCTCGGGCTCCTCCCATACTTGCGGATCCATGTGCATCCCCCAGACATTGAGGATTATCGTGGTGCCTTTAGGCAGAAACATTCCGTCAACCCAGTCGTCTACAGATTGAACGTCAGCAAGACTGGTAATGAAAGAGTAGGCCCTGCCCCGTAGAATGCCATGGACTTACCTTGACCCAGGCTGTGGGGGAAGCAAAGTGGCAGAATCGGTCGCCATCGATGACCTTCTTTGACGATCATGTTGATATAAGGAAGGTTTGCCATATCAGACCAAACGGGTGAACGGTCTTCGCCAACGACTGCCGAGATTTCCCGATGGGCCTTTTCCTGCGCCTCTGGATTTAGAATGAGCGCCAGGATAATCGTCAAAATGAGGGACGAAGACGTGTCAGAGCCTCCTTCCATCAGAACGCCCCCAATAAAGCGCAGCTGGTCGCGTGGGAGATTGGTCTTTTCCTTCTGGTCCAGCACCACATCCATGAATGAGCCGGTCCTTCGCGTCTGACGGCGCACAAGGACCCTATTGAGAATGTCCTCGTACAAGCCATCCATCTGTTTCCCGACGGCGAGAGCACGCGACTTGTAATTGTTGAACAGCCTTTGCGGTACTAACTTGAGCCAGGGGAAGATATCCACAGGAGGCGTGTTGCCTGTCTCCATGATCACGGACCATGATTCCATCAAGGCGTAGAGACGCGTCATGTACTCGGAACGGACATGGCTAGTACGGACACCAAAGACTGCGTACGCAGTGTCATTAGCTGTCTGCCTTTCTTCGAAGGACGGGTAGACAAACCTATCGAGTTGCTGATACTGTTGCTGAAACGTTTTGGGTGGAGCATATGGTCCTCAGGGGAAAGCATGTAATCGCGCACCAGCTGAATGGCCTCAGCATTAACGATTGATAAGTGCTGGCGCTCGACCATGTTCTCGGTCAGGTGTTGGTGAATCAGGCGCCGGAAAGTCCGCCACTTGTCACCGTAGAACATTACCAGAAGGTGATTGCCCTTCGTAATCAGGTCGTGCGATACATAGGATGTAGGCCGGTGGCTGTAGATGTTGGCCTTCTTGTCAAGTGTGCCTTTGCCGACGTTGCGGTCCGTGATTACCGCCATCGTTTCATTCCCAAGCTTGAGGGTGTAGATGCCGCCAAATTGGAGTGCCCATTGAGTGAATCTAGGTTTGTCAATCCTGTGGTGCCGACTAGTCCCTCTTGGAGCTAGTTCGGTAGCTTACTTCGTGTGAGTGTAGCTCTTTGGAATCTGATGGAGGTTGCCTATAAATGGCAAGGTTTTGGGCCCTATTTTGTAAACCGTCATCAATTGCCATCGATTGAATTGATGACAAGACCCATACTCACCACCGGGCATATGCTTCCTGCGATGGCCATAATTGAAAGCTCCGTAGACAGTGGCTATGATAACCGCCAGAAGGCCGCAAATAATTGTTACCGATGGCATGATGAAGAGGGGATTTCTGATTTTGACTTAATTATCCGCGAGCAATTTGGCCTGGGTGTCTATGTAAAGTGTTCATATTTGTCTCTATATATGTCTTCTATATTCCAATCCGACAAGGTGCTATCCAGGCAGTGCTATTCTTGGATGCTTCTAGTTCCAGTGTCATAAACGCATAATGCTCCAATTGGGAGGTACTTGCTTGACGCTCGCCGCTAGACCCTAAAGCCTTCGGACCGCTACTTCGCACTCAACTTTCCATTCTGCATGATTCTAGGGGAATCCATGGATGGAAAGTGGAAGTAACTGGAAGGGGAACCCGGAAATGCATTCCCTAAACCGGTTGGGGGATGTCCGGAATTATGGTGCTAAGTGCTGTAGACTTGATGCAGCCTCTTGCATTGCCGATCCCCATTGCATGTCAGACTCCGAGAACTTGCGCAACTTTTTCGATCACACTGCATCGGTATTAGTCATTCTGCCGCGGCATGCCAATTGATCGGAGTCAGACTGATTCGTCTACTTGGGCGTTGAGGCTTCAGTGCTTATCATGTATTTATATGGGAGACAGTCACAATGTGGTCTCAATTAACACAGACTGCTTACTATATAAGTCTGTTCTTCTGGCCACATCCAAGGTTACCTAACGCAAATACTCGGACATTAGCCATGCCAGCCTTTCGTGTTGACGTGCACCATCATTTCGTCCCGCCCTTCTACGCACAAGGTGAGTCAGCCAAATTGGCGGTGCATATACATCCCTCGCAAGCATCTCCAGCCTCAGCTGACGCTCTGTAGCGCTCGTAGATGGTGGCGGTGATCCATCAGGCTGGAGCATACCAGCATGGACACTCGACAAGGATATTCAAATGAACAAGGAAGAGAAGATAGGGTTCACCTTCTTGTCCATCACGGCTCCAGGAGCAGGTATTCTGCCCCGCGGAGAGAAGCAAGCAAGTTTCTGCCGCCAGGCCAACGAGTACTCGGCCAAAATACGGTCCAACTACCCAGAGGAGTTCGGCTTCTTCGCCAGCATCCCTTCGTTGCAGGACCCCGATGCCGCACACGCGGAGATCGCCTATGCACTGGACGTCCTCAAAGCTGACGGTGTCACCCTGTATACTCGGTACGGGACCGACAACCATTACCTCGGCCACCCGGACTTCAAAACAACGTGGGACCTGCTCGACTCCCGCGGTGCAGTGGTCTTTGTGCACCCCACTCATCCCGTTGACACCGCCATCATCAACCCGTCCCTCCCCCAGCCCATGATCGACTACCCGCACGAGACAACTCGTACGGCAGTCGATCTGATAACCTCGGGTACTGTGCGTTCTCATCCCAATGTCAGGATAATCCTCTCGCACGCGGGTGGTACGCTCCCATACCTCGCCAACCGCCCTGCAGCCATGCTGCCATACGTAATCTCATCAACAGCACCTGACGCAAAGCTTACTGAGCACTTCATGGAGGACGCAAAGAGCTTCTATTTCGACACTGCGCTGTCGTCGGCGCCTCTGACACTGAGCTTGTTGAAGGAGTTCGCCAGACCTGGCCATGTACTTTTTGGCAGTGATTTCCCGTACGCTCCGACACCAGCGATCAGACTGATGGATAAGTTTCTGGACGAACGGGAGAGTCATGATGGAGATTTCGTGCGATCGGTAAACTTCCAGGCGGCGCTGGAGCTGTTCCCTCGGCTTGCTGGGCTTAGCAGGTTCAATGGCACTGGATCAATATAAGTTAATAGAACCTCAATGCATTGCATCAATTTTTGACGGGGTTCTCATATCATCGGAATCTACATTGGGCTCACCATACTAGTAGATGCTTTTCATACATGAAATTCCCATCACCAAAGCTTGCCAAGTTTTCACAGCTCTTCCGATTACGTTTCCATAGATGCTGTTGAGCCTGTTTGTGGAGAAATAAGCACTGTATTTTGCCTCCAATCTCACAGTAGCTTATGAGGAGAAACTTGAAAAAGATGTTTAAGAGAATAAAAACAGAAGACGGGAGAAAGATATCAGAAGAAAGCATTTGACATGCGAAGTGTAAAAGCTAGATCACTGCTAACATCATCAATGAGACTGTTTGGAATTAACATGTATGTAGCATCGACATTTTCATTGTGAACCATTGATGCTATTTCACATCGGAAAGGTCCTGGTACTAGTCGTAGTTGGCAAAGATATTACCAGCCTCTTCAAACTCCCGCCCAATTGTTTCCGCCCTTTTCTCAGATCTGACACTGATCTGGCACTCGTACTCACGAACACATTGCAGAAATCCAATGCTCGACTCGACCGCCTGATTATTGCCTTCCTTCTTGCTGAAGTCGAAGGCCCACAGCAACTTCGAAATTGCGATGAACAGGTTGCGTTCGGCTAGGTGGATACCAGGGCACACGCGGCGGCCTGCACCGTAGCCGAAGTGGTCACGGGTCGACCCGTCACTTGTGTACTGGGAGGCAAGCTTAGGGTACGAAGCGAAACGCTCCGGCATGAAATCAGCGGGCTTTTCCCAGCGCGTCTCATCATGGTGCATTGCCCATACGTTGAGAACAACTGTCGAACCCTTGGGAATCAAATAGCCTCCAACCCAATCATCTGCTAGAAGTCAGAATCGTCGAGTACCTTTGTGGAATTGGTATTACCTTCTGCCACTGCGTGTGAAACACCTAGTGGGCTGACTGGACGCCAACGATGACTCTCTTTGATCATCATGTTGATGTAGGGAAGCCTTTCAAAGTCCTCCCACGTCGGGGATCTATGCTCACCGACAACAGCATCTATCTCTGCCTGAGCTCTGTAATTATGCACCGCGTCAGCTTGACCAAGACAGCCCCGAGGACCTAGAAGCGCATTGGGAGTGTGCACGGGGGGTCGATCGTAGCAGCTCACCTTTTCTGGACTTCAGGAAACTCAATCATAGCCCGAACCATGGCGATAAGGAGTGAGGAGGACGTGTCAGAACCGCCCTCCATGAGCACTCCTCCGAGGAATAACAGGCGCGCCTGCGAAAGTCCATTCTTCTCGTTTTGGTCGAGAACGCGATCCATGAAAGATCGACGGTTCAGGCTGGACTCCCGCCGTTGCTTAACCCTGTCCAGGACTTCGGTATAGAGTCCTGTCATTAGCTCACCAACGCCAATAGCCCTTGACTTCCAATTCCCTAGGAACCTCTCGGGAACCAGTTTGAGCAGTGGAAATGAGTCTATCGGCGGGGTGGCTCCGACCTCTAGAATTTGGCTCCACTCATCCATCAACGCGAAAAGGCGTGTCATATATTCACTCCTGATTGATTTTGTCCTGATACCAAATACTGGAGATGAAAGGATTAATTGTCATGTCTTTTTGAACACTGCCAATTCTAGCGCACTTACCGAGAGAATTCGTGATGCTGTTGCTGTAACGCTTGGGATGTTCCATATGCTTCTCCGGCGTGACCAAGAAGTCGTGCATGAGCTGTGTCGCCTCGGCGTTCTGAAGATGAACGTGCTCTTTCTCGCACATCGACTCCATGAAGTACTGGTGTACCAACTTACGAATTCGCCTCCAATCTTCACCGTACTGCATCAAGAGCAGATGGTCCCTTTGCGTTATAAGATCTCCAACGTAGGACACTGGGCGATGGCTGTACAAACTGCTCTTCTTGTCCAAGAGCTCTCTGATCATGTTTGGATCCGAGATAATGAAGGTCGTGTTGGTGAACCGCTTCAGCGTGTAGATTCCGCCATATTGCTTGGCCCATTCGGTGAATCTGACATTACGTTAGTCTTGCAGCAAATTTTGGAGACTCTGATGAGAACTGACATGAAATGAGCGTTCGACTTCGGAATGAGATGCTCGTTGCCAATTATTGGTCTGGTAGGTGGGCCTATGGCCGGTTAATGCCATATCCCATATTACCGTGAATTGTGCTGTTCGCTCAGTGGGAGACTTACCAGGTGGCATTTTGGGGTCGCGACCACCGATTTTGAGCAGCCGGTGGATCAAGTATGAGATCATGGCCAGCCACGCCGCCAACAACGCCATGAAAGCATGGGTTGCCATATTGGAATTACTATATCCAAAGAGATTTTTTGTAAGATCCTGATCAAGAATTCTGATGTTCAAACTCTGTTGTCCTGTGTTGAGGCACTCAGGGTAGAGGAAATTGAAAGAGAAAGTTCGAGCATCTCAAGGGACTAGTGCACATGATCACAATCGAATAATAAGATTATACCTTGTTACCAGGTAGAACGACCTAGGGACACGCAGACTATTCGTCTGTCACAGACAGACTGCCAATACATACAGTTCATGTGACGTAGAGGGCTTCACATGGAGGATTGGTGACAGTACTACGGATGGTCTCGATCAAGACGTCGGAAGTGACGAATCTGGTATATGCTAGTGCGTGCAGCGGAAGCTGACACCCTGCAGTGGCGTGCAGCCAACGCGACGCTACTAGTACAGATTGAAAACTCCCAAGATACACTCCGATTTCTCCTTCTGGGGCAATTAGCAGCCGAACTCAGACAATTCACTAGGCAGAGTTACACATGTACTCTTAGCCCGAAGCCGGACTTGGTCACACCAGTTAAGAGATTGGAGGGCCCAAGGCCCCCACTCATGAAGGGAGGTTTGAATCCAAATCCACCAAGACTATTCCGTAAGCTTACTGCCCTTGGGTTCGCACGGGTAGCGGCGGCTTCTGGGGCGTCTGGGCGTTTGGGCGTTCGAAGACTGACCCACGCTGCAAGCAGCCAAAGATTATAGGCGCTGTCTGGGAGAAACGAAGTTGCGCCCCCCCCCAGTTAAATACCCCCTGTTCCTCGGTTAAATTAAAACTTCACTAATAGGGTAGAAAATCTAATATTCTTATTAGAATACCTTTATTAACTTTATTAATATTAGTAATAAGTTATTTTTATTACTTAATTAAATAAAAATAATACTATATTAATTTTATATAATTAATTTAAGTTTAGTTTATAAAGGTATATATAATTTATTTACTTTAATATAAGGTAATATTAGTTTAATTAACTTTATAAATAATATTATTAACTTAATTTATTAAGTTTAAAGTATTTAATATTTACTATATAAAATTTACTTAAAAGTTAAATTATATAATTTATTAATAAAAATACTATATTATTTAAATAATTATATATTTAAAAGCTAACTATTAAAATAATTAAAGTTTAATAAACTATTTAAAAGTATTTATAAATATTATTAAAAATTATTTAAAATAAAGTTATTATAATAAACTAAATAGTTTAAAAGTATAAAAGAATATTATTTAAGTTAATAATAAAAGAATATATTTATTAATAAAAAAGGATTTAAAAGTATTAATAATAAAAGCTCTTTTATTAAAATGGAGTTTTTAGTAAATAATATTAATAATAATATTAAATATTTTAAAAGTTATTTAATTAACCCTTTAATATAAATATATTTAAGTAAATTAATTTTAACTTTATTTATAAAAATTTATAATTTAAAAGTTATTAATACTCTTATTATATAATTTAAAAGATAAAGTATTATATTATAAAAGGAGGATTAAAATTAAAGGATTTAAGGTTTTTATTAAAATATATTAAATTAATTAGGATTTAATTATAAAAATATAAAACTATTTAAATATAATTATTAAATTAAAGGATATTTTTATTAAAATTAGTTAGTTTATAAATTAAAAGTTTATACTTTTATAATTAAAATTTATAAAAAATATTAATAGAAAATTAAAGTATTTAATTATAATAATATTATAAATATATTCTTTAAAACTTAAAAAATTTAATTTTTATATAATTATAAAATTATATTATTAATAAAAAGTTATAAATATTTATATTATAAGGTAATTATTTAGTTAAGTAATTATTAATTAAGGTTTTTAGTTATTATTAATTATTTAATAAGTAGTTATTTTAAAAATAATTTTTAATAATTAAATAAGTAGTAAATATTAATATACTTAATAGAAATTTAACTTTAATAACTTTTAATTTAAATTAATAATTATTAATTAAAGGGTTAAAATAAAAGTAAAATAAACTTTATATAAAAGAAGTATAAATAATTAATAAAAATATAATTATATTTTTAAGTAATTATTATAAAGTTAATTATTATTGTTAAAATAAGGGGATTTTTATAATAATAGTATTTTATTAAATAAAATAATATATATATTAGTTTATTTAATAAAGATTTAAAAATTAATTTAATATAATTATAATAAATAATATTATAGTTAAATATTTATTAAAAGTCCTTTTAATTATTAAATAGTTTAAATAGAGTTTAATAAAAGAAGCTTAATAGTAATAAGGTTAACTTTATTCTTTTAAAAAAATAATAAAAATAAAAGTAAAAAAGTAGTATTAATATAGTTATTAATTTATTATTTAATATTAATTTATTTAAAATTAAGTATAATTAAATAGTTTTAATAAAGTTATTATTATTATTATTATTATTAACTTCTTTTATAAATTTAATAAGTTTTTAGCTTTATTATTATTAATAATAATTATAATAGTATTTAAAAGTTTATTATAAAAATAAAGACTATTAATTATCTTTTATTATTATTATTATAAATAAAGGGAAATAAAATAATTTTATATTAAAAATTTATTATAAAAGTACTTTAAAAATATTTTAAAATTTATTAAAAAAGTTTAACTTAAATAATTTATAAAAGTTATAAAATATAAAAGGTTTAATTTTTATAAACTTTATAAAAAAGAATATTTAATTTAAAAATATAATTTAAAGGTTATTTTATTAATTAAAATATTAATTAAATTATATTTAAAAGAAAAGAAGAACTTTATTAATTTTTAATAATAATAATAATAAAAGAACTTATTATTATAATAAGAGTTATTAAATAATTATTTAATAAACTATTAAATAAATATTAAAAGTAAATATTTTATAAAGTTTATAAGAGTTATTTAATTAATTAATTAATTTTATTTAATATTAAACTTTATAATTAAATTAGTTATTTAATAAAAAATTAAAGGTTTATTAAAATAGTTTTTTATTTAATAAAATAAAAAAGTTATATAATAAGTTTTAAAGGACTTTTAAGTTAAAAGTAATAATTAAATATATAAAAAATATAATTAGTAATAAAAGTAATTAAAAAGAAAAGTTATTTATTTTAAATAAATAAAATAAATTAAGTATTTAATATTAAATATTTAATTAATTAAATAAATTTATTTATAATTAATTTATTTATTTTAATCCTCAATTATTAATTTAACTATTTAATTTATAAATAATATATTTTTATTTATATAATTTTATTTAATTAAAACTTTATTAATTTTAATTTTTATAATTTTTAATTAAAACTATTATATTTATTTTATTTTATATTCTTTTAATATTTATATATAATAAAATATTTCTAAATAATTTTAACTTTAAATTTAATTTTTAAATATAAAAATAGAAATTAAATAAAACTTTTATTAAAATTATAATTTAATAACTTATATTAATATTAATAATATAAATAATATTTTAAATTATTAAAATATATTTTAATAAAATTAAAATTAAAGAAATATAAAAGTAAATATTTATACTTTATATTTTATATTTATTATTTTAATTATTTTTATTTTATAATATTAAAAGTATTATTTATTATAAAATTAACTTTAAATTTAAATATAGATTTATTTTTAATAAAATACTTCCTTTAATTATTAAAAACTCTTTTATTATATAACTTTTATATATTATAATAATAAATAAGCTATTTAATATAATTATAAGGAGAATATAAAAGTAAGTTTTTATTTAAAAGACTTTTAATTTATAAAGTATATTTAATAAGTATTTAATCTATTCTTTTATATTATTTTATTTATTAAAATTAAATTTATTAATAAAAATAAATATTTTTATTATATAGTTTAATTAATATATTTATTAAAATAGTAATTATAAAGCTTTTATTATATTAATAAGTTAGTATATATATCTATTTATTACTTTATATATAAGCTTTAAAAATATTATTTATTATTTTTAAATAATATTAATTTATAATTACTTAATAAAAAGTATTATATTTTATTAAAATATAAATTTAATTTATTAAATAAAAAATTTTAAATTTTAATTTATATAATTTATATATTAGTTATACTTTATAATATTATTATAAAAATAAGTTAATAAACCTTTATAACTTATTACTCTAACTTAATTATATTTAATAATAATAATAATAATATACTTAAAGTAACTATATAAATAATAATAACCCTTTAATAATAACCTTAAATTATCCTATAATAATATTAAAACTTAATTTATAACTATTTATTAAATAATAATAAATTAAAATATAAATAAAATTTTAAGTATTAAAGTTTAAATAATAATAAATAATAGTTAATTATTATTAAAACTTTTTTTTTATTAATTAAAGAATATTAATAAGTTAATAAAGGTATTTTATTAAAAAATATTAGATTTTCTATTCTATTAATAAAGTTTTAATTTAACTAAAGAATAAAGGGTATTTAACTAGGGGGGGGTATAACTTCGTTTTTCCTAGACAGCAAGTAATCATTCTAGGGACCTGCGGGGTGACCTGCACTATACTGCACTACCAAAAATGCTACCTCATTTGAAACACAAAATTTTCAAATATCGTGGTCTGGTTCAAAGGCAACTCGCTATCTTCATATAGAATTCAGAGACTGTTATAGATTCCGAAATAGCTTCCTCTAGGATTAATTAGAAGAATGAAATAGGGTAACGCAAGGGCTTCCTCAACGTTATTCTGCTCTACTCTCTTATGAGTGTACCCGAGGACTCCGTCCACCTATGACACAAACTGTAACATTACGTAACATTCGGCTCAAATCAACACAAGCTCGAAAATCTATCTGAAATTGAGATTATTAGCCGCAATGTTTATTGTCAGAGCAATGCAGGCTGTGGTCAATTAGCTTAGTATTAAGCCACGATATAAGTCCGAACTGATCAAACGCACTAGTACATCAACTTGTAGATGACGGGCTCACTTGCTAGAAGTACCATTCACGATGTGTATACGACACACCAACAGGGCATACTAGTATATTTCAGATGCGTGTCTTATTTCCTTCTTAGGGCGTGGATTCCAGGAATCGATAAGTCTTATTTGCTACCATGTTGCCTCATCGTACTTGGGAAGACATGTCCAGAGGTCCTACCTATTTTCATAGCCGATCTCCTGCTCATGCGCCCCAGCTCCAGACTTGGATGTCCTCGATCGCAAGCCATTGGTGACCACCTTACCACTGGCAAGATCATGCACCACGCCAGCGCTACCATTTTGGTCGGCCACGCGCTTGGTCAGGTCGGTCGTCATGGGCTCAAACTCGGCGTTGAGCGGCTTCCCACGGTCCAGCCTGACCTGCTCCTCCCATGAAAGTTGCTTGCTGTACGCCTCCTCGGCGAGGTGCCGCTGAAACCACGAGCCCTTCATCTTGGCGACGGCGTAGTCCCAGTCCGTGGTGTATTCACGGAAGAATGGTTTGTATCCCAGGAGACCTCCGATCCAGCGGCCGAGGATCACGCTTCCCCAATAGCCGATGAAGCGCCGGAAAGGCACCCATTTAGGCGGTACTGAATACGCGTCACCGCCATCTTGGATCTGTGTGTTTTGAACACTTAGTGTCAACAATTGTTGCGAGAGGGGGTGTAGGATGGTGTACTCACAGCAAGGTATTGTATAAAGTTCAACTTGCCCTCGTAGAGGAGTGCATCATGCCAGTACCCATACCAGTTCTCGAAGAAGATGCGGTCCAACTGGTAGTCGAGACCACTCTCGGAGGCACTGAGGTAGACTGTCATGTCGCCAGGCGACTCTGGGTGGATGTAGAAGCGGTGGATGCTCCCGGCCTTGACCGACACCTCGCCGTCCTCCGGGTAGACCTTGCGGTGCTCACCGTCGCACTCGATGCCCATGATGCCCGACTCGACCCGGAAGTACTCTGTTTGGAATTGGTGGAAGTGCAGCAGCGGGCCCTTGGGCCGACCGGCCGACTCGATCAGCCGACGCAGATTGTCAGGGATCGGCCCGTCCAGCTTGTGCTTGTACGTCTGACGGAAGAGGAAGCATCTTCCTGGAGGCGGCTCGAGGAACTCTGTTGTGAGAATGCCGCCAAATCTGGGTTGCGACAACTTGTGAGTATTGACAAGGGTACATATGTTTCAATCATGGGAGGGTGCGAACTTGACGATTGTAGTCTGCCCGGCCGATACGTGGTATGGGACAAAGGGGCGAAATAACGGCATTTTGGGCCAGCCACTGCTTGAGTTTGGACGAATTGGTAATATTCAAGAACGTTGGATCAGTGGTTGGCACTGACAAATTCATTGAATCTTTGCGTTTCCCGAACGCTTGCAGCATTGTCAGATTCGAATGAGTACTGGGTATTTAAGGCCGTGTTTGATCGAGGCCACTGATCAACATGTCCAAGAGTGATATGTGGGGTGTTACAAGGTCTGGGCATCGCTGCAGCGTTGAGCCGAACTACATACAGCGTACTTTCCGACATTGGAATCCGACCCGTCCGACATATGCAGCCTTGATTCGGCCGAGGCCGATAAGGGGTCCAGATGCGGCAAACCTGTGGTCATGGCACGGATGCGGCTCAAGGCATACATCTGCCCGGGTCGGGTCGGGTCGTGATGACACTTGCATGCTGACGAAGATTCTGTACCCCGATGATGGTTGCACAATCCCTGCAAAAAGGATTTATCATATATACCGCTCCCCATCATGTTGCATTAGCTAAATAAAAGCCCCAGATTTCCGTTTTCAGCCAAATTACAGAGCAACTTAGCTAAATGGAGGCACAGGAGGAAGCGGAGACAAAGGGCTCAACAGATAAGAACTCAGTGAGGTGGGCACACAGAAGCTGACTATTCTGTCTATCCTCCCGAATCTCCGTAGGCAGATTCGTCAGGTTTCTCATAACGCAACCGGATCTAGTTCCTGACTTTAATGGTTAATGTGCCAAGCATTGTGCCATACTTGTGCCTAATGCTGTGTTTGCAAGAATCCTTTGGATGACAGAGCGGGCGGTGGCTGGAACTTGGCGTATTATGACGGCAGGAGTCGTACATCAGGCCGTTGAGTGCCGTGTCAGAGACATAGAGTGATGATTCCATATGGGACCCTTTGCTAGACACGTAATTCCGCTGTACAATAAGCCGCCTAATTGAGTGGGGATGAGGAGCGAGATGCATCTCTTTGGTGCGTAGATTACCACCAGGAATATCTGCCTGCCGGGCGTATTTCACAAACATGCTCAGCGGGCCAAGAGTTTGAAAATGTGGATCCCAAGCAAAGGCCGATGAAGGCCGATGACGGGCCTCTGGCATACTCGAATATGACTAGTCGCTTGGACATAGCAGTCAGCATCACATGCAAGCAGCCCGATCAGGGATTACTTGATACGGCAACATCAGAACTGTAAGAGACAACGAGACACGCCATTATTCAACTTGCGCTTCTGCATGCAAGACCTGCCTAGCCTGGAGCGAATTCGGACCAATTGAATGAGCTCCGGAGGTGCACGGGGCAAGGCTCCGGCTGTTGACTCCGAGAGTAATTCGAGACTGGTGCGAAAAAGAGACGATGGCCTCACGGTCCCTGCGTATGCCGATGAGTCTGTAGATCTATGGCGGCAAGATGCAACTTGACTGGCGGCTTTTGCGAATGCCGAGTGTCGTTGAGGGATGGACTCGGAACTTGTAGATATATAAACACCTGCAATATACAAACACCTGCAAGGAGAACTGAACGGTTGTCAGTAAAAGAGAGATTCCGTCGTCAACTTACAAGTCAGCTTAAATTGAACATCCTATATTGATGTTAGCATTCCCGAGCAGCTTCCACAAACGATCATATACTATTTTCTGATACTCAGCTGACGCCGGTGAAGACTCAAGATGGCCTCAGCCGACGGTACCAGCCCTTCTACACCCGGAGCCAAGTCCTCGGGAACTTCAACACCGGTGCTGATCGACGCCTCACAATCGTCCAGCGAGACGAGCAGATCAGAAGACCTTGTAAGTCAGATCCTCTTCCCACCATTGTGTCCAGGTAGTAAGGGCGCTATACTGCAAATAATGAGCACGGCCACGAACATGAGAGGATTGAAAGACAGTCTGGACTAACCAAAAGAATTCTCACGTGCACAGTTCACTTCCAGCTCCAACGATGTAGCAGTCATTGGCATGGCCTGCCGCGTGGCAGGCGGCAATAACACGCCCGAGCAGCTCTGGCAGACCATCCTCAACAAGACAGACACGTCGTCCGAGATGCCAGCATGGCGGTGGGAGCCGTACGAGCGGCGGGACGCGCGCAACGCGGCAGAGCTGAGCAAGACGACCAGGCGCGGATACTTCCTGGACTCGCTCGAGAGCTTCGACGCGGCCTTCTTCGGGGTGTCACCCATGGAGGCGGAGCAGATGGACCCGCAGCAGCGGGTGTCGCTCGAGGTGGCGTGGGAGGCGCTCGAGGACGCGGGCGTGGACCCGCGGTCGCTGGCTGGGTCCGACACGGCCGTGTTCATGGGCGTCAACTCGGACGACTACTCGAAGCTGGTGCTCGAGGACCTGCCCAACGTCGACGCGTGGATGGGCATCGGGACCGCCTACTGCGGCGTGCCGAACCGCATCTCGTACCACCTCGACCTGATGGGCCCCAGTTCCGCCGTCGACGCCGCCTGCGCCAGCTCGCTCGTCGCCATCCATCACGCTGCCCAGGCCATCCTGACGGGTGAGTCGAACGTCGCCCTGGCTGGCGGCGTCAATGCCCTGTGCGGGCCGGGCCTGACGCGCGTGCTGGACAAGGCCGGTGCCACCTCTCCCGAGGGCTCGTGCCTGTCTTTTGACGACGACGCCCACGGGTATGGACGTGGCGAGGGCGCAGCGGTCGTCGTTCTGAAGCGGCTGAGCAGCGCCATCCGGGATGGCGACAACATCGTTGCCGTTCTCAAGGGCTCGGCGGTTGCGCAGGACGGCAAGACGAATGGCATTAGTAAGTGGTTTCCTGTAACATCTGTCATCCTGCCACATCTCTGCTAACCACATATGCCACAGTGGCACCCAACGCCAAGGCGCAGGAGCTCGTGGCTCGCCAAGCACTGCGACGCGCGCGCATCGACGCCGCCACAGTCGAGTACATCGAGGCCCACGCGACGTCAACACCTCTGGGCGACCCCACAGAGGTCAGCGCGATCTCAGCCGTGTACGGGCGCGGGAAAGGGGGCGAAGTCCGGGCAGAGCCCGTCGCCATCGGTTCGGTCAAGCCCAACGTAGGGCACCTCGAGGCGGGCGCCGGCGCCGTAGGGTTCATCAAGGCCGTCACGGCCATCAACAGGGCGACCTTCCCACCACAGGCAAACCTGAAGAAGCTCAACTCCAAGGTGGACTGGGCTTCTTCCGGGACGCGCGTCGTACGAGAGGCTGGCACGTGGCCGGAGCCCACCGGCCACCGCCGCCGGGCAGCCATCTGCTCGTACGGCTACGGGGGCACCGTCTCACATGCCATCGTGGAAGAGCCCGAGTACACATATAACATGGCGACGACGGGTGCGGACCTGCAGCAAGGAGAGGAGCTTGTCGGGCCAGGGCCACGGCAACAGCGAGGCCCTGTGCTCCTGGTCCTCTCGGCACCACAAGAGAGGCGTCTCGCACCAGCCGCCAGCGCCCTGGCAGCATGGCTTCTGAGCCACGAGGGGGGGAAGGCCAGCCTGTCAGCCATTGCCAACACGCTGGCGCTGCGCCGGGCCCAGCACAACTACCGTGCCACTTTTGTGGTCGAGTCGCATGAACACGCCGCACAGGTACTCGACGCGTTCGCCCAGGGACAGCAACAGCAGCATGAGGACGCCATCTCGCAGGGCGCCGTCCTTGGAACCGGGGTCAGCAAGGGCGTTGTGTGGGTGTTCTCGGGCCATGGCGCGCAGTGGGACAGGATGGGGATGGAGCTGATGCGCAGCAGCGCCGGTTTCCGCGACGCGGTGCAGGCACTGGACCCCATCACGCGGGCCGAGAGCGGCTTCTCGGCCGTCGAGGCCCTCGAGACGGGCGGCTTCACCGACAGGTCGGACCGCGTCCAGGTCATGACCTACGTCGTGCAGGTGGGACTGGCGGCGGTGCTTCGCAGAAAGGGCCTCGCGCCGTCGGCCATCATCGGGCACTCTGTGGGCGAGATCGCAGCCTCCGTCGCCGCGGGCGCGCTGACGCCCGAGGAGGGCGCCCTGATCGTGACCAGGCGGGCGGAGCTCTACCGGACGGTCCAGGGACAGGGTGCCATGTTCATGGTGGGCAGGCCGTTCGAGCAGGTCCAGAGCGACCTCGCGAGTGAGGAGAGTGGCAAGAACGGCGACGTCGTTGCCGCCATACACTCGTCGCCGTCTTCGTGCGTCATCAGCGGGAAGCTGGATGCGACCGTGGCCTATGCCGAAAAGCTCAAGAAGAACTGGGCCAAGACGATGAGGGTGGCCACCGACGTCGCGTTCCACCACCGCGGCCTCCTCAGGCCGCTGTCCGGGCCGCTGAGGGACGCATTGCAGGGTGGCAGTGACGGCATTAAGCCAAGGACGCCCTTGGTGCCACTATATTCCACCTCGGACGCAGCAGACCCCAGATCGACGGCCCTTCGGGATGCCGAGTACTGGGTGCGCAACATGGAGAGCCCCGTGTTCCTGACGGATGCGATCCGGGCCGCCGCGGCGGATGGCTTCAGGCTGTTCCTCGAGGTGTCGAGCCACCCGATCGTGTCGCACTCGGTAGGCGAGACACTGCTGGGCTGCGATAGCGTCGAGGACGAGGAGGACACGGCGGTCGTGGGCACCATGCGCCGCTCGAAGCCGGCCGAGGCCAGCATCATGCAGGCCGTAGGCGCCTTGTACGTCAAGGGCGCAGCCGTGGACTTCGGCACGGCCCTGGGCCGCCGATGGTCACCCGACGTCCCCGGCACGCAGTGGGTGCAGAAGAGCTTCTGGCGCAAGGTCGAGAGCAGCGGCGCACCCGCGGACGACGTGCTCCGTGCGACGGCAGGCCTCGTCCACGATGTCAACAAGCACACTCTCCTGGGGCTGCGCACGCCTGTGGGTGGGACGGACACGGTGCTGTACACGACAAGGCTGGACAAGGACACCAAGCCATTCCCGGGAGAACATCCGCTGCACGGCACCGAGATCGTGCCCGCCGCCGTCCTCGTCAATACGTTCCATCATGCCACAGGGGCCAGCACCCTGTCCGACATCACACTGCGTGTCCCTGTGGCCATTAGCGCGCCCCGCGATATTCAGGTGGTCGTCAACGACGACAAGGTCAAGATCGCCTCGCGCCTTCGACAGGACCAGCAGGGTGGAGATGGCGGTGCGAGAGAGAGCACCCCGAGCCGCAGCGGTGGCGGGAACCAGGGCGATACTAGTATGTCCTGGGTGACGCACACGACGGGGCACTGGAGGAGCAGCAACGAGGGCGGCGACGAGGGACACAAGGCTGTGATCGATGTCGAGGAGGCCAAGAAGCGCATCAACACGGTGCTGCCGTCGAACTTCTCCACCGACTACCTCGCCAAGGTGGGTGTGTCCGCAATGGGGTTCCCCTGGGCCATCACAGAGCACTACGGCAACCTGAAGGAGATGCTGGCGCGGGTGGACGCAGACCCTAGCACGCCCAACAGCAGTAATGGCAAAGCAGACACGCTCCCGTGGGACGCGTGGTCGTGGGCGCCGCTGCTGGACGCGGCGACGTCGGTCGGCTCGACAATCTTCTTCGACAACCCGAAGCTGCGGATGCCGGCACACATCGAGGGCGTGGATTTCCTCGACAGGGACAGGGCCCCGCCCAAGACAGCGTGGCTCCACGTGCAGGAGGCGACGGAAAGCAACGGCGGGCCGGCGGTTCATGTGAGCGTGTGCGACGATGAGGGGCGTGTGCTGGTCCGGTTCAGATCGATGCGCTTCTCCGAGATCGAGGGGACCCCGGGTGTCAGCGGAAGCGTCGAGAGTCTCGTGCACCGGCTTGCCTGGGTTCCGGCACCGCTCTCGCACAAGTCAGCCGGCTGGGAGAGGGCGGTGTTGCTCTCCGAGGACGATGAGGTCCTAGGGCTTTATGGGAAGCAGCTGGGGCCGATGCTGAGGATCCCCGAGGCGGGCAGCGTCACCTCGTTGCAGCTGTCCCCCGAGGGAGGAGAAGACGCGACACAGGCGCAGCTCACATCCATCTGCAGCGACGTCAATAGCAACACGGCCATCATCTACTGCCCGGGCTCCGTCTCGTCGCTGGCTTGCGTGCCCGCCCAGGCCGAGGCCTTCATCAGCAAGCTCCTCGCCGTGACAAAGCACGTGGTCAACAACGCATCGTCAGCGTCGGCGAGCAACAAGAAGAAGACGACAAAGATCTTCGTGGTGACCAGGGGCATCGGCTCGGCGGCCACCACAGCGACGGCCCTCGCACACTCGCCGCTGCACGGGCTCGCACGCATCATCGCGGCGGAGCACCCAGACCAGTGGGGCGCGCTCGTCGACGTCGAGGATGGCGATGACCAGTTCCCCGCCCTGGCCGTCAAGTACGTGCACGGCCAGGACGTGGTGCGCGTCGAGGACCAGCTGCCACGCGTCGGACGCCTCCAGCCCCTGCCACGCGAGCTCCGCTACGAGCACCAGCAACAGCAACCCAAGGACAACACGCCCACGCCCGCACGCCCACGCACACGCACCCTCCTCCCGAGGCCAGAGGGCACGTACCTGATCACGGGCGGCCTGGGGGCGCTGGGCCTCGAGGTGGCCGGCTGGCTGGTCGACAAGGGGGCGCGGCGGGTCGTGCTGGTCTCGCGCCGGGGCCTGCCACCTCGCAGCGAGTGGGCGGCGGTGCTGAAGAGCGGCACTGGTATGACAACGGCCATTGCCAGGATCCAGGCCATGGAGCAGGCCGGCGCGACGGTGTGGGCCATGGCGCTGGACATGAGCGCGCCCGACGCGCAGCCGCGCCTGCTGTCCGGCCTCGAGAGCCTCGCGGTGCCGCCCGTGCTGGGCGTCGTGCACGCGGCGGGGTGCGTGGAGGACCAGCTGGTCATGGAGACGACGGCCGAGTCGTTCTCGCGGGTGCTGGCGCCCAAGGTGGCGGGCACGCTGGCGCTGGACGCGGCGTTCCCGGCGGGCACGCTCGACTGGCTCGTCCTGTTCAGCTCGTGCGGCCAGCTGCTGGGCTTCCCCGGCCAGGCGAGCTACGCGAGCGGCAACGCCTTCCTGGACGCGGTGGCGGCGCGGCGGAGGCGGGCGGGCGACAACGCCGTGGCGGTGCAGTGGACCAGCTGGCGCGGGCTCGGCATGGCGGCAGCCACCGACTTCATCAGCGCCGAGCTCGAGGGCAAGGGCGTCACCGACATCACCGTCGACGAGGCCTTCCGCGCCTGGGAGCACCTGGGCAGCCACGACATCGACCACGGCGTCGTCCTGCGCGCCCTGCCGCTCGACGAGGGCGACCCGCTGCCGGCTGCGGTCCTCGAGCACATCGCCCCGCGGAGGACGACGGGGGCCGGCGGATCGGGGTCGGGGTCGGGCCCGGACGGAGTTGATGCAGCTGGCGAAGGAGGCGGGGCAGGCCACGAGCAGGGGGAGTCAACACCACGCCCAGCAGGCGGGCCGGAGCTCAAGGAGTGGCTGGTCCAACGGATCCGCGAGGTTATCGCCGGCGTGCTGATGCTCTCTGGGCCAGACGAGGTCGACCCACGCGCTGCCACTGCGGACCTGGGCGTCGACAGCGTCATCACCGTGACGCTTCGCAGGAAGCTCCAGGCCGCCCTCAAGGTCAAGGTCCCGCCCACCCTGACCTGGAGCCACCCGACTGCCAATCACCTCGCCACATGGTTCATGGAGAAGCTGCATGTGTCGGGTGAGCCGGCTTGATATGGCCTTGTCCGACACGTGTAGGGTCTAGACGTGAGACTTTAGAGTTGGTGATTTTGGTTGGGTTTAAAAAGAAGACAAACAGACAGACACAGACATACCTAGGTAGATGCTTGACCGCCACAGCTGATAGATAATAGATGGAAGAGAATACATCGTTTCATAGTGATGGTTTCATTATTGTGTTAGGTTGGCTGCTTGGCCATGAGCATGCCCACGTGCAGGCCCGCAGTGCTTGCATGGTTGGCTGCTGGCTGCGCCACTTGACACCAGCTGGCCACCAGCTGTTCAACTGATTGACAATACCTCTTCCACGCTGCCACACCAAGAACCCAGTGCTTAAAGATCGTAACTGCGCGCAATTCTGAACCTGAAGCATGTGCGCATCATCGTTGACTGTTGTCATTTTCCATGGAAACCCCTGATCAACGTGCTGCCAAAGTGCTCGTCGCCACCAGTAAGGTGGTTGGAACAGGTGCCGACAGTGTTGGTGAAGCTACTCGAAGGGGGTAAGGTAAAGCTATGGTTGTCCTGGGACCAGCCGAAGTAGCGGTTAAGGTATAGCTAAGACTATTTTATGTGTTTATTATCAACCTTGTAGTGGGCCTGGAGTATCATGGAGCGGCTAGAGTTGCCGTTAAGGTTGGTAATTGTGAACTTTGAGCCGGAACTGAGGAAGCTGCTGGTAGCGGGGTGATGCTCGCTAGGTTAATAATTAATAATCATGATTTTGGTGATGATAGAGGTATTTATCTTGAGTTCGTAGGTAATTTCGGTTGAGGAAGTATAATTTAGGTGTGATTTAGTTATTTGTGGCTGAAACAGGTGGTGTGTAGGAGTGGTGGTCTGGTTTCCAAATCTTGGAATGTTGATGCCGTGGCAATGAGTTTAAGTACTGATCTATTTAGTTGTCGCTGATGGCCTTCACTGATTTCACTAATTGAGTATTTGTTATTGCACTAATGACTAACAGTTTTCCAGTGACGCTGTCTCGGTACTGCATGACTGCTCTGGTCACAGTGTCTGTCGTAATTATACAGAGCGTAACGAAATATCCCTGGGCACTATAATCAACGAGCACAAGAATTCAATTGATTGGGATTCAGGGTCCAGTCCCTCCTCTGTATTCATTCCGAGAAGCATAGCATCCGTGTCGAACATCAACATTACTACACAGGCAAACAGGGCAACACAGACACCACACCAAGCTCCAGCAACTTCGTCCTGGCACTTGGCCCTATAGGAGTCGCTCAAGTCCTGACGAGGAAGCGTATCAGTACTACACTCTAAAATTAATTTCAGTCAGCCATTTAGAGTCCATATGAATTCTTCAGATCACCATCACGGACCCTTGTGTCTGTGAGGGCATAGCCAAGCAATGAGGAATCATATGCTTGCTTAGATCCCTAGCTTGCACTAAGAACCTGGCTTTAGCTTGAATAAGGAATAAGGAGCGTATTCCACGTATCTTAGGCCTAATAAGGTGAGTTTATTCTCACCATTCCATCTGTTACATACGGAAATTAGGTATCCTAGGACTTGCGAGTTGGCCCATACACTTGAAAGAGTGGTAAAGCTAACATACTATAGCTAAGCTATCTATATAACTATAACACTAGCTAACCTTACGCCTTATTAACTCGATCCTAATAATTATCTATAAAGAAAATTTTATATTAATTAGGAAGCTAGCTAAGGGCTTATATTAATATAATATAAGTAATATTAATAAAAGCTTTTAATTATTTTTTATTATTTATAATTTTTAAAATCCTTTATAACTTAATTATATATATATTTAAAAAATAAATATATAAAGTAAGTTTATAAATTATTATAAAAAAGATATAATAAATATAAGTTAAAGTTTTAATATTTTTATATAAAAATAAAAATTAAATTTTAATTTTAACTTTTAAAATAATATTTAAAATTATAATAATAAAATAAATTAAAATAATAAAAGATTAATATATTTATATAAATACTTATAAATATTTTCAATATTTATAAAATAAATTATTATTAAATTTAAATAGTTTATTAATTTATATTTTAAAATATATTTAATTAGAAATATAATATTATTATATTTTTAAAATAATTAAAAGTTTTAAAATTAAAATTAATTAATAAATATTTTATTTATTTTATTTATTTTATTTATTTTATTTATTTTATTTATTTTATTTATTTTATTTATTTTATTTATTTTATTTATTTTATTTATTTTATTTATTTTATTTATTTTATTTATTTTATTTATTATTTTATTTTATTTATTTTATTTATTTTATTTATTTTATTTATTTTATTTATTTTATTTATTTTATTTATTTTATTTATTTTATTTATTTTATTTATTTTATTTATTTTATTTATTTTATTTATTTTATTTATTTTATTTATTTTATTTATTTTATTTATTTTATTTATTTTTTATTTTATTATTTTATTTATTTTATTTATTTTATTTATTTTATTTATTTTATTTATTTTATTTATTTTATTATTTTATTTATTTTATTTATTTTATTTATTTTATTTATTTTATTTATTTTATTTATTTTATTTATTTTATTTATTTTATTTATTTTATTTATTTTATTTATTTTATTTATTTTATTTATTTTATTTATTTTATTTATTCTATTTATTTTATTTATTTTATTTATTTTATTAAAATTATAAATTATAAAATTTATATAATATAATATAAATTAATTATTTTAAATTATATTTTAATTTATTATATATTATAAATTTTATTATTTAAAAATTATTATTATAAAATAAATAATATATAAATTATTAATTTAAAATTATATTATATTATATAATTAACCTTTTATAATATAAAGTTAAAATAAATTATAATTATAAAGTTTTAATTAATTTTAAATTAATTATTTTATTATTTAATAATTTAACTTAATTTTATATAAATCTTTTCTAAGTTTCTTTAATATATTTTTTAGAAAAAGTTAAATTTAAAAAAACTTTTAAATTAAATTTAAGATTTTATAAATTTTAATTTCTTTTAAATTAAATTTATAATTTTTAATTTTTAAAAATATATTAATTATTTTAAATATTAATAATTTATTTAAAAATAAAGATTTATTTTTATATAATTATAAATTTAATTATTAATAATTTCCTTTTATAATAAAACTATTAAAATTATAAATTAAAATATTATATATAATAATAAAATATAATTATTTTATTTAATCATTTTTAATTTAATAAATTAATTAAATAATTATTTTAAATAATTTTATTTATAATATAATAAAATTAATAATTCTTTAAATTTATTAAATAAATATTTATTTAAATAAAATTAAAATTTATATATTATTTTAAAAAAATAATAACTTTAATTTTATTTATTTTAATAAATTTAAAAATTAAAGTTATATAATAATTTTATATATAATATTTAATAATATTAAAATTAAATAATTTATAATATATAATAATTTTAATTTTTAATAATATTAATTTAAATAAATATAATTTAATATATTAATAAAAATATAAATTAATAATAAATAATAAATAATATTATAAATATAATAAATTATAAAGTTATTATAAAAACTTTTATATAATAATTTTAATTATCTATTTTTAATTTAATAAAAAATATATAAATAATTTATAATTTAATTTTAATTTTATTTAAATTTTATAAATATTTTATTTTATAAATATACTTTTATTATACCTTTTTAATTTAAATATAAAAATATTTATAACTTTTAAAATATTTTAAATAAAATAAATAAGTTTTAATTTATTTAAAAATATATTATTTATTTAAAGATTTATAATATTTTAAAAATAAATAATTATTTTAATATAATTATAAATATTATAAATTTTAAAATAAAAATAAAATATAATTAAATTATTAAATTATATTTTTATTTAATTTATTAAAATATAATATTTTAAATAATTATTTTTAAAAATTATTTTTATATTTATTTTAATTAATTTCTTTTCTTAAATATTATATAATAAATTAGATATTTTTATATAAATTATTTATATTTTTATTTAATTATTAAGTTAAAAATAAATAGTTAAAGTTTTAAAAGGATGAAATATAATATATTTTTAAAAATTAACTTAATTAAATTTATTATATAAAACTTTTTATAATAACTTTATAATCTACTACATTTATAATACCGTCTATTATTAGAAAATACCTTTATATACTAATATATTAAATCGTGCCTAATTAAATTAAACCGGTACTATTAGTTTTAATATAAATTAGTTCGTTAAAAGTTAAAGCTATTATAAATTATAAACTATTTAATTTAATACTAGTAAGTACTATATATAAGTACTAAATTTACTATATAACTTAGGCGGGTTCTAACTCTACTTAAATAAACACTTATTAAGTAAAACTACTTAAAAGTAGTCACTTAACCTACTCTAAGTTTATAGTTCTAATAGTTTATAAATAAAAGAAGAAATAGTTATTAATAATTAAATTTATAATTATATAAAGGTAGATTTCTACTTTAAAAAAAAGTTATTAATATTTAAAATAATTAATATATTTTTAAAAGTTAAAAGATTATAAATTTAATTTAAAGAAAATTAAAATTTATAAAAATCTTAAATTTAAATTTAAAATTTTAATTTAATATTTATATTTATAAAAATAAAAGTATTTATATAGTTTAAAAGGAGGTTTAAATTAAGTTAGATTAAATTATAGTAAAAGAATTAATTAAATAAAATTAGTTAAAAATTATAATTATAAATCTTTTAACTATATATTAAAAGGAAATATTTTATATAATAATATTTATTAATATTAAATTAATTTATTAATTTTAATAATTTTATTATTAAATAAATAAATTAATATTAAAATTAAAAATATTAATTTAAATTAATTAAATATAATTTTATATATAATAATAAAAGTATTTTTATTATAAATAATATAATAAATATAAATTATAAAATTAATATAAAAATATTTATATAATAAATTTAATTAAATTAATAATTTTAAATTTAATAATAAAATTAAAAGAATATAAATAATTTATATTATATAATTAAATATAAATTTATATTAAATAAATATTTTAAATTTTCTTTATAATAATATTAACTTTTATAACTTAATAAATTATAAAATAAAATATATTTTATATATTTAAATATTTATAAAATTTATATTTTAAAATTAATAAATATAAATATTAAATAAATAAATATTAATTTTTATTAACTTTATCGGTCGGCTTAACTTATATATAAGAAGTAGTTAAAGTAATATAAATTAGTAATAATTAAAAGGTCTACCTAGCTAAATAGTAAAGTGCCTAATTAGGTTAGCTAGACCTACTAACTAAGTATAGTAGTCTATATATAAATATAGACCTACTAGCCTTACTTATAGTAGTTAATCCACTACAGCCTACTATTCCCACACTAGTAACTTTTTAGTCTTTTAAAAACTTCCTTCCTTCTAGCTAATTAGAGAGCTTTATTTACTAATAAAGTAGTTTCTAACTGAATCGCTAAATTGCTTAAAATTGCCACTAAATGTATGATTGTAATTCGCTTAATTTAAGCGCCGTAAAAACGCTTCAAATCGATGTTTTTATGAATCGCCTAAATTGCTTAAATTTAAATTACTTTAGTAGGTGAAATTAAGTCTGAATTACTAATTAACCAATCGCTTGCCGGGCTGTCGCTAGCTAGTTGCTAACTATTAACGTCTAGTTAGTCGGTTAGTTAACTAGTTAGCTCTTTTAATAGTTTTTTCTTCTTCTATAGATCGGCTTGGTAGATGTAGTTCCTTCTTATTAAGTGTGCTACTACCTTATCTATATAGGTTATTACTTACTTTATTAGTCCTTTATCTTAATTAAGGTCCTTATCTTAATTAAGGATTTTATTTTTTATTTAATTAGTTATATAAGTAGTTATAATATCTCCTCTTTATTTAAGTAAGGTATTTAAATAAAGGTAAAAAAAGCTTTAAGTAGTATTTTAATACTTAATTTAATATAAATACTATTTAAGTAAAAGTTATTATAAAAGTTCTTAAGAAGTTCTAACTTAATTTACTTAAGGTAGTTACTTTAATCTTTAAAAATTTTATAAAAGTATTAAAAGTTCTTATTAAAGTAGTAATTAAAATTATTAGTAAACTACTAAACTTTATTATTATTAACCTTAATAACTATATACTCCTCCTTATAGGTATTACTAATATACTTTTTTATTTTATTTTTTAATTTAAACTTCCTTTTATAATATAGATAGGAGTACTAATATACGCCTATAGTAGCTATGGATGATTTTATCTTTAGAGAGGACTTAGAACTATAGGTAGCTATAATGCTAGAGTGTTCTACTTAGGTGTTATGAGAGAGAGAGAGAGAAAGAGAGAGAGAGAGAGAAGTTAAGAGAGAGTATAAAAGTTATTTATTTAGTTAATTATTTAGGTGATATAAGGTAGGTGGGTAGGTAAATAGGTTAACTAATAGGTAGTTAAATAGGTTAGTTAATAGGTAGTTAGTTTAAAGGTTTAATAAGTAGGCTTGAATTATTAATTATAAAAGAGAGAATTATTATAAGAAAGTTATAAAACTTATTTAGTGAAGGGGTTCTATTTAATAGTTAATTATACCTAAATAGTTTAAATAACTTATTTTTTAAAGAGGTTGTAATGGTAATAATAGTATTACTAATTTATCTTTCTTAAAGATTATAACGATAAGGTAGCCTTACTAATTCATTCCTTAAAAGGACTTAACGCCTAAGTAGCTTAAATAATTTACCTTACTATTAGAAGCTAGTTAGTAACTAATTAGTGTTAGTTAGCTTAGTTTATATATAAGAAGTGGTTAAAGTAATGTGAATTGGTGATAGTTAGAAGGTTTGCTTAGCTAGGTGGTAAAGTACCTAGTTAGGTTGGCTAGACTTACTAATTAAGTATAGTGGTCCGTGTATAGGTACGGGCCTACTAACCTTACTTACAGTAGCTAATCCACTATAGCCTACTATTCCTATAAACTTATTATATTTATTAATATTTTAAAACTTTTTTTATATTAAATTTAATATTTTTTAAAAAAATAATTTAAATTTAAATAATATTAAATATATATTTACTTTTATAATATATTAATTATTAAATATTAATATATATTATATAAAATATTATAATTTCTTTTTAATATATAATTTTTTAAATTATTTATATTAATATAATTTATATTAAAATAAATATAAATTAAAAAGTTTATATAAATTTAAATATATATAATATACTTTATATTTAATTTTAAATTTAAATAAATTATTCTTTATATTATAAAAAAAGTTAAAATATTTAAATTATTTTATAATTTTATAATAATTAATAATATTTATATTTTCTTTATTTATTAAAATAAAACTTATAAAAGTTAATTATAATAAAACTTTAATAAAAAAGTTAACTTTTAAATTAATTAAAGAAAGTAATATTAATAAAAGTTAAACTTATATTCTTTATATATTTAAATAAATATATTTAATAATTAAATTAAAAATATTTTATTTATATAAAAAGATTTTATTATTTATATATAACTTTTTAAAATATAAAAATATTTTAAATAAAACTTTTATTTTAAATTTCTTTATAATTAAACTTTTTAAAATAATATAAAAAGAAGTTTTAAAATATTAAAAATACTCTTTTTTAATATTATTTCTTAATTTTTAATTTTTTAATTAGTTAAGTTAGTGTTTTATATAGGGACTTTAGTAGTGTATAATAATTATACGCTACTAGCGTACTTTTAGTACCTTGGAATGCAAATGAGTGTAGGCGGCCACCCTAGGCGCTGCTGCCTTAAAGCCGCATGACGCACGGGCTCCCCAACGACGTTTGCTGGTCATCATTCTTCCACCTTCCACCTTCATACCGACATTTAACCTCCCCCTTCTTCTCCTGTCAGATCCCTGATGAACGACCTCCAGTCCAATTAAAATGTCAGAAACTGATGAAATGCAACCCAATGTCCGTCCGCGGACTCATGTGGGAACGCTATTGCGCTGTTTCTTGTGCCATGAGCCGATCCCCCGACCTTATGGCGTCGACAAGGACGACTTCTATCCCGAATGGCAGGGCCCCTTGGTCTCTGGTACGTCTGATATGTTTAACCTGTGGCCGAATCACGTACTTACGAGGACCTATAAAGTGTTCCCTTTCACTACCGGCGACGGGCCTGTTCAGCAGCAACTGCGCCCCACCAACGTAAAGGATTTTGAGGCTTATGATGTCTCATTTCTGGTGTTGCCCACACCATATTACACCCCATTTTGGAAACAGAACCCGCTCCTCGACAGCTTGTCCGTTCAGGATTGTGGGGAGCAACCCCTATGTGGGGATTACTGCGATGATTGCAGACCAGATCGCATGGTCTACCTCTCGCACCGGGACTGTTGGAAAGTCGCCTTTTCCAGCGGCCGATGCTCTTCGTCGGACTGGTCCCGCCTAGCTGTTCAGACTCGACCATTCGAAGTCCGTTCCTGGCGGGTGAAAGATCAAGTTGCGGTTTGTCACCAGGACCCTGTCACCCCTATACTTAGCTCCGTGCCCACTGATAGCAACCTGTTCCACGAGGGCACCCCTTTAGGAGGTCTTCTCGCCAGGATACGCACGCTACCCACGGAACTTCAATTCCAAATAGTGGGCCGCCTGAAAGGCACAATGTTTGCTTCCCTTCTACAAACCAAGTCGTTTGTTTCCGAAGTGATGCCTCATCTACGCCCCAATTCCAATTGGGCAATTCAACCTAAGACGACACCCTTGGGGTCGAATGGTGAAGAAAGCAGCGCTATGCTTTCGTGTTGTTCCACTAGCATCATGGGCCGGTCATACTTGAGTGAATTGACTCTCGGACAACCCAAAGTCTCAGGGTCACATATCCCTATAGCGAAGAAACCTATCCATGGTGTCCAATTCGCTCTAGGCACTCTTGGCCTTAGAGGCATTCGCATTTCGTATGAGGATGGAACTTCGTCCCCATGGCTCGGCGAGTCATCGTCTTGCTGGATAGGAGCAGTTCCATGCCGCGATCTGTCCAATTTGACAGTTATTGCCGACGTGAGTTACTCATATATTCTGATTTTAAATATGGGGTTTCACTTTACTACATGTCGACAAAAGACACAGAAAGAAGATACATTCATTAAGCTGGTGGTACTAATATGGTGACATCATAAGGAGTTACGGGTCATCAAGGTTGACACGGACCAAAGTGCCGCCACGCGTGCAGGATCATCAGTCATGTGGTGGGGTGAGGGCCCTCCTGCGAGAAGTCACATTGTCATGGACTGGTTTTGGACCAGGGAACTTCATTACTATCCAGATTGGCAGCAGTGTCAGTATTTGCCACTAACCTTTGGCAAAGAGTACGCGGCCGGCTTGACAGTGTACATGAACTCTGAGTTCTCGGGTGTGATGGGCCTTGTCTCCCATGGGTCCTCTGACTTTGCATTCGGGGAGGCTGTGGCCTTCGATAAGCATCATCACTCCTCTGGAACACCACTTCATTTCGCCTTCAGCCCAGGAGAGTATTTGACGTCTGCTTGGCTGCATCTAAATTCAATGCAGCCATATAGGAAATTTGGAGGGATACTTGTGGTAGGGATTTCGCCTTTCCCCGGACACCTTTCAAATGGAACCTAACCATTGCAAAATAATAGTTGGCTACTAATATGGGCCGAGTTCAACATTTCGGATCTTATCCATTTTCCCAGCAAAGAAACCTCACCGATTCAGCGTGGGTTCGTCTCAGCAGTGAGCGCTCAGCTATGATTCATGGACTGGTCATTAACATAACCCATTGCAATTGGTCTGGATGTATCATTCCAATGTTTGGAGTATGTCAGGACGGTCTTCCTGCACGGGAACTCGATGACACAGTGAAGCCTCCGCTCGTGCCAGTCCATATAAGGGGGCCTACGCTCCCCTCACCGTCTTTCACCTACCACCTTCGAAAGCGTAAGAAGCGGTACGGCTTCTCGACAGCATCACTGAATAACATAGCGACCATCCACGTGCGCAAGAGGAATGTTTCATTCGATTCAAGGAGGGTAAGCTGGTGTGTAGGGCTGCGTATAGTCCATCACGATTCAACCATCGACATACTGGGCAGATGGGATCCCAGACAAAAAATGTCAATTTCGAAATTATATGATTCCGACGAGGGCTTCCTTACTCGAATATCTTTTCACTTGACAGAATTTACGACAAGAACAATTGTGGAGCACATTACTGTAGGAGTAGCAGATACTCTGTGGGATTGTCAGCCGCTAGATCCTTCATCACTGGTTCCCATGGACCCTCCGGACCACTCTTGGAGATGCAACCCTGCTCAGTATCCGACATTTCCGTTGAAAACGAGAACATTTGACTGCACCGAGGGCTCTCAAGTAAGTAATTCTAATTCCTCACATTCGCTCTAACTTTTCTGTCGGTTCTGACAACGAGTACAAAGCGGGTTGCCTGGTGGTTTACATGTGGAAATGACGATATCAGTCGGGATCATGGGTGCTCAGCTGTTCAAGCTGAAGGGCGAAGAGATGACACAGACAGCCTCAAAGCGATTCAAGTAGAACGTGACGGCACGGCGGTGTGAGCCTGCATTGGCCAGCATAAATCGTTCTGGAACTCTGATCGTGCAGCAGAGGCGCAGTTTTGCGGATACTCTAATAAATTGAGCGAGTTTGGACCTGCCAGCTTTTGTATCCAAAGTCTATGCTACTACCAGTACATAAAGAACGATATCCGCGATATGAAAGGAGTGTAGTAGTGGTTGATTCAACGAATGATTGCAGCACCGTCGAACCCCCGCTGAGCAAACATATAGGATGGTGATGATGATCCTGAAAAGTCCATTGATATCACCCATCTAGATCGAGTCGTCCTTTCCTTGAATCCAACATAAGCTTTCCAGGAAATCACATTCTACCATGACAGAAATCGACCAAGCAGGTCTATCATAGGTCTGTTTCGTATCTGAATATGAATGGCATACCTAAGTAGATAAGGTCCAGCCGTAGATAGAGAAGTTGAGTTCCTGAGTGTTTGGAATAGTCTTGCTTGTCCTCGGATCATTGGCCGGGAGTGCTGTTCTGTGGAGACCGTTGACGAATTGATTTTGTGGGTTGATCAGACGGAGATGCAGACCGTCTATTATCATTGGCCTCGGCTGACCTGCCAGGCCTGGGTGCCGTCGGCGGACGTTGCCCAGCAGACGGGGACCCGGACGTCGAGATGCTCATGGGTGACCCACCCGCTGAAGCATTCCGTGGTCCAGGGGGGGGTGGTGTGCTAGTTCGTTGGCTGAGTATTCCAATCATGTCGCTGCCCGCTGAGGTGCTGGGCCTGCTGCCCGCTGAGGAATCAGGCCTGCCGCCCGCTGAGGAACCAGGCCTGCTGCCCGCTGAGGAGTTGTGGCTGTTGCCCGCTGGGGACGGGAGCGGTTCCGGAGGGTGACTACGCCTGATATCTTCGAAGTGGGCGCGGATCCTGGCTTGATCCTGAGGTTGGCCGACGTCCAGATAGTCTCTATTCACATCGATATCGTTGGAACATCCAACCTTATCGTTGATATCCTTCATAACAACAACACTTTTGTTGACTTTGTCCAGCTCGGCAACGAAACACCGGATGTACTGGCCCACCACTGCATTGGCATAAACCCGCTCGTCGGCTCCTGGAGGCCTTTTTGAGATAAGCCATTCCCTGCAGTATCCAGCGAGTTGCTCTTCCAAGTCCAAGAGCGTGTGTCCTTTCTTTGTTGATTCCGCATTGCGTGCTCTTTTGGCCTCTGTAAAGACTAGGGCTATCCTGCGGAATCCACCAGGCGTTTGTGCGAAGTAGTATGTACCGATGTCCATTCTCTTCTTGGTCTGACTGTTCGCAGCCCATTGGGAGTTGTTGGAATATCCCTGCAGTAATACCTTATGGTATAGGTCTTCCCAGAGAGCAACCGTCCAGTGCTCAAGTGGATCCTCAATTGTTCCGTCCTTCCTAACGCGCACTTGAGCCGCCTGGTGAATTAACCTCAAGGCCCTAGTTCCCAACAGATCTGCGTTCCTAGTTTGAGTACTTCCGGCAACGCTGGAGGCAGAACTCTGAGAATCGGCCGTAAATCCTTTGCCCATAGCTGAAATTGTGGTTGATAAGGGGAAGCAAAAGAATGGGAAGAGGCAAGAGGGCCTTGGTGGGATTTATGTCGTAGGAGGTAGGGTAAGAAGACTGTGGAACGAGGTAAACGAAAAGGTTCCACCAGGGAATCGCTTAAGTTGAGTCTGAAGAGTGGGAGTAATCAGGTTGGAAGAGGATATCTGAACTTGTTACTTTCTTCATCTCAGTGCCCGGCCAGCTCGAGCACTTTATAGATTTGAACCGCATCACGACAAATACCCAGACAGTGAATGTTCGACCATGCAGAACTTGCTGGTCCATGAAGGTGGCCTCTGGGTTGCAGGCGGCCACGTCTCCAGAGGACGAGGCACTGTCCGTTTGTGGCCGAGATGAACTGCTGTGGGTTGGTTTTAAAGATCCACCGCAGGTCGGACCCGGGTCTCGCTTGGGCCTCAGTTGTAGGAATGGTGTACTGGCACGGTGTTGGGAAGGGAATAAACATTCGATTCTCTATTTGCAAAGGCTCTAAATCTCTACCTCAAAGACCAACCAAGTGTGTCCAAAACCTCATAATATCGTGTTACGAGGGTGTCTGTGTCGAGCTGTGGGACAATTAGTTGCAACTGCCAGGCAACACGCGAGTGCCCATGTCAGCAACCGTTGTGCGGGTGGAGAACTCCTGACTCTGTCAGACCCACTTAATTGCAGCGTCGTGATCCCAGAATAGATTCTTAGGCGGTCACGCGGGCCAGAAGACCAAGGCCAGTCGGCCGCAGTTAGACCGGGTATGACAGGTTCTCCTTGATATGCACGCAATGGACTAACCCATCAGCGAAAAGTTGACAGTAATGGAGGTGTGTTGATTTTCGTTTCCCGATGGATTTATTTTGCTCATCCCTAACTATAGCCGATACTGTGTTCATTTCTTTTTTTTTTTGGTTATCTCTTGTGATTGCCCTCCCTTAAAAGACCTATACTATAGCAGAAGGTATAATATAACGTCCCTAGCCTATATTCCAATAGTCCCTTAAATCTAACTACTCTATATTTATATTTATATATATATATATCTATTTCTACTCTATTTATACCCTTTTTATAACTTTATAAGGAATTTTTTTTTAATTATTAAACTTTTTTTAAATATTATTTTTATTATTATAAAGAAGTATAAAAAAAAAATTTATAATATATTTATAATAATTAAAAATAAAATACTTATATAAAAACTTTTAAGACTTAATATATTTTATATATTATATTATAAGATTATTTTTAATATATAAAGTAAATTTATTATTTATAAATTTTATTAACTTTATTTTAATATTTAAGAGAATTAATTAATATTATTTTCAATTAATTAAAGTAATTTAAATTATATTTTAATTTATTAAAAATATAAACTTTAATAGGTTAAATAGTCTTTTTTTCTAATATTTTTATTAAAAAAGTAATTAAAAGCTTTTAGTTTATTATTTTATTTTTAAAAGTTATAAATATTAATAGATTAAAGTAAAATAGTTAAAGGTAGTAATAAAAAGAATATATTTATATAGTTTAATTTAATATAATTATTTATTATAAAATTATTAAATTAAATAATTATTAAAATATTAATAAAAAAGATTAATAAAAGAAGTTTAAAATAATATTTATAATTAGCTATTTAAAAGTAATAAATTATTTTAAAAGAATTTTAATTTATATATATAAACCTCCTTTATAAGATATATATCTATTATAAGTAAGTTTTTAAATCTTTTATTATTTTTAAGAAATTAAGTATATAATAATAATAGTTTTTATAATTTTAAGGATTATATAGGTTAATAGTTTATAATAATAAAAAATTAAATAAAAAGTTTATTATAATTAAGTAATTAAAGAAAGTTTTTTTAAATTATATTAAAAACCTATTTAAATAATACCTTTTATAATTAATAAATATTATATATATATTATAATTAACTTTATATAAAAATATTTTTAAATAATATTTATATATTTTTTATTAATTATTAATTTATATATATTTTAATTATTTAATATATTAATTTTTAATTTATTTAAAATTATTTTTAAAAGTATTTATAATATTAAAATAATTATAATTCTTTATTAATAGTTATAAAAAAGTTTTTATTATTATTATAAAGTATATATTAAAACTTTTATAAAGTTAAATATTTAATTTAAGTAATAAGTAATTAGTTTATAAGTATTCTTTAAATATAAAGTTTTAATATATATTTTATTAAAGATTAATAAGTTATTAAAATAAAGAAAGTAAAAAATTATTATTAAATAAAATAATATATATTTTTATATTAAATAGTATTTTTATTAACTTTAAAGGATTATTTTTAAGATTTTTAAATAATTATAAAAGTTATATAATATAATAATTAAATATATTTATAATAAATATTTAAACCTATATAATAACTTTTTTATAAAATTTTAAAAATTAAAATTAAAAGATATTAATTTAATAATATTTATAAAAAAATTTAAAAATTAAAATATTAATTAAAAATTAATAAAGTAACTTAAAAAAAAAGTTTAATTTAATTTAAATAAGTTATTTATAAATATTAAAATAGTTTAATAAGTTTAAATTAAAGTTAAATAAATATTTAAAGAAAGTAATAAAGATAATTAATTAAAGATTTTAATTATTAAGGAGGATAAAATTATAGTAGTAGTATAAATAGAGTTAAAGTAAAGGAGTAGTTAAAGGAGAAGGTAGTTGGATTTAGGGGACTGTTGGAATGTAGGCTGGGGATATTATTTTTAATAGTATTTTATGGATGACTGCCGGTGGTATGGAAATCGCGGTCGAGGTCAACTGTTCCGTAGATGTGTATGTTGCCTAGGAATGCAACACTGTCGGCCCTCGATCGTATCCACAGCTACGCGTCTGATATGTGCGGCTGAACAGGTCTATTGAAGGGTTGCGACCTCAAACGGGCGACCTTCTTACCCGCCTACCATAAGAAAAAAAGCAAGAACGGGTTTTGGAAGGCCTGCTGCCAGCGGAGGCCTGCATTAGAAGTCCGAATTTATTTCGGCGGCTGGTTTGCAGTACTATCAGATGTGAAACACTACCTAGGTAGGCGTGAAACGTGTTGGCCAAGATAATTTTAGGATTTAGGTCTCGCTTGACCAGAGTTGCAGCCCCATACCATGTACCTGTTAGGCGCCTACCTTAAATGGCAAGCCTTAGTTAAACAAAGTTATTACATAATAATATATTATTATATAAGATTTATTTCACTTTATCTTTATAAATTTATTATTATATGAGTGTATTCTTAGAAATAATAAATTTAACCTGATTCTCTTATTTAGAATTATGAAACTGAAAATAAAGAAGATTAGCCTTGCTAGTACCAATGATAAGAGTACTTGCGCCGCCGCCAGCAGCCCGGACGTCACACGTGTAGCTTGAGAAGTAGAAGGGCTGAGACGGCGCGTACAGCCCAGGGATCTTAGCGAGAAGCTGGTTCTGCCAGAGGATGGCCATATGGGCGTCGGTAGACACGACGTTGCAGGGGTACTGTGCCGATGGCTGCAGCCCGACCTTTCCGATGTTGTTGTCGGCGGGTGGCAATAGTAGCACCCAGACACCAATCTCAGTATACAATAACAGACACTTTCAGTCCACATCAACTTTAGCCACATTATATTTTTTATTCAACTATATATTTATCTATTTATTATCTTCTTAACTTTTAAACTAGTTATTAGTTTATATTTTAAGTATAAAGTTAATAATTACTTAATATATACCTTTAAACTTATTTATATATAATAAAGTTATTAGTTTCCTTTATAAGGCTCCTTTTTTTATTATATTCCTTATATATTATATAAAAGTAAATAAATCTTTAATAATAAAGTAATATATTTAAAGAAGAAAAATTTAATTTTTAAATATTTAAATTTTTACTTTTATATAATATTTATTTAATATATAATAAATAAACTTTACTTAACTTTTAAAAGATTTTAATCTTTTATAAAATTTATATAAAAGCTTTTAAATAAGTTTACTATTATAATATTACTATTTTATTAGTAGCTATATATTTAGGATAGAAATTATATTAGTTTATTTAATAAAAGTAAATTTAAGTAGTTATTAAGTATATTAATAAGGAAAAGTTAGTTTATTAAGTTTTATATTATAGAATTCTTCTTTTTATAATAGTTATTTTAAAATTATTTTAATTTTATTATATAACTACTTTATTAACTTTAATTTTAATATTATAATAAATTAAACTTTAAGTTATTTATATTAATAACTTTAATATAATACTATTAAAAGTAATACTTTCTAACCTTATTTATATAGTATAAGGCTTAGCTCTATACTTATAAATATACTATATTCTCTTTCTACTATTATTAATACTATATTTCTTTAGATATTAGGTCTTAAGTGTTTACTACTATATGAAGGTACTATATATATTTTATATATATGGGGATTAAAAATGAAACCACACGAAACCACTCGGTCCGCGTCCTCGGAGATGGATAGTCGGCGGGGCTGATGGGTCCAGAGGCCGTCCTGACCAGGGACGGCGAAGCCGTGGGCAAGCAAGGTGGCCCGTGGCTGCCAGCGGTCACCGCTCGAGGACGAGGGTGAAGGCGAGGAGGGAATGCTCGACGTGCGCGTCCAGGAAAAGAGCCGGCCGTCGCTGCAAAACCCAAAGAGAGATCGACTGTCTGGGGAAAATACAAAGCTATAGCAATCCAGATCACCGGCGGTGGTATTGCTAGTGTCATCATCGTCATCGCAATCCGTGGTGTCGTCGTCGTCTTCGTCCTCGTCCTCGTCCTCATTGCCGCTTCCTCCTGAGTCGCTTTTCCTGTCCCCCTTCCGTTTCCGCGTGGTGATATCCTCCCAGCACAGAGTGGCACATGGCACCAACGGTCCAGTAGGGAGGAGGTTGTTGGACGCGGGATCCGGCGAAATGTCCCAGATATGGCCGGGGCGGCCGGATGTGACGAGGAAGCGGCCGTCAGGGGAGAAGGCAACCGTTCCCGGCGTGCGTTCGGCCGCACCCTTCATGGTAAGGAAGATTCGGTTAGGTATAGGTGTCGTTTTGTTGTTGTCGTCCTCCTGATCGGACTTGTTATCTTCGGACATGCTGTCTTCCTCTACGAAGTATCCATCCATGGTCCCGTTCGTGTCCTTATAGGCTTGCCGGCACGCCTTCAGGTCCCAGAGACGGACGAGCCCGTCGAACGATGCCGTGGCCACGAGATCGTCCGCGGAAGAAAAGGCTGCAAAGCGAACCCACCTGCTATGTCCACCCATGAAGGCGACGCGCTCGCCTGTTTCCACGTCCCATACGTCCGTCTCACCATTATCGTAGCACGTCAAAAGCCAGGCATCGTCGCTAGAAAAGCTGAGCCAGTTGATTTCAGAGTCAGTGCTCTCCATGGTACGCCGCAGCGTGGCCTCAGAGATCTCTGCCGCCTCGCTCTCGCTGGTGGCCATTGTTGCACGTGGAAGATCCCAAAGTTGGACTTGGCCTTTGTTATTTGACGTGACCACCCGCAGGCCGCCGTGAGAGAGAAGTGTGGACGTGAACGGCTCCGACGCCTCTGATGCAGGTGCCTTGCCCCTCATGCTGCTGGCATCCGAATCATAGGTACTGTCGACACGCGCGGCATTGCTGCCACCGTCGGCGTCTGTCTCAACGACCTTACAAATTGCAGTTGGTTCAGATCTGTATGTGAACACGACCTCGTCCCGGCCATGCGAAAAGGCATACGACAGCATATTCGCCTGCGGTGGCCGGTACGATCGAATAAGGGGCTTATAAGCAGGCTTTGTGGGGTCCGGCTGCCCTTGCTGGTGTTGTTCTTCCCGTTCTTTGACGAAGTGAAACATTGCGAAGGAGTAGTCCTCCGCGGAAGAGACGAGAAAAACGCGCGAGGGCGAAATATAACGCACTTCAGCGGGCTCGCTCTGGGCCCAGTGTAGCGTCTGCTGTTTCTCCGCCAGCCGAGTGTTGTAGATGACCACGTCGCCGTCGCTGCGGACGACGGCAGCCAGTTCAACATTGTCAGCCATGACGACGTGCTTGCAATCGGACTCGGACAACACGTCGGCCAGGTCAGCAGGCAGGTTCTTGTATCCGAGCGCAACACGCCGCGCCTTTTGAAAATGCAACCCCGGCATGCCCAAGACCACTTCGTGCGCATGGTCGAGGGCAGAATATTTCAAAGTAATGTCGTTTGAGGCATCTTCGGCGAAGCGCATGTAGGAAATCCATGTAAGCTCCTCGTCGTCATCGTCGTCGTTGTGTTTCTTCCGCCACTCTGCAATGATGTCGGAACAAGACTTTGTCGTGATGGGGGCGAGGGCGCCACTGGCGAGGTCAAACTGTACAATGGTCCGGTTGTCCATGGCAACAATCATGCCGGTATCCTTCCGTGAGACAGCAAGTTGGCTCGGATAATCCGGAAGTGTATGCTCCGTGACGTGCTGCAAGCGGAATGATGCGCGGTCCCAGCACCGCAGCGTATCGTCGTCCGAGATGGAGACGATAAGCCGGCCGTCATAGGCCCACTGCATGTCGCGGACCCAGTCGGTGTGGCCCTCGAGCGTGGCGATCAACGATTCCGCCTCGGCCATCTTGGGGCTGTCGGGCAACGGCACGGCCGGTGTTTGCGGTAGGACAGGTAAGTCGTCTCCGTTGTCCTGCTCGCCTGCATTGCAGCCCGCTATGCGCCGAAAATGCTCCGTATCCGCCAGGGACATGTTCAACGCCTGCGGGCGCTCGATGCGCGACAGCAATGTCTCCAACGCGGCCTGTATCGGCGACAGCTGTTGGCGGCCTGGCGGGAGCAGATCCAGCAGGATACCCCTAGCTACGGTGATGATTCCGAGGCCTTCCAGGTCGAGGAGCCATACACCTGCGTTCCTCTCGACGAACTTGCACACCTTATCCGTCAGCGTCAGGTCGTCCGTCCGGCCAATGTCCACACGGTCGAGGTGGCGCAGCCACGCGAGTTTCATATACGGCGAGACCTGCCCGCGGCCCGCATCACCGTAGTGACAAGCGAGATGGCGCAGGTGGCGGCAGGCCATGTCGGCGTGCAGGTTGGGGGCTGCGGTGGTCTTGGCCAGGCGTGCGCGCTGGGCCGACAAGACCGCCTGGTTCAAAAAGTAGACGTATTTCTGCGCCTCGGCACTGCCATCCTCACCGTCCCGGAGCTCGAGCAGCGGCCGTGCGAGGACAGAGATGAAAACAGCAGCATCCATGGTGGCCGGCACCTCGGCGAGTGCGGCCATCTCTGGGACAGTCAAGGGCCGGAACGCGAGTGCGGCCACGTATAACACGGCATCCACGATCGTCTTGACGCTGGCATCCAATGGGCCGTGACCATCACTGTTCCTGCTGACGTTGTCCTGGACGATCCAGCTCATAAGCGAGCCCAAGCCCTCGCTACTGTCAGGCAGGCGCTGCAGGACGTGAATCGCGTTCCATGGCAGGCAGACCTGGGCGAGGACATCAGCGACAAGTGTGGACCAGGCGACATTGCCGCCAGCCCGGTGAGTGAGCTCCCTGGCGAGCTGATCCAGAATATCAGGTGTGTAAGTCGGGGCGGGCCGGGACTGTAACAGGGCTCGGACATAACCGTTAATGATCTCGCTGAGCCCGGGCTTCGGACCAGGCCCAGCTTTGTCGCCTGGGTCTCGAACTACGTCGTCCGGAGGCGAGACTTGGACTCGGAGGTGGCAGCCGCCGTCGTCGTTCACATCGTTGGTTACAGGGGACAAAGGTGACGACGACATGATCCACGCCACCTTGTCAGACATGCCACATGTTGTGCGCACAAGTGCCACGAGGTCACGAGGCGTCCAAGCCCGCTTCTGCGCGGTGCTGGCGTCGACATGGCCGTCGTCATCATCCAACAGGACGCCCATGTAGTCCACGACAAAACATGTTGGCTCAAACTCCGGGTCGCCCACGATGCGGCACAGCAGCGCCAGCATGGCATAAAAGTCACAAGATGTGCCCAGCAGGGCGTAACGCGCGTCCGAGTTGTCGCCGCCGCCACCCAACAGCCGGCCCCGGCCTGTCGCCCGCACTGCCTCGCCCAGGTGCTTCTGCATCGTCGGCTGGGCCGCCAGCACGCCCCATACGAGGTCGCGCAAGACCGACACCACAGACGTGCCGTTCACCTCCCGGAACCAGTCCCAGGACGCGCGTGCTACGGTGTGCCATGCCCGCCCGCCATCCTCCTCGGCAGCCCCATTCTCGGTTTCCGCCTTGGCGAGCGTGTCGAGCAGCATCGTCATGCATGGGCCCTCGGGGCCGTGGAGCCAGAGAATGCGGTCGTCTGAGCCGGCATCACCGGCGCTACAAGCCTTGCGCCACCGCCGGTACGCGTCCTGTTCACACGCCCAGTGATAAAGGCTCTCATACACCCCCTGCAACAGATCGAGCGGCAGCAGTGATAGCGCCCGTAGCGATGGCGGCCTTGCAGGAGCCACACATAGTGATTCCTGGATCTTGTCGTGTCCAGGGGCGTCATCACTGCATGTTTTGTTGTCGGGATCTCTGTAATCCTCGTCATTGCCATCCTCGTCTGTATCATTGACATCGTACTCATCGTTGGTATCGCTGTGTTCCCTATCACCCTCGCGGCCATCCCCTTGGATCATCGTGTCGCTGGCTGTCTCGACCGAATCCCTGTTGTCCCTCCCTGGCAGAGCACGGCACCCGTAGGCGGACAAGCTGGGCGATGCTCTCTTCCAGGGCCTTGTCTCGGGCATGCTGCCCCAGGGATAACTCGAGGGCGATGACGGGATGCAGGCCCGCGCTACCAACAGCCACGTTCGGGTGGTCAAACATTTTCTCCTTCTGCTGCTGTGTGCGCGTTGCATGCGGCACATGGCCCAGGGCAAGGGCGACAATGAGCTGCCTAAGTACGGCTGTGTACAGGTCGACAAGACCCTCACGTAAGGGGCCGTCCCCCTCTTCGTCGCCCTGTGGCGCGTTGGATGTAAGTTGTGACAGCCGGTCGTAGAAACCAATGCGTGCCACGATGTACGCGAGCCCCGGGGCCTGAGATCCGGGCCAGGTTTTCTCGACCAGCCTCTGTGGTTGCACATGTGTGGTCAGAAAGAAGGCATCCCATGGAATATCAGTTGGAATCCACTTCACGACACAATGCTTACCTGGATGCACAGGCTGGCTGCGACCCACGCAAGGTGCGCACTCGGGCTCTGCTCTATGTTTCTGGTCAATAGCGTCTTAGTTGATGCCAGAGCACCGCGCACCCCGTCTTCCCTGCCCTCATCCTCCCCCTCGCTTCCGCTGTCTCCCTCGGTGACGCTATCTCCCCCGGAATTTCCCTCAGAGATCCAGCGCTCAACCGCACGCAACACCGCATTCGGATCCATGTTGTGCCAGCCCGGCGCGCCGAGGCAGCCAAGGGCATTTGAGCTGTTGCTTCTCTGCAGGGGCCGGAAGACAATGCGCGCCTGCTCCTCGAAATCGACTAGTTTCTCAGTGTCCTCGTCCCGCAGGCGCGCGTAGGCCGTATGCCACAGAGCACGCGTGTCCGGGCTGAATCCCCACCGCCGACCGCCGCCCCCGCCGTCGACGCTACCGGCACAGCCACTGATGGGCGGCGTGACCAAGAGGCGCAAAACGTGGATGACGGGTACTATCCACTCTGGTACAACAGAAACGCCCACAAGCACAACGACTTCATGCTAAAGCGGACGTGGAAGCAGATCCGCTCAGCGCTGATCTACTGCACCATGAAAAACGCCAAGGATATGCAGATGCTTCTCATAATTCTACAGAAATCAGAGGGTGTATTATTTCACAGTGCTTTCTTCTATTTTCTTGCGTTAACTACGACTTTTCCCGGGCGCCTTTCTGACAATATATGAACATTGAAATACTACAGAACCTGGTAAGACAGTTCTGTCCATGTTGCCCGATTCTCCTGCTCATTCTGATTCTAATCGTCCAAAAAATGAACATTAACAGAAATTGAAATCAACTTTGACATGTCCCGACTTCTGCTTGAGGGCACGAGCGTGGCCGACTTTGTCACGTCGATGCCGCGGCACGGGCGCAGCTACAGCCTCATCCGCTACGAGGAGACGATCCGGTACGCAGAGTTCCCGGCGCTGAACCTGAGCATGCAGCCGCGAGCCCCATCCGCACAGAACCCGCAGCGCTCGCATCTGCAGCGCGCGCACACCGAGGTCCTGGACATGCTCGATTGGCTCGCCGATCATGGCGTGCGGCGCATCATCACGCTGCGCGTGCCAGACCGCATGGCGCACCCGCACGACGAGCTTAAGATTGCCGAGGTGGTCAGGCGCTTCCGTGTCGAAGAGCTTGACTGGCGCATCCTCGACCTCTCGCTCAACATATTCCGGCCCCACGGCGACCCGGACGCCATTCCATTTGTTTGCACCGTCGATAACGACAGGACCAAAGACAACAGCCCCGACAACACCGGTAAGTCTGGGAAACCCGGCAAGACTGACAGGGGCAGGGACGAAATGAATGAAAAGAACAAAAATACACCCGAGGACAAAATCGTGCAAGAGACGTACCTCAGGCGGCTGCACCTCTACACGGGCGGGCGGCGATCGGCGCTGGATCACTGGTTTAGCACCGAGGGCCTCGAGTCGATGAAACTGGACTACGTCTGCATCCATGTGATCAAGGTACGTATGTAGACGCAAAGACACCGGCAAAATAGGAAGGTTATTTTGAAATCAAATCGGGAACTCTGCAAAAACAAAACACTCACCGCGCATAGGAACTCATGACCAAGGAACAAAGCGACGCGACCCTCCTACACATAAACACCAAGATTCACGCGTTGAAGAAACGGAAAAGGTCCATGGAAGTCGACGTGCAGCCGCAGTACTGGACCGCCCAGACCGAGACTCCACGCCTGCAAGAGATGTGCGTTCTTCATGTTGCTGGTGTCTTTATCTGGTTCTCTCGTATCTTACCCTACTGATCTCACCAGCGTCCACCACCTGTCGCCACGACTCGCCCAGTTCATTACATACTACCGCAAAAGAGCATCTACATGCCACAGGGATGAGACAGGCTTCCGGCCGACGAAAGTAGCCATCATAGACAACGGCATCCTCAGTATGGACCCGCCGAGCGCACCACGGGGAGCCGGCCCTGCCCGCCCTGACGATGCGCCAGACGTCCACGATAGTAGCGGTAATTACAATGATAGCAGCGAGCGGCATCTGCACAGCCAGGACTTCTTCACGGCCAACAATCTGTGGGCGCGCATCTGCGACGGCAAGTCGTTTGTGCACGAGTGGGACCGTGTGAGCCCGTGGTACCTGGCATCGAACCCGCACGGCACGCAAATGGCGAACCTATTGTGTGCCATCGACCCGCTATGCCAGCTTTTTATAGCCAAGATAGCCGACAGCCACTACGGCTACTCGACTGCGAGGGCGGCGGAGGCGGTGGCCTGGGCCATCGACAAGGGGGTGGATATCATCTCAATGAGCTTCACGACGACCGAGAAGGACGATGTGTTCATCGGCGCCGTGCGGAAGGCCATGGAGGCGGGCATCCTCGTCGTCTGTAGCCACCACGACGAGGGCGCACGTATCGGCACCGAGGTCTACCCGGCCTGCCTCGGCAAGGAAGCTGGCAGCAGGATGCTGCGCATGGCCAGCTGCAACATGTATGGAAAGCTGCAGCCCGACTGGGACGATAAGACCACCGTGGACGCCAATAAGAAGTCTAACCAGTACGACTTCTGCATCAACAGCCAGGACGTCGCGGTCGGCGCCATCCCCTTCCTCGCCGCCTCCACCGAGCGCATCAGCGGCAGCTCAGTCGCCACCGCCATCGCCGCAGGCGCCTGCAGCTTGCTCATCGCCTGCCTGCGCAGTCTCCGCTCCGTATCCACCAAGCAGGACGCCCAGGGAAAGATGCCTAGCAGCCAGGGCATGGTACAGATACGCAACAACGTCATCCGCGCTCTCGGCACCAACAACCGGCCCTCCTACACTGACATCAAAACCTATTTGAAAACTATGGCCCCTTCCCAAACCAATCCGTATTTCATCTCCCTCGACCGCTTCGCCCAACTCGACGAGCTCCGCGACGTCAGCACGGACAAGCTGTCGAAAAAGTTTCACTCCTTGGGCACTTACTTCCCAGGGTTTCCAAGGGAGTGAGTATTCAGTGCTCACAGTAAGCTATCAAGGCTGGCCAGTCTAGGGCATGCAAGAAATTGTAGGACATAAATCCCACAACACAGCTTCAAACTATTATTCCTCACACCCCGGGCGATGCGCAAACCAACACTATATCTAGGTAGCTAGTTTTATGTTAGTAGCTTTATTTCATTTGCTTGTATGGCTTCTGTGTAACCTAGAGCGTCTGAATTACTAACGGCAAAGGCACTTCGCCCTCCTTCCAAGGGTGCCTCAGTCATGCCAATGGTGGTTGGAAGTATGTGAGTAGATACAGTTTCTGCATAAGTGAACGCTGAGGTAGGCTGGTGTTGTCCACGATGCGCCCAGCCGTTGTCATTTTGGAGAGGGGACAGTACTGATGGACAGATCTCGATCAATCAGAATGAACGAAAATATAATGGCATCCTAGGCCATGGAATTTGCTGGTGAGTCTGAATTCATTGATCCCTCAATACATCAAAACGATTTCCATGACATTCCGGTACATCATTTAAATTCTTTCACAGTCGTTCAAAATCTCATGTACCCAATTTCTAGATCCAATCTTCAACATGACATTCACGGGACTGACACAATCTGGCAGTCACAATCACCACTCACAGTGGTAACCACCATCTACCGTTATTCATAATAGGATGCCATGACAGCTGATAATCTTAGCCCCATTTTGACAGCAGTGCTGCCAAATCTAGTTGCCTCAAGATTTAATAAGCATTTGACCTGGTGTCTAAAGTGCCTACAGTACTACCCTAGGAGTCAAAATCCAGACAGGTGTCCTTACTGTGCAAACAGACAGACAGGCAAGATGCCAGAGAGAAAGGCAGAAGATAGAACAAAATAATAGGGAAAAGAAGCACAAGATAATGGGAAAATTAGTAAAATTTTATGAAACAGGATTTAGGAGCTCTATATAGGTTTGTCATTTATTCTACATGTAATTAAACCCAGCAATAGGGTATTCACAGAAGACACTTTTACACTTCAAGCCCCTTATCTTTTAGTAATTCTTCATATTAGACATTTTATGGCCAATTAGCATGCTCCTTTGGAGGCTACCAAAGGAGGAGTTTGTAATTTTGAAGTGCAATGTAGGCTTAGGCGCTGTGGACACTGTGGATGATACACACACTTGATAGCACTTGAGGGCTCATGGTGTAACCAGTTGACTTAAGATAGTGTGAGCAAAATAAGCAGGGGCGCTAAGAAGGGTTAACTCACATGTGAATTACCCAGATCTTTCATGTGAATCTTATTATGCTCTATAATTGCACATCCATGTGGTTAATAGCTATTTCCTTGTTTTACTACTCCTTCTGTCATATATAGAGTAAAGAATAGAATTAGATATATCTACCTGGCGCTATATCATTTATTATGAAAACTAGTACCTTATGTGGAACAAGAAATCATCCACTTTAGGACCTTGGGAACCCTCCGGGTGCTTGGTACCAAAACATCGATGCCAGAGTGACCAGTAAAGGTAACAAGTCTACGTCAGCTCCCGTTTTCAGGCTATGCGGTTCAGTGACTTCCGGCCCAATTCCTAACAGCTCCGGGCCTTCTGACTCAGTCGTTGTCCTCTCGGTTGCTGTTGTCCTGCCAGGTGTTGATGGCGGGGTATCCTCGAGACTAATCTCCTGGCGATCGGGGGTGGCATGGGCCTTCTCGATGTCGAAGTCTGAGTATTGCACACCCTCCACAATCTGTGTACCAACATCCTCTTCGCTGCTCTCATTGCTCACCGTCTGCTCGTCAACACTGCGTTGGGTGACCAGATCGCTGGTATTCACCTCCTCACGAGAAGGGGCCGACGATGTGGAGACTGCGTCCCCTGTCTTGGCGCTCGCCTCGAGGTTGGTCACTGATTGGCAGGCCTCATCCGTCTTCGCGTGCTCACCAGCTCGAACCTCACAAGTAGCGGCTGAGGGTGGTGTGACTGGGGGCGAAACCAATGAAGACGAAGAGGCTGCGTCACTGATTTGGGCGTTTGTCTGGACCTTAGGATCTGAGGTGTTGGTCTCACTTTCCTCCTGTTGCTCACCAGCACCACCTTTTTCTACCACCTCGCTGCTTTCAACCCCACAATCCGGGACGAAAAGAGAAGAAGCCACCTTGTTCTCCGTCTGGACCTCGGGCTCTGGTGGGATGGTGGCCTTGCCTTCGGCCATCTGGGCAGCATTGATTTTGGAGACAATCTCTCTCCCCTTGACGATGGCACTCTGAGCTTTGGGTATCGATGTCTCGCTGCCCTGGTCAGTGGGTGGTGAAACGCCAAACGTAGCTTCGATGAGTGCCTTGAACTTCTCGCAAATGGTGATTGAGGGCGGCTTGCTCGCCTCTCCATTTGCCCCCCTCAGCGGGCAGACCAATGAGTCCGGATCTTGCCAGACAACAAGCTGCATGTTGGCGGGCGTAGTCTCCTCCACAGGCGGCACCACCCGCGAGATCACTTCGCGCACACTGCACGCCTCGTTCCGCCTTGTTTCTTTGTTGTAGACATACCGTTTCCCGCCATTGCCCTGGCCCAGCTCGCTCTGTACAGGGTTGTAACGTCTGTGAAATTTCTCGAGCTCTTCGGATTGTTCCCTGGAGTTGCTGGGCATCATCTTCTCGAACGCGGCGGAGAAGTGGTCCACGTCCAGGCGCAGCCTCTTGGGCATCTTGCGTGCCTTTTGAAAGGCCGGGGAGACGCCGCCACAGAGTGCGTCGATCCGGCCCTGTTCCATCTTCCAGATGAGAGCGGCCTCAGCGCAGAGGCTTCGCAGGTCCGAACCCGAGAACTTTTGGGTCGCAGCCGCTATGCCCTCGATATCAACGGCTGGGTCGAGGTCGTCATCCTTAAGGAAGATGCGCAGGATGGCGGCGCGGGCGTCCTGATCGGGCAGGCCGACATAAAACTTTTGCGGGAGGCGGCGGAGAAAGGCTTCGTCTAGGTCCCATGGGCGGTTGGTTGCGACGACAACCAAGGGCGAATCTGGGCTGGTAGAGAGGCCTTCCATCTCGTTCAGAAACTGAGTCGTAGCACCGCGCTCCCAGCTTTTGTCGCCAGAGCCGCGGCGGTAGAAAAGGGCGTCGGCCTCATCAATGAAGAGGACGCAGGGACTCAGCCTTTTCGCAAGAGAGAAGGCGCCTCGAATGTACTTTTCGGTCTCGCCCACCCACATTGATTGTGTTGCTGCATAGTCAATAGATAGCATGCGGGATCCCGAGGAGGCGGCGATGGCGCGGCAGAGATGTGTCTTTCCTGTTCCCGGGGGCCCGTAAAGCAAGCATCCCTTGATGCGCAGCTGCGCGAGGAGGAACTCGGATGAGGCTTCTACATCGATCTTGGATGAAGGTACCAGGTTCTGGATCACCTCCTTTGTGTCCTGGTCGAGGATGACATCGTCCCATGAGACCCTGAGGTCCTCTATGAGAAGTTAGGGGTCAGTGGGGAAATCCAATCAAGAGAGCTGGGTCAGGTCGGGCTTACTTGGTTTGACGACACAGTCTCGGAACTTCTCCTCATAATCATCCAGGAATTGGCCTTCTAGTGGATCTTTTTCGACCTCTTCACTTTGTGTCTCACTTTCTCCAGACTTCGCTGTGTCGGAGGAATCCTTTTTACTCTTGAGCAGACTAAGCTTTCTCAGCGCAACATCCACATGCTTCGATGTGATGACTGGATGCGACTTGTTCCAAGCCCGGGTGAGGACTTGTCCGGCGGCACGATGGACATCATCGAAAGCCCACACATCTTGCCCATATCGCGCGAATTCATCTTCTGTTGAATTTTTCATCCATTCAACCTCAAGGCGGGCGTTATCACCATCGGCCATGAGCGCCCCTAGTACCCGGGAGAGACGCCCAGTATTGACTTCGCCCTTTCGCCGGAGAGCACGAGCCTCGGAACCCTTTTTCGAAGGGTTGACAACAGAGAGCGTGACTGTCGAGAGGTCGGACACACACAGCTTCCGGCACCGCTTGAACCCGACGTCGAGATTTCTAGTCGAGATCACGAGCGTGATATCTTCCCCGTTTTTTCGCCTCTCCTGCACCAGTTCGCCGAGTCTGACAAGCACTCTCCTGTTCTTCCGGTAGTCAAAGACCTTGTTGCTGTAGTCACAGTCGACGACGTGTATTAGAAGGCCTCGTTGAGCAGGAGCTACGTCTCCTTTGGCCGCCGGGTCATCCTTTAGCTTGCTTGCCTGGGATGACTTGGCTGAGACGCCACCAAGAACCGCGGCATATGATTGCTTCGCGCGCTCTCGCCATGCCGAATATGAGAATTTCTCTTCGTCCTGCCACTTCTTGCCACGTGCCGCGAAGTAGTGCTCCGTGAATGTCGCTCCATCCGACCAGTCCGGCTTCCAGTCGTCTTTGATGGGCTCTTTTGGTGCTGTCATGCTTGGGGTGGTCTCCACCTTGCCCTCCTCTTTGGCCTCGTCCTTGGATTCTCCCTTGGTCCCTTCCTTCTTCTCCTCCGTGGGACACTCTTTGGAGTCCTCCTTGGATTCGTTCTTCGGAGACTCCTTAGAATCCTGGTTGGTCTCCTCCTCGGACTCTTCTGTGGTCTCATTCTTGACCTCCTCCTTGGGCTCTTCTGCGGCCTCATTTTTGGTGTCTTTCTGCGCACCACTGTCCTCGGATTCTTTACTGTCACCAGCGCCGGTGTCTGTTGTTGATGCAGCCTCCTTCGACTTCTTATCAGACTCCTTCTCGGCAACCAAGTGCTCCTTGTCTTGGGTGTGGAACTCGTTACCTAGTCGCTCCAAGTCTTCGTAGTTGAGGCTGATCAAACCCATACTCAATGACTTTGCAACTTGGGTGACGACGTCATTCATCAACACTGGCTCCATAATGCAAGCATCACAATGGGTCACGGGAGCCACGGAGCAGCGTTTGAAAAGAACAGTCCCGTCCTGAGGTCGCATACGCCGCCAGAGCATGTTCGTCGCCACCGCGTCACGTAGCTCTGAGAACTTGGCGTAGGAAATAGCATCTTCTTGGCTGGTCTCATGCTTCTCAGCGGTTGCGTGTGGGTCGGGGGAATCTGTGGCGGACTCGTTCGTGGATCCTTGGTCATCCGGTTTGGTTGAGTCTGTGTTGGGATTGGTCTTGGATGATTCTTCCTCTTCTACAGCCTCCTCTTCTTCATCGTCGTCGTAACTGTCCTTGGATTTGACACAAATTTCGCATTGACAGATGGGGAACTGCGCCTCAGTTGCGTTGAGGTCGAGAACAGTCTTGACGTTACGCTCCAGGAACCAGCCTGGCAGGCTATACCGGCTCGGAGTCGCCTTTGAGGAGTCGTCTTGGGTATTCTGGGGCATTCTTGCTGCTAAGTTGACACCTCTCCAGGGATATCGTGAAACTGGTGATGAGCTCCGTCCGCGAGAAACTGAATGACGGAAGTGTGACGAGGCAAGAAAGCTTGCACCAAGAGATGTGAAGAATTATTGACTGTGTCATTTGGGACACACCAATTCATAAATGCACGACGGCCTGATGCCTTAAATTGAGGCCTGCGAGTGAGGCCATACTGTTGGTGCCCACTTTTTAAGCCGCATGGCTGGTGGTTCTGCCTAGCTACGCCGCAGACATGCATCTGTCGTTGCAGCAGTTTAATACGTGTCGGTGGGTCAGAACCATTAGGCGACGCCACGTAGTGTGACTCAAGCCGGTAAGGTATTCCCACTCTAGGCAAAAGGGGTGATTTCGTTGGCTCGCACATGCTTCACAGCCTGGAACAGGCCCTTGCACTTGCCTTCTCTGCAGCAGTGGCTATGCAATTCCCAGCCGAGTTCGTCATTGGGGATGCAAAAATACGGAGGCAATGAGAGTGCACCGAATGTCTTGGCTGCATGTACCCTCGGGATTACCTGTTCTCCCCGGTCGGTTCCAGGGCTGTGTCATACTCCAGATGTTCCGCAGTTCGGTTGGTTGATATCGAGATATCCACAATTTCAGCGTCACGGTTCGCACTGAGAGTAAAGCTTGGAAGATTCGAGGGCCTGAGGTGGTACTCTCAATTGAATTCCACGCTGTCCAAAACGCGATGGTAAGATGAATATGCTATGGACTAGACTTCGTTGCTGTTCTCAAGTCGGGACCTTGCAGCAGGATGAGGGGAAACCTCGGAAGCAACTGCGGTTGAAGCAATACCGCTGGTCCCCAATTTCAGAAGACTCCAAACTTTGGACCGCATTTATACATGTACCGGTAGTCGACTCGTTCCAACCGAGGATATTACCCGGAATAGGACGACCATTGTGTTGCCTCTTCAGCGCAAGGCAATTCAAAAAACATCCCCATATCTGTGGCTGAAGCCATGAGTGGAGCATGTGGCTGTACCCCTGTGAAGCATACCAGTTGACCATGACCTGTGCATGCCTCATGGCCAGAGTCAGCCGCACTCATCACAGCCTGGGAATCAACAGAAACAATCGCCCGTTCAAGTTCATAGTATGAGGACCATCACAGCTCCTACTATCGCCAATATCGTCCACCCAGAACCATCATCAGGCATTTTGAAGGAGCCATTGGCGATTGAGGGATCTGTCTGGGTCGTGCCGGGCGCCTGTCCCGTCCCCCCAATCCCAGCCTCCAAAACGAGTGAATCCAAGCCACCCTCAATACCTCCCAATGGCGCGACCAATGCCATCTGGCTCCAGCTAAACAGCGTATTCCTCCCGCCGAAGATGAAAACCTCAAACCGGCCCCTGAACTCATCATTCACCCACACCCGACTGCCGTTGACGACGTCAGTCTCAATGCGGATCTGAACAGGCAGGGTAATCGGGACGTGCTCATGTGAGGAGCTGGACACATTAGTCCAGATACGGCCGGGGTGCCCGGGGTCATGGCCATCCGATTCTGAAGTGGAACGTAGTGGGTAAGGCCAGTTGTCGGCAGTCTTGAAGACGAGCGTGGTGGTCTCCGTATCGTTCGACGTGACGTTTTCGATGCTCAGCGAGGTATCGGGCCCAGTCAGCGAGAACGCGGAAGAGGCTCTTATGGTAAGTGTGTACGGTGGGCCATACGAGCTTCGGCCGAGGCTCACGTTAGCCGTATCACTTGGCTGGCGTGACCACGACACGAGCGGGTCTTTTGCAGATAGACTACGTTGTTGGCCAGGAAGCCGTCGGTCGAGGTTCTGGCCCGGGGCATTTGGGCTGAGGAGCTCAAGAGTGGAGGGCAGGCCCTCCGCAGAAACATTGAGGCCGCGTGCGCCGGACCAGGCTCGAGCTGCGACCACGGGTATTCCACCACGCATGGCATAATAAGCTTCGAGCTGCGTCGTGGCGTCTGGGCCGCTGTCGCTCCAGGCAGCAAGGATTGCACCTCTATTCCCGCTCGCGCCAGGTTGGAGCTGCTCGGTGGTGTTGACATGATTGAAAAGCCGCGGATCCCATTGCCAGCCAGGCACATTAGCGAAGTTCATCGTTCGTGTGATGTTGTAGAATTGCGGATAGGGTGCTGGCAGAATCGGCATATGGTCGTTTTTGAGACTCATGTAGGCCCACCAGTCGTTCGAGTTGATCAACTCGTACCCTTCATTTTGGAGTTGCACGGGATCAGACTGTCCGTATTGCCAGTGCTGGATTGTGATATCGTCCGACACGGTAAGGTTTCGAGACGGCTCGTAAGTGCCCCAGATACGAATTCCCTTTCCGGAGGTCTCGTTGACCCAGTCCTTCATCCCATTGACGAAGGTGATGTAGTCATCAGCGAGTTCACCATCATATTCATCTGCTCCGATGTGAACTTCTTTGGTCTGGAACCAAGGCAGGAACTCCTCCCAGATGGCCTTCACGGTGGGCATGGTATCGGGGTGTGTCAAGTTGAGAAGGTCCTTCTTTGCCAGCGCAAGTTCGGGCTTCCATTTCGTGATCGCCAGAGCATGGCCAGGGGCCTCTATTTCTGGGATCACAGTAACGCCGCGTTGCGCACAATGGCTCTGGAAGTCTTCAAACTCCTGCCTTGAGAGGGTCTCATTGTGTCGCTCGATGATGCCTTGGAGCTCTGGGTTCTCTGGGAACAGCGAGAAATGAGAGTAGACTTTATTCCACGTCTCATTGTGTCCTCTGTTCAAGGGGTAGTTGTCGCTCGAGTGGTAATGGAATTCGGACATTTTGAAAAAAGAGGCGTAGGTGCATAGTTCCTTAAGGAAGTCGGCTGTGTACCACTTCCGGCCCGCATCGAGCATCCACCCTCGTGTCGCATAAGCGGGGGCATCAGCTGTCCGGCCTGGAGCCAATGCCGTTCCATTAGCAATCAGAAGCTCCTGTAGCAGGGTTCGTGTTCCCCAGAACATGCCACGAGCACCCGTTCCACCAATGAAGACAGTCTCGGCCGATACTTCCAGCTCATAGCCCTCTTCTGTCGGAAGCCCATTTTCATACTTCACATGGCTTGTGTCCCCCCGGAACCAGCCGAGGAAGATGCCTGAATCAGGGAAGTTGTCGACCTGCTCGATCGTCCAGTCGCCGCCGAAGAGTTGGGCAACGTCTCGGCGAAACGTCTCGGCGAACTCATATGCGGAGGGAGGGATGAGCGTCAGACCCTTCGAGTCGGCATGATCTGCGAAACTGCTCTCGACGTAGATTTTCTTGGGGGCTTCTTGGATTGAGAACCCAGCGGATGACGTATTGCTCTTTATCCATTGCACGGGGGGAAGGGTCTGCAGAGCAACAGCAGAACCCGCAAACGCAAACAGTTTTCGCAACAGAATCATGGTGGGAGGGGGACAGCCGACGTCACCCCTGTGGCGGGCGACATTAGCAGCGTATTGATTTTATAGCTGCGTGCAGGTGGCTGGAACTGGCTGTGGCCTGTGGCCGGGCTTTTCTTGGCTGGCGATCCGCAAAATGCACAAAAACGCACGGCCAGGGTCAGCGGCTTGGATGTCCCATTCGTCGCGCTGCCCGGGACGCTTACCATGTTGATGTACTAAAGTCTGCGGGGGTTATAGGGATGGACTGACGTTGCCCCAGAAGCTGTGCCTGGGCTTATTAAAAGGCGATTAAGCATTTGCAGCAGCCAGAAGATAATATTCCGGCTCCAACGCCGGGCTTGGTTCCCCGATAAGAGATGCCGGATGCACACCCTGGGGCTTTTTATCCGCCGGCCCACCACATAGTTACATATGTATTCTAAGAAGGGGTACTCTTTGTCGAGAGGTACTAGTAGTAAATAACAAGGTTTAATGCAGTACCTTGGTGTAGAGTTATCTTAATTTAAGCTCTTAAGTTTATCTTTCCATATCACGATATTACTTTTATATACAGACCGGCAACAATATGAGAACTTCGGAGTAGTACGTGACTTTGAGGTTTTGGAGTACTCAGGGCTGAGTCAGCCACTCATGTTTTCGGTGTTGGTGTTGGTAGAGCAGGGTCTTTACGTAGAATTTGGCGGTTCTTTGAACGTGGCCATCAATTGATATCATCTGAAAATGGCGGCACTGTATAGCCTCCTCCAAGTCAAACCTTCTGATGCAGAGGCAATTGCGTGCGGCGTCGATGTCCCGTCTATGCTGAATGGCCCGCTTTTCAGGACCATGTTCCCCACCTACAGCACCCTGTCGCCAGAGGAGCGAGATAAGATCGTGCAGTGGTACATCGACGGGCTGGAGGACGCCCTGTCGGACCCCGGGGATGAGTTCTACCTAAAGGTCTGTCGGCGTCGTGGTGATCAAGGCACCGGCTCCGTCACCGGCGACGAACACCTGCGGCCGCTAGGCTTCTGTGGATGGGAGGTCATTGACCACGGCCGCACTCGCGCGATGCAGACAGCAGAAAAGACGGTAGATGACTCGGCTCGGCCAGGCGAGCAGGCGCAGAAACAACAGCAACAGCAGGAGGAGGAGGAGGAGGAGCGGCAAAAGGACACCGAGGGGCAGCCTCTCAGCACCGAAGTCAAAGCTAAGAAGCGGCGAGGGAACTATCTGCCAGAGACACTCGACGTGGACGCCTGGCTGACCCTCTCCAACAAGCTCAGAGCGGAGCGGAACCGGATACTACAGGGGCGTGGAAACGTATGTCGCCTGACATTTATGGCTGTGCACCCAGACTTTCAGAGGCGCGGTATCGGGTCGATGATGTTGCAGAGTATCTGTGATGAGTCGGATAGGGTCCCCGGGCGCTTTGCATATGTCCTTGCTGCACCAGAAGGTGTGCGCCTATACTCGAGTTTCGGGTTTGAGATAGTAGGAAAAGTCGAGACGCCCCACGGCAACATCACGAGCATGTTGCGGCCGGCTCCTCGGTAATATCGACAACTCTCCGAACTAGCAGAACACGAGCGTCGCTCGCGTGCTTTGTTGATCAAACTTGAGAGGCATTATGAGGAGAATTAACCTGGCAGTGGTAAATCTTGATCATTCATCAGCAGTTCGTTGGTATATTATCCTGCATGTGAGATACCGATCTTCTCCTTCCGAGACAAGAACCTGTACTTCACCGGCTGGATACTGTAATGTTCCAGATGTCCTATGCGTGCGTGTTCCTGGCCTAAGGCTTGTGCATGCATCATTTTCACTTGGTTGCGGGCATTCCAGCTGAGACTCTGACTTCGACGGCGATTGAGGGGTCATGAGGGCCCAGATTTGCGTTGATCGAAGCACATGAGGCTTTGCTACAAACGGCTTCCCCAAAGTTAAGCCTTGGGATGGGCTTCTTTCTATTTTCTACGAGTATAAATCTTAGGGAGGGGGTCGGCTTTCCAATGCATGAGCGCATGAATATTTAATATATATACCTCAGATACAATAGTTAGATATTCGTTCACGCCTTCAACATGAGCCATTCCCTCCCACACGTCAGCGAGTCTTCGTCCCGATCCAGATTGGCCCCGTGGTGCATGTTAATAAGTCTCCATGTCGATCGCATGTCGCTTGCACATAACCCACTCCAACCGCGTCGAATGAGCTGTGATTCTGTTAGCAGTTGACTCTTCACAGTGAGAATACACGCCTAGACTCCACTTACGCCCCATCGCACTGCCAACTTTGGTTGACCGTGAGCATGTTGAGCTTCCTATCGAACACGAAGTCCACTGTGCTCGTAGAGGCCTCACCTGCAGCGGCGCAGGTCCCCGTAAATTTGTCGTCCTCGACTTTCCCGGTATTTGTGCAGTTGAATGAATCGGTCACTTGATTTCTCGTGTTCCTCAAAGCAAATGCGGGACCAGTGTCATCTTTCGGTGGGTCAGACAATGAGGAGCCAGGGGGCAATTCGTACTGCCTCTTCCATGCCTCCAGCTGCCATGACTGATACGCGTCCGCGCTGCCAGGACAGCGCGTATCAGGTTCTTGTGGCGTGGGGCCTCCCTTTGTGGTGAACTCCATCGAGGCCTTGGGCGCCAGCGTACAAGTCCGGGTGCCCTCCTCGGTTGTTGCGCAACTCATGTCCAAAGGCATGATTCCTGTCGCGAGGCCATCGGCTCTAGCAGTCCTGTCAGAATTTTTACAATAGTAGCACTGTCATAACTGCGTGGTGATCCTTACCCCTGAGAATCTGAGCAACCGAACGTATGCGACACATACATGGTGTGATTGGGCCAATCCATGGCGAAAGAGACAGTGGTGTCGTCTGAGAATCCATTGCCAGCCCAGATGCAGTCGCTCCAGACGATGTTGTCCGCGCCATTTTCGAACCCCTGCCAGGCCTCCGGCCACGATGCCACGCATTCGAAGAATGTCCCATAAGACCTATTGGTCGGAACTATACTCACCGCGACTATTGCGGAGCCATCGCTCTGGCCCGAGCCTGCGCTGTCGTATCTCGCATCGCTCACTCGCCAAGGGTAGGTGGTACTATTACCACAAATTCTGGCAGCGGCTGCTGTTGATGACAGCGCCAGTGCTGTGAATACTGCAACTAAGGGGTATAGCATTGTGGTGGGTGAAATTGACAGTGATTCATCTCATCTTCAACGTGCCCCTGAGAGGGCGACCGAGAGTCGCTGGTACTGTACATATGTAGACTCCTTATCTAAGTACCTGGGTAGGATGTGTCATTCTGGAGCAGATTGCACGCGACTCGTTCAATAGGCTTTCAAGGGTAAATAGTCTTGAAAACTCATCTCTCGCCATATAGTGCCACCGCAAGTAAATACCCAGGCTTGGTTGTGACATTCTAATTTGCGCTACAGTGCGGACAGTTGGTCTGTTTTACCGCTTCACGATGATGGGGCAAGATAGATTACAACGACGTGAGATGTTCAATCAATATCCCTTGGCGAGCATCGTATATCCCTTATGGGAGACACGTTTGGCCGCTCTCACATGTCTTGGTCTGTCCTTGTGGGGACGAGCGTTCCCGCTTCGCTTATAGACTATGGACGTTCATGATGATCCCCAATTCTGCCTAAACCGCGGCGGCTTGGGCGGCTTCTGAAATAACGCCGACCATCTACTGTTTGCCGAGATACCCTCCTCTGATGCATTGGTGATTACCCTGGTCGGCTCGGCTGCTCCGGCTGCGTGTCGGATTGGCCGCACTCGGTGTAAGTGGCAGACCTGATCGAGCCGGTAGACATCTGCCGGCCCCCCAAGGGATGGTGGATGTAACCGTTTGTGTTGAAACCAAGGATGATAGAATGATCTAAACACGGACAACCGGGTGCTTCTAGATACGGGCAGGAAACATATGAGCAGAGCAACCCAGCTCGGCGTCAAGCGCTTCTCCGCGAAACTCTTTCAAGAACAGACCTCATCCAACCGAAGGACTCACGCAATAAGCATCTGATACGAGCTACCAAAGTGCACCGCGAAAATGAATTGGATTGTCCTGGCGCTGGCGGTGTCCGCCCAAGCGGTAGCCGCACAGCAGATGATCCGATTCGGATGCTCGCAGCTTGTCGTGGAGAGACTGGACCCCCTGGTGAACCCAGGCTCACTCGTATCGCCGCATGTGCACCAGATCGTTGGGGGGAATTCTTTCAATGCCAGCATGGACCCAGCATCACACGACCTCGTGACGGACTCGACATGCACGAGTTGCACGTTCTCGGAGGACTTTTCAAATTACTGGACGGCTGTCCTGTACTTTCGAGCTCGTAATGGGACATTTATGCGAGTTCCACAATTCCCAAACGTCGGAATTCGAGCCGTTGGCGGCATCACTGTCTATTACATCCCTCCGTACGATGGCACGACGAACGTCACGGCCTTTGCCCCGGGTTTTCGCATGTTGGTAGGAGATGCAGAGCGACGCACCGCAGAAGGCCAGCAGCGTCAGCTGTGCCATCGCTGCTATGTCAAGGAAGACTACACCGGCGGAGCAGGCGGTGGCGCACCATGCACTGGATCCGACACAACTTCACTTCCGCCGAAGCCTTGTGATGGCGGTATCAGGACCACCATCACTTTTCCCACCTGCTGGGATGGCAAGAATCTGGACAGCCCGGATCACAAGAGCCATGTGGCCTATCCCAGTTCGGGTACCTTCGAGTCTGTGGGCCCTTGCCCTGCGACCCATCCTATTCGGCTGCCTCAGCTGATGTATGAAGTCATGTGGGATGTGAGTTTGTCTGGATCTTATCTGGTCGGATGTTACTCGTGGAGATCAAAGTCTGATTCTTCTATCTAGACGCGGCCATTCAACGACCCCGAATTGTGGCCCGAGGATGGTTCACAGCCATTCCTATGGAGCACGGATGACAAGTGAGCCCCGAATTAATCAGCCCGTACATGTACCGGAGTCTGACCATGAAGCAAAGAACCGGGTACTCACAGCATGGTGACTATGTCTTCGGCTGGAAGGGCGACAGTCTCCAGAGAGCACTTAACGCCCGCTGCAACAATGCCGTGTGCAAGGAACTCAAGACACAGAGCTCCGAGGAGGCAATGAGGTGCACACTACCGCAAACCTCTGTTGAAAACGTGGATGGTTGTGAGTGTCCTCTTCCCAGACCATGTGATGTTTCCTTCATTAACATTTGTCAAGGGTTGGATGCCATTCCCGGAACGTGATGATATGATCCACCTTGGAAGGTACTATGGTACTAGTTTCAAAGCCACGGCGTTGCACTGCTCTGACTGGTTTTGCTTCTATTCCGTACTTATGTACCTGTTCATACGTCCGAAGCCGTATACGGCGCCTTCAAACATTGATAAATGCTCAAAACATCACATGCAGCGTTTCAAAACACCCTAGAGCATACATGCCGATAACTTAAGTATCAAATAGTACCTAGGTAGTCATACTCTTTAAATGCCATGTTCTTCACTCGGGTAACATTTCAAAGCGCTGTGGACTTTCGGCGACGATGTCATGAAGAGGAATATTCTTCTACTTTGCTCCTCCATCTATATCACCACCATAATCGTCCAACGTCGCCCGGCCCCACTCCAGGCTTTCCAACATGGCATCACCAGAATCCCCGGCGAGATTAGCAAAGGCTTCCTCCCAGAATTCCTCATTGTTTTCACCATGAGGTCCCGTCATGTCGACATCGTAGAAAATCCCATCGGCCAGACTGGGGTTGTTGAGTATGTTGAAATCGAATGTTTCTTGGGGCGGCTGGGAATAACTTGGACAAGTGGACATAGGAGCCAAAGAGGTGGATTGGGAAGATATCGCTCCTTCTATACATTCTCCCATTGTCTCTGCTCCCATATCTTGCAGTAATGGATTGGTGCTTGGCGAGAACTCGGCTGAAGAGGGCAAATCGAGACCACCAATGTCATATTGGGATGCTGCTCTCGGCTCATTGGCTGACGTGTGCTGAGCAGAGGGCACGAATTGTGCTCGAAGGTGAGCCAGCAGGCGGTACCGAGCTGCGAGATGGCTATTTCCTCGGCGTGAAATCCCGCGCAAGAGGTCAAGGGCGGCATTCATAGACTCGGTGTTCTGGGTGTCTTCTGGGAAGGCCACGCAGACCATAACCAGCACTATGGCAGCTGAAAATGCGTATTCTGAGTCCATGTATCCATAAGTAGCCACCAGGTTCTTCTGCGCTGCAACCGTCATCATGTTGATTGTCTCCTTCGCTGCATGGAGGCACATTTCAATCACGTTGACGGTAGTCTGGGTCAAGCCCTGTCGCCAATCACTCTCTTTTTCTGTAATACCCTCCTTGAGGCGCGCCTGCACGACGTGAAAGAGCAGCGGCCGCGCTGTCAAGTGGATACACTGAGAGTAGTAGAGCAGCGTTGATACAGACTCCCTGCTAGTGTTGAGTTTGTTCGGTTCGAAACGAAGCGTGTCAGGTAGCTCTTGTTGCCACTGAGACAGAGCCAGTATAATGCTCTGCACAGCCGCCATTAAGCTGGAGCCCGACTTTGGCCTGTGGCGATAGACTTTGGTCATAATCTGGCCGTTAATCTGGGACAGCTTTGTGTAGTGCCTCAGGACAATCGCAGCACAGGATTCGGGCTCAGATGGTAGTCTCGAGGGAAGCTCGACGCCGATGTCTTCGTCTTGAATGGTGATAGGGTTCCCAGATTTCGCGCAGTGAATGCGACCAAGGCTATAAACGCTCCACCATACACGGCGCCTGTGCTCTTTGGTCTCCGAGTCAATGTTTGCAAGGGTTGGTTCTTGGTGAAGACCAAGGGTGATAGCCATGCGGAGAGCTGACCCGATGTATAATGAGGACGCGTCCCGACGGTTCAGGTTTTGCATGAAAAAGCCCACCAAGGCGAGGGTCTCGACAAATAGTACGCTCCCTTGTTCGTGTAGGTCTGGAAGAAGTTGTAGGACGTGTGTGAAATAGTCAAACCCCGGAGGCCCGTCATAATCAATCCACTGGTTGACCGAGTACATTTTACCAAACGCCAGGATGACCAGCAGTTTTGCATATTTGAGACAAGCTTCTTGATCAGCGAGATCGAGTGAGTTTTCATATGCCTCCTGGAGGAGTAGATCGAACGCATTTGGAGACACGAATGAGAAGATAGTACCGATATATGTGTGCTGGGCCGCGAATAGCTGCCGTGCGATCTCGATTGGGGGCAAACGAATGTGGCTTGCATTACAGAGACGTTTGGAAGGTAGTGCTGCCCGGTCGTAAAAGTCGGCGTCACGGTCGAGGCTACCATCGTCAAACTGGAGTGAGGCCTTTCTTAGACCTCTGAGCAAGTGATCGGAATGCGCCGGGCCTTTGAAACCTGATGGGTGGTCAGTGTTGGCGTTGAAAGTCAACGGGAGAGATTCCAAACTACTGGGGGAATTCTCAGAAATATCTAAGCTGAGCTCTGAGAAAGCTTCTGGGAGAATGATATGATCATCATTGTTTCGATAATTTTCTGGGGGCTTTGAAGAGCTGGGTTCGCTTTGGGCAATCCCATGTGCGGCTTCTAGCCGTGACACCTTGGCTTCAAGCTCTCTCAGGTATCTGGGTGGCGTAAGATGGTGCTCAAACAGGGGACATCTGGAGGCAAAAGGGACAACCACAAACGCTTCATTGATCGTGATCTTCCTGGCCTCTTCGTAAACACATTCAAATCCGGCTGCCTGGCATCTGGCGCATTTAGGACGATCCTTGGAGCAATACGATCGTCGCTGTCGACACCTATGGCATCTGTGACGGCGTCAACCAGTGGAAAGAAAAACATGGCAAGACATAGTACCGTGCAGTGACACCTTCGACAGATAGAAATCCCAGGCGTTGACTCACGCGACAGGTCGGATGACAGATTCCTCGGAACCTTTGGAAGGTCCCGTGGTGCCAAGTGACAGTGCGGCCATGCCTTAGACCTTTGAGGCAATGGCATGAAATGCAAAGCGGCTTGAGCGCGCCACAATCTGCTATTCCTCCTTGCCACTCATGCGCTCGTGACCAACCAGCCTTCTCCGGCGCAGGTTGGGAGCAAATCCTGACGCACCGTCAATTGACTCATGCGCGTGTGACAGTTTGTATACTCAACAGGACATGAACCTCTGAGAATTTATGCGAATGATTTGCCAAAGACAGTATGGGGCCGTGCTGTCAAGAGGCGGAGGCAGAGATCCGTTTCTTGAGCCAGCCGCCAACCGACATCTGGACATTGGCATCCAAGCAAGGTGCTGACTAATGGCCAAGCTGCCTTTGCACTTTACATGTGGGCCGATAGCGGACCCATTCAATGGACTAGGTAATACTGGCAAGTGTCGCCATAATACCCAGCTGGGATGTTCAATGCCAGTGGGCTGTTCTCAAATCCTTGTTACTTGATTTCTCAAAATCATTTGTATTGTCGATATATACCTATAGCCTGCGGATCAGCATTGGTTTAACTTCCCCAGGGTGCCTTCAAGTCTCCAGCCTATAATCTACCTAAGTATGCATACTTAAGTCCTCGAGGCTTAAGCTCATGGACTGGCCTGACAACTGGTCTGGTTTCGCTTCTATTCTGTATGAACAGAGAGCTCCCATGCCTGGTGCGTTCTTTCAGGCGCAACTCCGAGTCGTTTCACGAAGACCGCGAGAGTGAGAAGCCCACAGTGACTCACAATTATTGCCTGAGGATTTTCCATGGTTCGTAGTCAGGAACCTTGGTTCAAGTCTTGCCCTAATAAACTTCAAGGTCTGACAGCGGCTAGCTGGCGCGTGCGGATCAAAACAAGTTGAGTGGTGAATGAGGCTCGACCAGCTGTCCTCGGGCTGTCTGGTTGTAGCGGGCGACACTTACAGTGTTGGCACCTTCATCGGCGCTGGCCGCCTGGGCTAAAACCCGCATTAATTACATTTAATATGCCATAATGGGCCACGTACTTTGATGTTGTTTTTACATTCCTGCTGGGTAGATAGGGCACGACATGTCTACCCGGGGATTAAACGTTCCAGGAGCCAGTAATAAACAAGAATTAGAGCAAGACAGTCCATGGAATTCTTCTTTCTAGGTCTTAGCTACAGTCATTAAACTTGCGTATCGGACGTGGAACATTCACTCATTGAAACAAATCACACTCCCTACATAGTATGTTTGCCACCTGGATACCCTCCTTCTACGCAGTTGCGAAGCGCAGTGGCCCAGCCCAGATCCTCATCCTCTTGCCAAAGACGATCAGGACGATGATGATCGCAAATGCCGCCGCGACAACGGCGGCCTGAATCCCGAAGCTGACCTTGGTCCCCTGCTTCTCAGCCCACTGGACCTGGAAGTAGGAGATGACAAAGCCACCAATGGTACGCGCATTGTTCAGGTGTGCGCTAACCTCGCCGCTGGCCTCGGGGTAGCTGTCCAGGCAGTAACTGCTCACGGCGACGGTGGTTATCATGATGCCGTACACGTACAGGCCCCACGACACGGACAGGGCCATGAAGTGCCACGCGTTCTCCAGCGCCTGTCCGACGAGCACGAGCCCCACGATCATTAGCGGGAGCGAGAAGAAGATGGCCCGCAGCCTGACCTCGGGCTCGAAGTGGCCCCTGTGCTTTTTGATGTAGCTCTTTGCCAGGACATCGTGCAGGAAGTGGCCCGTGACCTCGCCGAGGAGCACCGCGACGACCGGGGTGAAGTAGAAGTATCCGATCTGCAGCGGGCCAAAGTTGTAGAGCGGCGTGAGGAAGATCGAAAGGGTCGTGTTGATGCCGACGACCCAGGCAAAGGTCAGCAGGTAGTACACAGACGTCAGCAGCACTGTGGGCTTGAGGATGACCTTGACGACGCGCATACAAGCCTGCGGGAAGGAATTTCGCATGCGCCGAGAACGAAACTGCGAGATGCCGAGCACGCGCGAGACCCGACTACCCAGGTCTGGCTGCTCTGCAGCCGGAATACGTCGGTCGTAGTACGTCTCGTCGACAAAAAACATGGTGAGCAGGAGCACCACGCCCGTCTCGGCGGTATACACCCAGAAAGGGGTCGGCCAGGGTTTGAAGGCGGTCATGAATGCCGCGAGGAGCGGGCCCATATAAGGGCTCATGACGAAGAAGGACGCCCAGATGTTGATCTTTCGAGGGCGTTCGTGGAAGAAGAACATGTCCTGGATGAACATCATTCCTCCACCTTGAGTGACGGTCGAGAAGAAGCCGTTGAGGATGCGGGCGCCCATGAAGGACTCGAACGTATCAGCACCAGCACACCACGCAGCGGTAGCAAAGGCCACCACGAGGAAGTAGAATGCTACTGGGAGACGTCCAAAATATGCAGACAATACGACGGCTGTAATTTTCAGTTTGTCAGTCAAGAGTGGCTCGTGGCGCCCGACGCGTACACCTTGTTGCAACAGGGTATAAACACACCAAAGATCCCGCCTGCGCCCAACATGAAGACGTTTCCAGACTGCGAGTGGTTCACCTCGTCCGGTGTCATGCCCCATTCCCTACTGGCGTGTCAGTGTTTTGTGCTTCTCCTCAGTGTGGCGTTTCAAGCCCTGCGAGTGGAGGGAGCGACATACGCAGCCTGGGGGATTAGTGTCACTGCGCCTGTGGCGCTGCCATAGTCGGGCAGAAAAGCAGCGGCAGCGATGATGAACAGTATCGTGTGCTTCTTCCGCCAGCTCCAATTCAAAGGGTCCTTCGGGTCGTCACTTGGCTGCGGGATGAGGCGGGTGTGGCCATCAGCGGCGAGCTTGACGCCGGCGTCCGAGGGGCTCCCGTCAGAGTTCTCCGCGTCGATGATGTAGCCAACATTCTCACGGTACTCATGGAGCTCGTCCTTTGTGGTGACCCTCTTCGCCAAATTTGTGTGGACAGGGTTGGAGTCGACCTCCGGCTCCGATGTGGTCGGCGACACTTTCTCGTTGTCAGCCATTTTGAACTGAGTAAAAAAAGGACTCCAATGTCACGATGGGCAGATGTAGTGCGTCGATGAGTTCTGGTGGACGAGGAAAATGAAATACAGGAGCGCCGATCTGCACAGATAAGGTGCACGCATACTAGTATGGCCTGGCAAGCGCAGCTTTGGTACAGGAAATTTATTCCACCGGGGCAGAGCCATTCATGGTGAAGCTTCGGGCTGATCCAACGAAAGGTTGCAACGCTAGTCGGGAGATCGCTACTACCTTTACAAGGATCGCAGCCGCGCAGCCAACGGTCACCAGATGGGCAGTGGGAGGTTGGCGGGCAGGGCTGGGTGAGGGTCCCCAGGACAAGGACAGCATTACGTGGAGGCGACTATGCGGAGATGATCCGGCCGCCAGTCGGCCAGTAATGGCGGCCCCAGGACAAGCGTTCCAGGTTGATGGGCCCACCAACTTAACTTGGTTCATGCTGGGTACGATGCCGTTGTCTAGTGCCCTGACCTCGGGAACGCTTCAGTGTCTGAGTGTTTGAATACCTATCTAGGTACACCCATTCCTAGATAGTATAGATCAAGGCATGCCACCCCAGCATTGCGTCGTAACTTTGTGTGCCAGCGCCGGACATTAAGCGCGGGCCTGGTCACATCCTTTGGATGGTCTGCCCGCGATTCCTGCGACCGAAGTTACAGCGCACAAGCATCCCGAAGTTTTCCTTGCAAGTGCATGGAGTTAGTTAGCAGTACCTCTCCTCCTCATTTGGCCGTCGTCTACAGATCTACAAGAATCCTAGAGAGCACCCACTGTTTACTCGAAAGTACTTTTAGCAGAGAGGCTGGGTGGCAACTACCTCACAGCTAACCCTGGCCAATCAACTTCTCAAGGACAGGGAAAACTCTGGGATGCTTGCGCGCTGTAGTTGTAACCTTTCCCAGCCCTGGAGGAGCAAGGGTGAAGCGTCTGTGCTATCGCTAAGCAATGAGTAAGTAAACAAGCTTTGCAAACAATATTCCCCCGGCCGTTTATCCGGCGAGCCGCGTCGAGATACTAGCTCAAACAAGTTGGTCATTTTCTGGGCCGGGAAACAAAAACCCGTCGACCACCACGGCCGCCGGCCACCTAGCTTCGCCTCCAATAGCCAGGGGGATAGGCCCCACACCAGGGCTTTGCTTGCGGGGAAAATCTCTGGGGCGTCTGGTGCTTCTGGGGCTGAATCTGGGGGAGGGACGGACGAATCTGTAGGCATAAAATATCTGCCAGAGCCAGGGGGGTGGTCAGAAAGACTGGCTCTTGCGGGGTAGCCCGATCCTCGATATCCACCCAACCTCGATCCATCCTCGTGATTATCCCGAAGAACATCGCTTCTCAAGCTGGCGATTAAGGGGTGAACACGCAGGCAGATGTCGCTGCATTTTCAAAAGGCGTCCAGGTTGAATGCGATCCTGCAAGGGACATGCTGCGCGTCAGAGATCAGCCATTTCGGGAGAAGGCGTTGCAGCGTGACAAATATCATTCCAGAACATGGCTTCAGCGAGATGCCAAAGAATACAGGGGTCACCTGGTCCATTTCGCCCCCAGGTACTAATGGCCCACCCCTAGGGGAAGGTGGTCGGCGCTTAATGCAGGCCAAAAGACCGGCCCAATCTGACGTGTGGACGGACTCGGGGCTGGAAAGCCGGCAGTTGGCAGACGCATGCGTTGCTGCTAAGGTCTGATCTGATACAGGGAGTGTGTTCTCCCGGCGTGCGTCTGGAAGCTCGCAGTGAACGAGCCGAACAACCTCGGCGCGCGGGAGGTTGCTCAGAGTTCGCAACCAGGCGTCTGCGTTGACGTGGAGTCTGTGAACACAGAGTTTGTAAGACGTAGATTTGTCTGTCCATTTTTGTGCCTGCATAAATCATGACCACGCGTCTCTAGGGAAAATATTCATCCCATCAAGAATCATCCCACCGACGAAGGGACAACATATTGCATCTACATCGGGCCGGCCAAGGAGATTGCGCGGAGAGTACATACGATGGAGGAATATACAACGACAACATATTCTCCTGGATATCGCACCATTGAAAAGGCCCCTGGATGGGTACGCGTCGACCACGAAGACGGCTGGCCGTATTGAAATTATGGTTCGATTTTCGTCAACCGGCAGTGGCTTCGCATACAGCTGAAGGAGCCGACATCAAATGAGTACGCAGCCGGACTAGGAATAACGAGGATTGTCAGGCGAGGCAAGAAAATAACGACATGCTACACGTCAACGCCGGCGTAAACCCTTGCGCGCAAGGTTTTGCCCTTGCGCATTCTAAGGAGTACCTCACGCTGTACATGATCGAATCCCTTATCAACGTTTTCTCGTAAGGGATATACACAGCACAGTGAGATCATCGGACAAGTCTATTCCCACATCTACCCGAGTCCAACTCGCATCAACGCATGTGCTGCTTTTGCGCAGTCTCCTCCGCCTCTCTCTGATCCAGTCGCTTTTCGCTCTAGAGATTGCATGGCCCGCTGAAATCAGGTCTAGAAGCTCTCATCGCTATGCATGTGCACCATATACGTATGGCACGATTCAAAGACCCGAACTATGCGCATCGCTTTTCTTGTGAGTGACTGCATGTGCAGCCTTTTGTCCATCGTGCACTCCCAACACCACGCCAGAGAAACCCATAGGGGCCTCAGAAACCAGGGCCTCACTCCGTCTTGGCGCTGCCGAACTTGGCCTTGATCTCCTCCTCGGTGAACGCGGTGGTGTGTCTCCTGAGCATGGCGGCCCGCTCGTCCATGGTCATCCGGATCTGCTTCTCGCCAATGGGCACCATGCACTCGGCCAGCCGGGCATAGTCCTTGCGCAGTAGGGTGACCGTCATGAAGAGGTAGTCGATGTCGTGGAAGACCAGGGCACCGTTCGAGGAGTAGGTATGCTTGGCCTTGAGAAAGGCCGCCGGGTGCTCGCGCCAGTGCCTCATGGGGTTGAGATGGTGGGAGGTATGGTACCCGTCGTTGAAGCAGTGGCGGTTGCTCTAATGGACAGTCAGTATTCTGCACTCACTCAAAAGCCGGGTAGGTGATAAAGGAAGCCCTGAAGTGGACACAGGCAGGAAAGGCACGCACCGGGACGTCGATCAATGTGATGCTCGACCGATAATCACTGTCCGGCTCGTCTCGGTCTACGAGTGCATGCTGGCCCCAGTTGCCGATCATCAGACCGAGACGCATGATGGCCAGCGGCAGCAGGAACACAAAGATGGACGCCCTCCAGTTGAGCTTCCACATGCTATACTGCAGGGCATAGCTGCTGAACTCCCAGAAGGCTGCCTTGGCGGCGAACAGAGGCCTGTTCTTCCTCAGGAAGTAGAGGGGGAGCTCGAGCCACACGAAGAAGTAGAACCGCCCGACGTAGTGCAGGAAGTGCCAGAGGCTGTCCCGCTGGTACCGGATGGTGGAGCTCAGGTCATCGGGCCCGTTGCCCTCGACGTGGTGGTGCTTGACGTGGTGGTAGAAGTACGAGTTCCAGGTGTGGCCCATGAGGGGATCCAGCAGGTAAGGGAAGGTGAGGTCGAACCAGGCGTAGGACTTGTTCAGGACGCCGCGGCCGTGGATGTGCTGGTGCATCATAAGCGTGTAGGCCCCGGTGTATGAGACCTGCATGACGGTGTGCATGACCCCATGCACCCAGGTGAAGTTGTAGAAGAGCCACAGGGCTGAGGGCACCGAGGTGGTAAAGTACAGGATCATGTGGGTGAGCATGACGACGTCCGTCTCGACGCGGACGACGGACTTGCCCAGCTCGACGTAGGACTTGAGCAGCCGGTCCAGGACGGGCGGCAGCTTGCCCAGCGTGCTCAAGTCCCATGTGTTGAACACCGAGGGCTCAAAATAGGCACTGCTTGGGTCGTTCATGCCCGTGATGATGGCCAGGGTCGCCTCATCACGGGCGGCCTCGTCCTCGCTGACCACCGACACGGCCTCCTCGGTGTGGGCGAGGGAGCCTGCAAGTAACGTTTAGCAAAGGCCTGGGCCACAAGCAGGTATTCGGAGATAAGGAAATGGGGCGCGTTACCATCCGCTTGAGTCTCTGTGTAACCGTTGTCTCTGACGACGGCGTGGCCATTGGACGGGGATGGCCTTGACGCTACCTCCTTGATGTCCGCCTCCAGGTTCTTGAGGATCAAAGCGTCGGCCTTGGACAGCTTCTCACTGAACACTATCTTCTGGTCCATCGTGAGGGATGATCGCCGGTGATGCTTTTGCCCTCGGGGTGTGCTCGCCGGTGCTGGGGACCCTCGTGTTGAGGACGCGGTTGGGGAAGCTCCTTGGCGGCGACAATGTGCGTTGCTGAAACCCCCTGACCTGAATGGGTGAATGGGGACCCTGCGGAGAAGCTTTGGAGCAGTCCCAGGAGAATGGTAGCGCAGAATCAGTGTACGTACTGTGCTGTAGGCACGCACGGGAGACAATGCAAGGGCTGGCGGTGACTGCGTGAGCTCAGCTCGATGCAGACTTTTTTTTTTCTTCTCTCCCGGGCTCTCTCCCTCTCCTTTCCTTGGGTTGTGAAGAGCCACGAGCCGGCCAATGTTCCGAGACCACGTTATGGTTAGGGGGGCAAAATGGTCTGACGCTCTGACCGACAAACCGACGCGTGGAACAAAAAAGGCGGGTGTTTCGTTTGGACAGGGGCGCGTCGAGTTGCAAAGGAAGTGTCTGGCTGAGGCTGGGCAGCTGTGGGCCTCTGCGGACGACCTGGACCGCGCTACTGGACCCTGAATGCAGATTCGGGAATGGTGAGATCGCCAAGCAGCAGCTACGATGAATGCACAGAGTCATGCACGAGCAATCCTCGGCCTAGATACACAGTGAGCCTTGGAAGCTATGTACATTGGTGGATTGCTGTCGCTGAATATGATATATCAACCGGAGGCTGGGGCTGCGCTTCATATGTTCCCTACATGTAATGCTTCTTGCTGCACCATCGATCCGGCGTCTGTTCTATTGCATTCCCTAGGGCCACGGTGGAATGCCTGGATGCCTGGACGAGTGTGTGGAGATGTCACGGAATACAAACCGAAGCCAAGGTACAGACAGCCAGACAGCGTGTGGCCACATACTCCGTACGGAGTACTACTCGCTGCGCTGACTTCGGGCATGGATTTGTCCCCCAATGCAGGCATGCTTTGCCGAGATTGGCCCGACGTGCTGGCAAGCAACAAACCCGCCTTTTCCTGTCCCGGCGGTTCGGTGTGCTTGTTAGCGATGTGTACGCCAGTGAAAATCACCATCGAAAATATTGCATTGTTTGCTCAAGTGTACGTAGGCAGGCCACCGTTTGGCGTTGCACCACATCACTTCCCATACATAGGTAACCAGATCTAAAAGAAACCCCTCCCCCGGCTATCGCACAAGTGTCCCCAGAGACGATGGCCTTTACCTACATATGTAGTTAGTGCAGGATCTTGTCCACATTGGGCGGCGTTCTGCTGAGAGACAAAAAGCGATCCCTCGGGATACCCAGGTAGTTAGACCTGGCAAAAGAACCAGCATCCCCGGCGTCAAGGCACACTGGGACCCTCCAACATTTGAACTACTATGTATGTATGTCCACCCACATGCCGTCACTTTGAGCAGAAGTACCCATAGGCCACTTATGACCCGCACCCATCGAGCCCTCCCACTCGGAAGCATCAATAGAGCAACGACTTGCTTTTACCGGCCAGAGATCACGTATAGGTCGGCTCCGGACTTCCGGATTCTCACCTTGCACAGTACACATGGACCAACCCGATTCTGGCCAAATCTGCGGCCAGATGATGCGCACACCCGAGACATTGTTTGGTGTGACAACACAACGAGCCGTGCTTGCCTGCTTGCGCTTGCTTGCAAGACTCCTGCATCATGGGGCATGGGGCATGGGGTGGGTGGGAGGGGATTAGTAGTCAGAGTCAGTTCGAGAGTCAGGATCGGCGGAGTGCACATGTGTGTGTTGTGGCAGGTCCCGAACACTGATCTGAACACACACATACACACACACAGACACACGCACACGAGACCAGCGGGTTCACTGCGAGTCGCCGTTGCGGGCCCTGGCCCTCCTCCTGAGAGCGCGCGCGGGTTCTGGTGGCTCTCGTGTCACCTGGCACCTGTCTCTGAACCAGAAGCCGCTGCCTGCCGAGGGCCACCTACTGTGAGACAGGATGGGGGACAAACGGGAGGACAGCGAACGGTCAGCCGAGGCAGTTGGTTCGGATGAGTGAGTGTTCATCACTGGCTCACTAACAAACTGCTCTGGTAGAGTGGGAAGCAGGCTCCTGTGCAGGAGCCGAGGCGCTGAAGGAGACATATATTCTCACAGCTGGATAATCACGGGACCAACTACAAGTTGATACACAGATGGACTCTGGTATGTCACACAGATATACCATGTGCGAACCACCTTGGAAGCCACTCACGCTCGAGAACGGTACTTACACCGAACGAGCAACAGTCAAACAGATAATTCCTACGCGCGCTGTGCAGTTAGAAGAACATTTTATAATATCTCAAGCACATGATATCCCGAGGGTCTTCTCCACGCCCTACAGATTTCCGACTCTGTGGACCATCAACAACCAGTACGTCACGAGGCGGCTCGCTGCCGTCAAGATGCGATCATCCAGGTGCATGCGCCTAGCCGCTCCTGTCCGGCGAGAGTAAAAAAAGACGTTGACCCAAAAAAACGCACGCAAGAGCAACGCCCGGGTACATGCTGACCACAACCCGCATAACTACTAGATATCGTGAGCCCCCAAAAACACCTGCCCGAGTCCAGATTTTTGCAGGGAGGTATACAGAGAGCCTCCTCACACAACCAACATCAGCCTCATGCTCGCCGCCTGCCTGCCTGCCTGCCTGCCTCAGTCTGGCCGCCATCACCAGAAGGATGAACTTGCAGGCCTGGCACTGTTGGCAGAGAGACCTGCCCAGGCTGGCTGGCAGGCTGGCCAGTAGCCACGCAGAAGCAACAGATGTTTAATAGGGAGCCAGAGTTAGTTACATGGATCCCCACGCCACCACCCAACCCAAGGCGGCCCCAGCCGTAATTTTGTAGTACCTATCCTGCAGGTCCAGACAGCTCAGAGTGCAGAGCAAGGCGTGAACCTCCACCACCCCCACCACCACCTCCTCCACCAGACAGACAGGACAGGACAGGACAGGTGGGGTGGTCCCGGCCCCGTAATGAGTTCATGTGGCGTGTCGCCGCCGTCTGGATCCGTAAACGCCAACCAAGACATGGTCCAAATCCAGGACAGGACGGCACCAGGAACCGCCCACCCCAAACTGACGTGGCGCTGTGTATGTATGTATGTATGTACGTATCTATGTCTGCATGTATGTACGTGCCTTGCCTTGGTGCCTTTGGTGCTTGGGAGCGGGCCAGGTAAAACTAGGGGCCATGTGTCTCTGGCTCGCTAATCTCTCGCAGGAGGAGCCAGCTGCAAGATGATGCTGCACGATGCTGTCCCACTCACCCTCCCGGGCCCAGTAGAGGCGGGCATGCCGTTCTCGAACCCGGCGGCGGCCGCGCGAGACAGAGACATGGACGGGCAGTGCCCCGTGATGTCTACCAGCCAGTCAGTCTGTCTAACTGTCTGTCGAGAGGAGGCCAACTAACTAACTGACTAACTTTCCCTCTCATACCAACAGGGGGGAGTGGGCCCTGCTGGCTGGAGCCAGCCAGCCAGGCCGTCCCCAAGGCCTAGAAGCATTGCTGCGCAGCCAGTCCGCGCCTTCACTATTGCCTAGATAGGCATTCAGGTATCAGGCGGTGTTTCTCCCCCATCCTGCCTACCTGCTTGTCTGCCTACCTCCTCATCTCCGTCACCAAGCCATGGAATAAGTAGACAGGCGGCGAGCGGCGAAGGCAGGTAGTCAGTCGCCACCGGGGCTGCTTCTTAGTCCAACCTCCTCTGCTGCATTGCCTGGATAGACCGCGCCTAGGACGAGTGCTACAAGTCGGCCGCTGTTGCATCAGGACACAGCCCACTATCAAACACGAATTCAGATTTACTATCTAGGTGCCAGCAAGTCGTGGCTGACCGAGTATGGTTCACGAGGATGATCGGTAAGGAGGCTTGACAGCCAACTGTGTAGAGTTGCACAACCTTAAGGCGCCCTGATGACACCCAGAGCATCAGGCAAAGATCTCCTGATAAGCGCTGCTTGCAGCGTGGTGTCTGGCCCAGGAACAGCATCGTGTCTATTCTTGGCTGGGGGAGGCCTTCCAAATGGGGACAGTTGCACAGTAGTACATGCCAGCCATACATGCTAGGTAGACGCGCTCTACCGAGAGAAAGGGGGGAGGGGGGTGCGCCCAAGCAACAAATTTGACCGGTGTCCTGGGGGCCCTGGGAGGGCGTGTGCACCACCCGGCGACCCGGTCTGCCCATGAACAAGCAGACAAGAAGGACAATGGTGCACATATGTAAGGGTGGTGGTAAGAGCAGGCCTGACACATCGAATCGCGGCACGGAAAAAGCAACAGCCTGTGACACATGCACATCGGGCCAATCTTCTTCAGTGGCATATGCGGGACGGAAGCAGGCAGCACCGGAAAAACCGACCTATCAATATCGGGACTCCCCAGGCTCTTGTCTCAACAACAGGTGGTCTGGGCCGTGGATAGACAAACACCCCCTTCTCCCAAGGTCCCAAGGTCCCAAGGTCCCCCTTCCCATTCTTGAGTGTCTTCTTCTTTTGCCCCCCGCCCCCCGCCCCCCAGCGCGCACACTGCTTCCACTCACCCCCAATCCCAAGGAAGCTGTGTCCTTGGTAGAGACAGGCTGGATAAGTGCTAAGCCGTGTGCGCTCGCGCGTGCGTGCGTGCGTGCGTGCGTGTGTCGAGCGTGTCGGATGCCGGGCAAGAGCCAACGGGCACACCGGCCGGCACAGAAGTCTGGGAGACGAGGCAGGCCAGCACAGCTGGAAATGGGCAGATATAGGCTCAGGTGCAGGCTGTGGAGGCGATTGGCGGCCACCCTGCCCCTCTGTGTAACCACCACAAACATGATCGCACCTATCACGGGCCGCAGCACCGACGCTCAATCCTTGTGCTGACCGGTACCTCGAGGCCAAGGCCACGCCACAAATGCTGTGTTGGGTCAGGGTTGCCCAGGTGGTGCTGCGAGCCAGCAGCAAGCCAGAAGCACACAGCAGCTGGAAGTAGCAAGTAGCAAGGAACCAGCAGCAAGCCAACAGCCAGCACTACGGCAGGTGTTTAGGACAGTACAGGAGGAGGGCGACGACGAAGAAAAAGGGGGGGGGGCGTAAATTAGGAAGTACAAGCAGAGCAGAAGGGAGGGGGGGTGTGCTGTGGGAGATGTGGGCGGTGGGCTGTGGGCCCAGACTTGGAAGGATGGGGGAGGACCGAAAGGAGGAGAAGACAGCGAGGGGGCACAACCTAAGGGCGTGACGAGCAGTATGCGAGGACACAGATCTGGGAAGGATGCTGCCGCTGCCGCTGCCGCTGTCACTGTATTGTTGTTGCTGCTCGGATGCTTGGTTGCGTGCTTGGTTGCTTGCTGCTGCTGCTACTACTTCTGGCGCTGGTGCTGCTCTTCTTTGCCTGCTGCTGTTGCTGCTGTCATCATCATCATCGGCGGCGGCGCTGTATAGGTGGGGGGGAAAAGAGCATTGAAATACCCAGATGCATCCCGTTGTGACACTTCCTCCCACACATCCGCACACACCCCCCCTTCACAACCAACGGGTCAACCGACACGAGATCCCCAATGCACCTTGCACATAGGTCTTGCTTGCCCGCTTGCCTGAAAGCTTGCCAGCTCTCGCCCTCTCCCACTCAAAGCTCTGGCACTTTGGGCACAATCCCGCTCGCTCGCTAATCGACCTCCCTCGTTGGTCCGCCGGAAGCGAGATCACTTAGCTGCCACCAGGGCACCGCTCCGCCAGCGCCGCCCAAGTTGGGATCTTGATCAACCGCGAGGCCCCTACGCCCGCCCTGAAAGTGGAAATGGCAAACGAAAGGCGACTCAACAAGTCAGCATCCCGCACTCTTCGACATGGGGGTGGTACCACTGTCACCTCCGCCGCCTCCGCCCAGGGTTCTGTTGGCAGCGGCAGCAGCAGCAGAAGTGGCAGCAGCAGCGGCAGTGGCGGCACGGTGAGCGCGGTCAGCGGGGGGAAGAAGCAGAGCAGGCAGTATCGTCTCCCACCACATCCTCCCGTCCCTCCTGCTCAGGCTTCTCTGCTGCAGTCACAGCGGGTACCCGCGTCCGGCGTCGCCTTCCCATCAGCACGACAGGTTGGCTACGAGTCCCCGCATGTCAGCAACGGCAACGGCCGGTATTACGCCTCTGCCGGCCGAGGGGGAGGAGGGGGAGGGGGAGTAGGCGGGGGGGAGGCAGGCCTGGCCACGACCTCAACGGCGCGCGGTGCTGCGGACGGCCTCGCCTCAACCGCAGCCGTGACCGTGACCGCAGCTGACGCCACCCAAGGGTCGACCGAGACGGTGGTCCCGTCGGCGGACCCGGATGCCATGGAGGCTAAGAAGGGACTGAACAAATGGGGCGCCTTCGACTCGCTCAGCGGTTCCGGAACGGGCACGTTCGGGTTTGGACCCCTGCTGTTCCACCATGTGGATGAGACACCGCGGGACCCGTACGACACCACCAACATGATGCTCAACGACCCCATCAGCTTCAACCCCATGAGCGCCATTTCGTGGGCAAGGCTGGATGAGAGCCCCGAAAGCATCGATGAGCTCGAGGGCGACCATTCGTCGACGGCACAGCAGTCGGACACGGCACCCTCATCAGCCAGGGCTGCAGCCGGGGCCAGAGGCAGCAGCAGCAGGCATGACGGGGGCACCACCGGCCGTGCCGGCTATGTCGACAGCCCGGCCAGCACGGCAGCAAGCCCACGGCATGGCAGCGGTGCATCGTATGCGTCTGACGTCTCCGGGTCGCGAACCTCATCCGTGGCAGGAAGCAGCGTGGGCAACATTTCTAGGACCTTCTCGGACACGAGTCTCGTGAGCCCGGACACGGAGAGAAGCTCGGCGCCGGTCCCTTCGGCCTTTACCACTCCTCCCAGCTCACGGACACCTCACCCTCCCCCTGGCCAGCAGCAGCAGAAACAACAAGGAGGAAGCCAGGCCGAGTTCCCTGGCCAGTATCGAGCTCAGCAACCGCCGCAGCAGAAGCAGCAGGTCTATCAGACACAAAAGCCAGTCCAAAGCAGAAGCCCCACATCGCATCGTGCCACGACAGGCCATCAGCCTTACCCTAGCGAGTCCTATGGACAACCGCGATCACGGCAACATAGCCAGCAGTCAAATCGACAAGGCCACCGACAGCAGCCTCAACCACAACAGGGCTCACAGTCACGCCAGCCCCAGCCCCAGCCGCCCCAGCAGCAACAACAGCAACAACAACAGCCGTTGCAACAGTTGCAACAGGCTCGAGCTCCAGCTCCAGCTCCGCCCACATCACTCCCGGCCCACCAGCCACCAACGACAGACTTCCTCCTCTGCCTGGGCCCGCACTGCAGCGCGCGGTTCCCGACCGAAGAAGAACTGGCCGCACACTACCGCGCCGAACACGCCTTCACCTGCACCTGGGCCTCGTGCCCCGCCGTCAGCTTCACGTCGAGAAACGCGTTGGACTGGCATGTCAACGCCGAGCACTACCTCGTCTGCCCCGTGCCCGGATGCTGCGGGGCCACGTTTGGCAGCAAGAGGGCCCTCGAAGGGCATCTGAAGGTGAGTCGAAATTGCCAGTGGTAAAGCGGTGGCCATTGCTATGGCTGCTGTTCATGTTTGGTGTTCGGTCGGGTGTAAATACAGTTAAAGTACTGACTCGTCAATTTAGGGCGAGGTCGTTACGACTTCGGTGCTGGCGCCAACGGGAAGCTCATCTTCTGCGATGCCGCGGAGACACCCGCAGCAGCAGCAACATCAGTCACAGTTGCAGTTGCAACAGCCACAGCAACAATTCCAGCAGCAGCCGCAGCAGCAGCAGCAGCCGTTCCATCATCGCGCACGGCGCCGATCGAAGAGCCCGAGCTTCTCACCCGGCCATCGACCGCCCCAGAGGACGAGACGATAGGACTTGGTCAACTTATCGCCGGGATCGCATTCAGTCGACACGTTTCGAGACGGTCAGTACCGACGTTTGTGATAACACGGGCTGATCCGATCGGGCCTGCTCGGCATGTTAAGATCTCGAGAGTTCTGGCACAGACGCTATTGCTTTTGGGACGATGGGGGCAGGTGGCACGAGCGGTGGATAATGATATGATATGCATTCATGAGACGAGCCCTTCGTCAAACATTGGACAGCGCCAGGGCTCGTCGTTCAGCCGGGAAACCCACCCCTGGCCATCTTCTTGGCCCGCTGGTCACGCCTGCTGTGGTTTGCCCTCTGGCTCTTGCTGGCCTCCTTCCGGCGTCTCGCCTGCTCCGTGTCGTGCTCGCCGCTCGGCCCGGCAACGTTCCCGCCGCCACGGCCTGGGCCACCACCACCTCGACCCCGCCCCCTGCCGCCGCGACCTCGTCCGCCGCGCCCTCCGCGCCCACCGCCGTCGGTATCGGACTGTTCCGCGCCCGACCCGGCTGGACTCGCCCGCCATGCCGTGCTCGTCAGCTCGTTCTGCTGCCCGGTGAAGGTGTTGGCGGCGCTGTATTTCATCTCCAACCTGCGGTTCTGGTTGGCATTGCGCGACAGCATGACAGCCCACCCTTCGATGGCCTCGTCTGTCATGCCCGTGTCGTCCTTGAGCTTGCTCCTGGCCGCGCTCCTGCGCGTGGCCTGGTCGCGCTCAAAGGCATTAGGCGTGCTCTGGTACGTCCTCCACAGGGTCTCCTCGTTGTCGTTGGCGGGGTCCTCCGTGGTTGCCGCATCAACGGTGCCGCCAACATCTGCGGCATCGTAGGTGTCGTCACGCTCGTCGTCGTCCGAGTCAAAGGCTGCCAGCGCCGACAGGATGGCAGCTTTGTTGGGGGCAGTGGACCGATCGGCGAGGATGTCGTCGGCCGTCTTGTCGGGGGCCTTCTTGCCGATATGAAGCTGGGAGGCGTCGACAGCGAGACGGTCTAGTTCGTCGTCGTCGAATACGTTGCGCCGGGTGGGGAGGAGCGGCGGTGTTGAGCGCGGCAAGAGGCTGGACCGCCGTCTTGGTTTGGCAGTTGTGGTGGATCTGATGGAGGGGTCAGCTGGGGGCATTTCTAATAATACTTAATCTAAGACGTGTTGTGACATACAATGGCTCAGATCGATCCGCCGCGCTGAGGTGCGGCGGCAATGAATCTTCGAGGAGGTGTGCGATGACCTGCTCCGTCTCGCCGCCGTACTCGTCCAACAGCTTGGACACAAATCCAGACCCGAGCTCTGGGAAGAGATCCTGTACTTGTGTGATCTGGCTCATGTGGTGGACATGTACATCACCGGCCATGGCCTCGTGGTCGTCCAGGGCCACGCCTTTACCCTTGTCGATCTTGCGCCTAACCAGACGCTTTGGCTTCATGCCAACTCCAGGTTTGCGGAAGGCCTCCAGGTCCATGATCATGTTCTTGGTGCGGGCGTTCTCTGTGCCCGATGCCTCGAGCCTATGCTTGATCTGCTGGAGCAGCGGTGTGGTGCTGACAAGCTCGGGCACGAGGGAGTCGTTGGCGCTGGTCGGGCCGGCCTTGTGGTCCTCAGCAGCGGTCTTGAGCGAATACAGCTGGTCGGTGAGCAGGGAGAGCTTTGGGGGGCTGCTCTCGACCAGCCCCATGAGGCTGAGGTATGTGGTGGTGATGATGGTCTTCCTCAAGGGGGGATTCATGATCCTGTAGCAAGCAATAAGGCCGTCGAGGAACTCACTCCCTGCGAGGAAAAACGAGGCAGCACAAGGGGATGCGCTGATGAGGTGGCTCAGCCTGTGGAGATATTGCTCGACCGACTTGAGGTCCCCGTTGAGGCCATTATCCAGGTTCTTGATGAGGAACTTCTTGACAGGGCCCAGGAATGCCTCGACAGTGTCGTGGGACGAGGCCGAGAGGGAAGAGAGGAGGCTGCTGGCCCGCTTCTTGGAGTAGACACGGCTGAGGTCGGACAGGAACTCCCACTGCAGCAGGACAACCGGTGGGGAGGAGGACCTCAGGACCCTGGCGGCGAGCAGGAAGCAGTCCTTGAGAAGCAGCCTGGCGGGCGCCGAGGTGCCAAGCAGGGCAGAGCCGTGGGCGGCGACCTCTCTCATGAAGGAAGCGAGGAACTGAGACACTGATTCATCGCCGAGGGTTTGCTTGGAGAAGTCGGCGTCAGACAGGGCGAGATGGGCCTCAGCCAGAGATATCCAAGCACCCAGGCCGGCGTTCCACTCGTCGATGGACAGCAGCTCCTTCCATGCTGCGGTTGGAAATGGGGCAAACGGGGGCAAAGAAGACGAGCCCATGGTGGTGAAGTGGAGTGGGTGGTTGTTGTCGTCGTTGTCGTCTGAACCTGGGAAGTTGGTGTCAGAGATGCAGGAGGAGGATGATGAGAGTATGGATATGAAGAGGAACAGAAAAGGGCAGAAAAGGTATCACAGCACCTCCTTCCTCTCTCTGTCTCTCCCACTCTCTCTTGCAGACAGACGGCTTGCTTGGGGCGAGGTGCGTCTCTTTTACATTACATGGAAGCGACAAACGGCCCAGCAGCTTGGCCCAGCTAGCTGCACCGGTACGCCATTGATGTACTTTCCCTGCCACGAGGTGCTTGTACAGTACAGGCTGTACCTACCCGCCTGCTGCAGACGCTGACTGACTGACGCAAGGCAAGCACGTCTCGCCGGCTGAGTCATCATGATTCACGCCAAGCAGCGCTAGTCCGGCTTCAGACTAGCGCAGCAGACCTGCCAAGAGTGTGCAACCCTAAGTTCCAACGAAAAAGGCGCCCCACCAAAACCCCAGACGGCGAGAGAAATCTATCGCGGGAAGTTTGTCGAGCGGCGTCGTTTTTTTCCCTCCCCCATCAACCAACAAACCCGCCAGCCTTCATCACTTTGCCGCAACGTATCACCCGTTCGAGTCGTGAAGGAACACCCACCACACCCAATCAATCAAGATGTCTTACCAGAAGCCAGAGAAGGGAGACTTTGAGGGCCCCGTACGTCTCTTTCTCTTTCTCTCTCCCTCGTCCTCCATTTTGACAAGTCCATTTTGACCCGACCATCACTGCTAACAACAACCTCTTCCCCCAAACTACAGAAGACCCACAAGATCCGCATCACCCTGACCTCCCGCAAGGTCCAGTCCCTCGAGAAGGTCTGCTCCGAGCTGATCGAGCGCGCCAAGGGCAAGGACCTGCGCGTCAAGGGCCCCGTCCGCCTGCCCACCAAGACCCTCAAGATCACCACCCGCAAGACCCCCTGCGGTGAGGGTTCCAAGACCTGGGACTGCTACGAGATGCGCATCCACAAGCGCCTCATCGACCTCAACGCCCCCACCGAGATCGTCAAGCAGATCATCGTCAACATCGAGGCCGGTGTCGAGGTCGAGGTCACCATTGCCGCTTAGATGGTCTGACAACAGGGCGACCGTGTTGAATTGGGCGGGACTCTCGAACTTCTGCTGGAAGATGTCATGTTGATGTGTGGCAACGTCAATCAGGGTAGTGCGGGATACCAGACCAAAAACAGACAGTTCCTCAGATTATTGTGCGCCGATGCTTGTGTTGTTTGTGTGTGTGTGTGTGTGATAAAACATGTGCAGTCGTGACTGCCTGTGACTGCCTGTGTCAAGACGAGGGACGCCTTGTAGTATTATTATCTGCCTAGAAGACAACAGACATGCAGATGCGCAGTACCCGGGACGAACCTACTGCCACTCCAATGGCCCTTCACGGAGGCTTGCACGGGGAAAGCCACAGGTCAGAGCTGGCCATTTGCGGGCTTCAAGCAGAAATGGCACAGAAGAGGTCATACTAGATGGTCCCACGAGAAGCCCGACGGTATCCGTAGTCTTGATCAATTACGTACGTATTGCTATGTTATGGCGACAGAAGCCAGCCATTTCTAAAAACGCCTCCCCCAGACCTAAACGAACAGTGGTCTCGTCAAAACCACCACGTCTTGGCCTCGATGCATGCAAATATCCTTTTGTTTCGCCACCAGCCTCGTATATGTGAAAACACACACACACACAAACACACACAGAGAGAGATTGTCGCTCCATCTTTTCAAAACGCCGGCTGCCAGCACAGTGCCTTTTATGCATGCATCTGAGGGTTTTCCAACGCCCTTGGTTTAACGCCCCCACAACGGACGACCAGCCATATGTCGCATCAAGCTGAGACTCCTCTTGTTTTGTTGTTCGGGACTCTCTGTCGACGGTGGCATCCACCATACCATAGTCCCATGTTGTTGGCCCTACTTCCCCCTCACCTCATAGGTCCCACGTGCAGTATTCCCTCATCGGCGGGGCCTCGGGCATCCCACTTCCACCAGCACCCGCAAAAGTGAACCGGCCCGTGGACACAAATTGCTCATAAGCCGCCTTCTCCGCGTCAGTGTACTCCCGACCAGGCTCTGTGTCCTTGTAGTACGGCGGAGGGCCATCCGGGAACCAAATCTTGGTCCAGCTGCCGTCAAAGTTCTGGATGCCTGGCGTCGGCTTGGGCGCCTCGCCCTTCTCGGTCACATCCTTGTAGGTGATCTGCTTGCCCTTGAACGACACGAGGTATCCCGTCCCTGCCTTCCTGGCGTAGCTGTCGTAGGGCGGGTGCTGCCTGGTTGCGTTGGGGCCGTAGGGGTTGTTGGGCCCACCAGGAGCCCCTGGCGCAGGCTTCTGGGGTCCTGCTGCGAAGCCATTGCTTACCTGGGCGGTGGCGGGCTGCGCGAAGGGATTTGCTGCTGCAGGCTGCGGCTGGCCGAATGGGTTTGCGGGTGCCGCGGTTGGCTGAGCTGCCTGGGCGAAAGGATTTGGTGCTGTCGAAGGACCAGATGGCTCCATAGACACCTCTGGCGCGGTTGTTTGGGGCGCCGGCTGCCCGAAGGGATTACCTGACGCAGCCGCGAAGGGACTCGGGTTGGCGCTTGCTCCGCCCAGCGCTCCGAAGGGGCTGGAAGAGACGCCGCCGCCGCCGCCGAAGGGGTTTGGCTTCGCGCCTAGCTGTGAAGGCTGACCAAAACCGCTGGGGGCCGCAGGTTGAGGCTGCGCAGGTTGGCCGAAACTAGGGGTGCCGAAGGGGTTCGCTGCCTGGCCCAGTGCCGAGGGTTGGCCGAAGCCGCTTGCTGGTTTATGTCCAAGACTTGAAGGCGCGCCGAACGTGCTGCCTCCACCCAAGGCCGAAGGCTGACCAAAGGCGCTTCCCCCGCCGAGAGCGGACGGCCGACCGAACGCGCCGGCCCCGCTGCCCAGAGCCGAGGGCTGGCCGAATCCTGACGACGGAGCTGGCGCAGCAGGCTGGCCGAATGGGGAGCTGTTGGCACCACCAGCGGCGGCGCTGAAGGGGTTCGGAGCCTGTCCAAGAGCCGAAGGCTGGCCGAAGGCTCCGGCTGTTGACGGGGAGGAGAAGGCATTGGCAGGTTGACTCTGCTGGATACCAACGGGTCGCTTGCCGACAGCAAATTCGCCAGTGCTAGGGATCGAGTTTGTCTGACAGACGTCGTGGCGGTTGGGATGGTTGTTCTGGGACTGTACGATGAAGTCGATAGCTCCGTCAAGGTTTCCCAGCGCACTCTGTATCTTGGACTGCGCCTGACCCCAGAGGCCTTGTATCTCGTTCAGCTGACATGTATGTCAGCATTTCTGGTGCTCATTCTTCACCTAAGGAAGAGGGCCAACCACAGGCGAGACGTACCGCGCCCTGTGCATTTCCAGAAGCCTCTCCCATCATGTAATGCAGCCTCATCTCCTCGAAGCTTTGTTCTATGGGGTAGCCGCCCCACAGCTGCTCGGGGGCATCGCGGCCAGGACCGTATGCTGACAGAATCCATGATGGCCTCTCCTCTGCGAGATCCTTTTGTATTGTTTCCTTACTCAACGAGAATTGGCTGGGCTGTGCTGTCTGCTGTCGCCCAAATCCTCCGCGATTGTTGTTTGAACCACCGGAGAGGACGCTGAAGGGGTTTGCGCTGGCCGAGCCGTTTGCGCCGGGATGCTCGTTTCTGCAGTTGTCTTGAAAGACGGAGAACTTGTTAGCATTGTGCGACTTGAGTCGGCCGAGGGAAGTCACGGGCGTCTTGGGTGTCTTTGGAGAGTCAAGCTGCATGGTGATGTCGTAGGCTGGGCTTCGCGCAGAGCGGACGACGACGGGGCTCCAGATGTCCAGTTCGACGGTGATGGCGATAGTAGGGGTTGGCCAGCCGCCCTTGTGGCTGGAGGCTGACTGGGCCGTGGCCAGAGGGTGGGTTGGTCGCGCATTAGAGTCTCTTTCGGTGAGTGGCCTGGTCTTGGACAAGTCGAGAGGGGGAGGTTTGGGCTTCGCGGCGTTGGTGAGAAGAAAAGGGATGGGCGCATTGCGGACGACAGCAGTGCCGCCGCCGTTCGAGAGGGCCACCATCGTCACACTCGTCGTCGCCAGAGTTGCCAGCAGTCTCGCTTCGATTCGACTGGCGTCGACTCGACCCGCTTCGCTTCGACGGGACTCGACAGGTCGGTGGATGAGGTACAGTGCCGTAGATGTCGTCGGGTCGGATTGAGTTGTCACACCAAGCAAGCCTCGCGCGGGTGGTGGAATGGTCCAAGGGCTTGGCTCCAGGAACAGGTTTGAGGGCAGAGGAATGTACAGTGTTTCAAGGCCGACTGATTTGACTCGCCCAGGGATGGGATTGATGGGCAGGGGATTGTCAAAAAGAAGGGGGGCAAGCTGGGGAAAACCTACTGCCAAACCTGCAATTACCTTGTTGGTAAAACTTGCAGACGGTCATCTCGCATCTTTTGCCTTTTGCCGAGCTTCAGGAGCTACCATGGGTGCGAGGATTGCGGGGTAATACTATTTAACGGATGAAGGCCTCATTGTTCTGGGGCAGAGTTGGGACGACGGGCCGACCTAGAATACAGCCACACAATAGGACGAGGTTGGTAGGAGGAGGAGGAGGAAGGTTGAAAGTTCACAAAGGAAGACGCGACGACGTGAGGGCCGTGCACGGACCAGCCTTTCTTATCTTATCGGCCGTGGCCGGCCGTTTGTTGGACAGTTGCTTGCAGTGCTGGGACCGTCAGTCTCGGGACCGTTTCGGCGCCTGCACCCGCTCGGCTATGCCTAAACCAGACACAACTTTTCTTCAGCTTCTTGCTTGGGCGCCGCGCACGTGGAAGATGGGAGATGCGATCCATCGTGGACTCCGTTTACATCCTGCATATGACCGTGTTATCCTTGTCGGGCGTCACTCATCTAGGCAAATGCCCAGCAGCGTCCTTCCGTGCTTGACACTTTTGCGGGTTCAAGTTGGACCTTCTCATGACAGTTTTCGGTGGCTGGAACTTGACTGCGCACAATTTGAGCTCATGGTCTGGCTCATTCGACAAACACCCAGCTGTTGTGCAGCAACCCTGAAATCCCATCCCACGAGGTCTTAAGACTGAGCTCTCTTTGCAAAGACGCTCAATTACTTCATCCGTGTTGGATTTGCCAGCCAGATGGGAGGACGAAGGGTTCAGAAAGTTGATCCAATCACTTCCTGCCCAGCTACTTTTCTGAAGATGGTGAACTCGACATGATGGCAGCAATGGCCACGTTGATTTCTTCAGACCGTGAGCTTTTGACCGTCTTCTGACGAATACAAGGGCCCACAGTGGGTTTTCTAAGTTCAAATGTTACGTGGGATCGAGGACCAGCCATTGGCACGACAGGCAGACGCATGATCTGGCAATCGATTCCAGGTTCCCCAGCCTTCCGCGAGTAAACACACTTACTTGGACATCACAACATCTGCTAACCTAAGCCGCATCTGATCCATAGACAGCCTCAAGTATGGGCAGGACTCAGCATGCCTGCATCCAAGTTCCATCCGACTTGACCAGTGGGATATCGCCAAAGTACGAGCCCCCCACCTCCACTGCAACCAAGCCCCTCTTCCACCTCACACACAGCCGGCTGGGCGAATTTTGAATCTGCCTGCACTGCCCGTGGACATCCCCCTCAGGGCAGGTCGAGCTGGGACATGGGATACTTAGGTACAATGTAGAGGGTGCAGGTGTCGGTTGCATGCATGGATCCGAGGATGCGCCCCTAGATGGTCTCTTCTAAATCCCCTAGGTGCATACCAATCTTCAACCCTGTTCTTCGGAGATCAGTCGTTAAAGTTTGCGGACTTGCAAACGACCGGGCATCCTGGGCCGGGCCAAAAGACAAGGCTGAGAGACGCCAAGAAAACCCTGGGAAGGGAACAGTAAAATGGGGCCAGGAGTGAAAGTAATTCCCGATTGGCTGTAGCGTATAGAAGTCGACGGACAGTGCTAACAACAATTATCACGGTCACATCGGCGAGATGCAATATCATATTCCGCTCGGGGGTTCAAGAGTGCAGGCAGGGTGATCACAGCTAGTACTTCCTCAACGAGTATCATCAGGTCTTTATTGAAGAGCCTTCTTTCTCCCGTCTGAAAAAGCTTGACTAGAGTCTTTGCAGCTTCCTGCTCCATAGAGGTAATAGTATCCGAGTTGTCCTAGACCGGAGGGCTTGAAGGGGATAGCATGCAGTAGTGTACCAATATTACCGCGTGCTTGCTGATTATCAGAGCTCCCCTTGGCAGACAGGAGCTGATCATGTCAGCCTGTAGTATTCCATAAGTCCGAATGAGATGAGCAGGAAAGAAATGGCCATGGGTGGTCGGGAACAAGAATGTACACCCTAACATGCAGCAGGTATAACAACCTCGAGTGTTTGGCAAAGACAGAGAGACAGAAAGTCAGAGAGAGCGTAAAAAAGCATCAATCCCTTTAGCTCCATACATATTCACAAGCGGGCATCAAGTCTCCTCTCGCGCCTCTTAACCCTGATGGTTGCCCCCGTCGGCGGAAGACACGTGATCCCATACCACTGGTTTTCCGGCCTCGTGGCCAGCGGCTCAAAGTCATACTCCAGCAACGCATGCGCCAGCACTAGCTTCAACTCGGCCGCCGCGAAGAACCTGCCGGGGCACGCATGCCTACCATGACCAAAGACCAAAAGGTCGGGCCCTGTCGTCGGCAGGGCGTAGCGGGCGCGGCGCACGTGGTCCAGCCCCTCCTTGCTGCGCTGCTCGCTGAACCGGAAGGGCGTGTAGGTATTGGCCCCTTCGTATTTAGCCTCCTCGTGCATTATGGAGTGCGCTGCCACAGAGACCAGGGTTCCGCGGGGGAGGTGCACCCCGGACGGGGTCACCACCCCGTCCGGCGCGGTGACGGCCCGGCCGAGGCCGACGGAGAGGATGGAGCTGAAGCGGACGCTCTCGCGGATGGCCGAGTCCAGCTTCACGAGCTCGCGCAGCGCCTGTTTGGTCCAGTGGCCGCCGTGGGCGTCGAGTACGGAAGAAATCTCGGCGCGTAGTTCCTGGATACATGACGGGTCTGAGGAGACGAGGTCGAAGATGGCCTGTGTGGACGTTAGTGACGTCGTGTGGATTGCGGCGAAGTTGACCGCCAGGATACGGTCGGCGAGCGTCTGGCTACGCCACATGTAGGGGTCGCCCGCTGCCTTGGCCTGCTGGATTGACCATTGAAGGAAGTCATTGTGTTGCGGCCCGAGAGAGTCGTCATCAGGGTTCTCCCGGTGCGCGTCGTAGCGATGTAGACGCCGGTCTATCTCGGACACTAGAATTTTGCGAAACCGCCGGGTGTGTACGCGGTTGGGGATGGTGATGAGCGGGGCCAGGAGCGGACGCAAGGGCTTCCAGCAGAGCTTGATGAGGGTAGAGCTGAGAGGGATATCCACTGCGAATGCCATGCCGTTGTTGACCAGGTTAGGATCACGACAGAACGGGCGCCCAACAAAAACACGATTGGCGACACCGCCTACAATATGTCGCATTGTCTCAAAGACAGATACCTCGTTCCATGAGTTTCTGTCAGTGCCCCAGTGCTTTTCGAAAGCCCAAGCCGCCTCCCCAGCTAGACTTGGTATCAGGCTTCCGATCTGAGGCGTTAGTGCCGTCCGGAGGAGGCTTTCATGCAATGGTACCCGTGGGATTGTTGGATCTGGAAAGGTGTAGTCGACCTGGAATATCTCAAAAGCTCTTTCACTGAAACCGAGGACTGAGTCAGGCTGATTGGTGATGAATTTCACGTCTTGAGACGGTAAAAGTATAATGTTACCCTATAAGAATAAAGGGATAGATTTCTCTCAACTATAAACCTATTTAGGAGGGAGAGAACAGTCCCTTTTATAGATAAAGGTAAATCCTCTAAATACCTATTAGAATATTATAGAAATTAAAAGAAATAAGTATTCCTTATATAAGTTAGTACCTTATATTTAAAGAACTAAAATAGTAGTTATAATAGGTTATAAATAAATATAAAGCTATTAATAAATAGAGTATTTTTTATAATCCCTTAAAAGTTAAATATATAATATAAGTTATTTAAATAGTTTTTTATAAAAATATAAGTATTATTTAGTTTAATTTTAAAGATTTATTATTAAGAAAAACCTTTATAAAGGGATAAAAACTTAATAAATAGTTATAATTATAAGTGTTTTAATTAAATAAAACCTTTATAAGGAAAGTTTAGTTTATAAGTAAAATATAAACTATATATATATTAGTAATTTTTAATCTAATTTATTAAGTAAAATAAAAACTAAAAGTTTAAAAGTTTAATTATATTAATAATTAAATTTAAAGCTTTTAATATATAATTATAGTTATTTTATTAAAAGATTTTATAATTATATTTATATATTATTATATTATTTATATATAAATATATTTTTATATAATTTAATTATTATATTTAGATTATTATACTATATATATTATAAATCTATAAAATATATATAAATTTATAGGCTTATAAGTATAAGTTAGGTATAATAGTTATAATAGTATATAGTATATTATATATTATAAGTTAAAAAGTTACTTTAAACTTTTATTTTAAATTATTCTAGACTTATAGGTTAGAAGTACTTTTAAATTTATTTAATATATTTTTAATATATTTTTAATAGCTTATAAAATATAGAAAGATTTCTACTTTTTAATAAGAATTTTTAATAGTTAAAAACCTTTTAATATATAGGGTTAAATTTAGTTTTAAAGGAGAAAATAATTTATTTATAAAAGTAAAAACTAAGTATTTTTATTTAAAAGTTTATTATTTTTAGAAAAATACTTCTCTTTATTAAATATATTATAATAGATATTTATAGTTTATTTATTATTTTTAAAATATTCTTTTATTTTAAAACCCTTTTATATATATATATAGAATATTTTTATATTTATTTTTATATAAATTATATCTTTTAATTAACTTAAATTCTTATTTAATTATAAGTTTTATTAATTAATTTATAAGGTTATTTTTATATTTATTTTAATAATTTTAATTAGATTTTCTTAACTATATATTTATTAAAGTAATATATAATATTTATATATTTAGTTTATTTATAAAATACTTAATTTTTAATTAATTTTAAGTAATATTATTATCTTTATATATTTTACTTTTAAGAATATTATATTTTAATTTTAAAAATTATTAAAATAAATTATTAAATTATATAAATAAATTCCTTTTAATAGCTTCTTTTAAAACTATATATTTAACCTTATAAGTACTTAATATAAGCATTTTTATTATTAAAAGGACTAACTAATAAGGTTAAATATATTTTTATTTTTAATAAATAAAGAGAATATATAATTTAAGATAGATTTTCTATTATTTATATTATTACCTAATTTAAGTTATAATAATCTATTAAATATAAAGTATTTTCTCCTAAATACTAAAATTTTTATATATATTAAGGAATTTTAATAAATATTTTATAATTTATTTAATTTTTAAAGTATTTTATATTAGGGTTAGATATATATCTAACTAATTTAGATATTAAAAGTATATATTTAACTTAATTTTTAGATTAATATATAAAAAAGCCTATTTATTATTAAAATACTTCTATTTTTATTTTAAAGGCTTAATTTATATTTCTTTTAAAGCTCTTTTAGAAATATAAAGTATTAATTCTAGCTTTATTTTAATATTATTAATATAATTATTTTTAAATATATTAAATTTTATAAATATTTTAAAAGTATATTAATTTTAATTTATAGTAATAATTTTATTATTTTATTAATTTTAATATTATTTCTAGAAAATTATTTAATTCCTTAAAAATCTAAATTTATATTTTTAAATATTAAAAATTAAATTATTTATAATATTTAAATTAATACCTAAAATTATTATATTATTTATATAGTATATAAATATTATTTATAAATTTATATTTATAAATATATCTTTATTATAAAGATATATTTTAAATTTAACTTTTATTAAAATATTAGTTAAATATTTATATTATAATAAAGATATTTATTTAAAGTTATATATAGCTTTTAATAATAAAATAACCTTATTTTTATATTTATCCTTATTATATATAAAGTTAAAGAGTTTAATATATATTTTATAATTTATATTAAAGTATAAAAGATATTTTTATATTATAACTTAATATATATTAGCCTTTATTAATTATTATAATTAATAATATATTATAAATCTTTAGCTTATAAATAGTTAAAAAGTCTTTAAAAATCTATTTTAAATTGTTATTTATAGTTATAAATAATTTATTTAACTTTATATTTAATAGTCTTTTCTTTATTAACTATCTAACTAGATTTTATTATATTAAAATTATTTATATATTTCTTTTAATACCTATTTATTAAATAATATAGTTTTATTTTTAAATAATATAGTTATTTTATAAAAATTTTATTTTTCTAGACTATTCTTTTATCTATTATAAATTTAAGCTATAAATCTTTTTAAAAGAATTTAATATTTCTTTTATATTAAAAGGTTTAATTATAACATTAATTATTATAATAATAAAAGAATTATTAAAATTATTTATAATAATATTTATATAAGTATTTTTAATAAAATATAATTTTTATACCCTCTTACTATTATTTTATCTTTTATAAGTATCTCTTCCTTTATAGAAATTTTTCTTAAACTTTATCTTTTCTATAAGTATTTTTCCCCTATAAGATTTTTAATATTATTTTTATTTTTAAATTTATTAAATTTATTAAAGAATTTTCTTCTAAAATTTATATATCCTATACTAATATAGGTTTATTAGTCTCTATATCTTAAACTTTATATATATATATTTTAAAAATATAGTTTATTAAAAGACCTTTTTATTCTTAACTTTTAATTTAATTTTATATTTATTATTATTATAATAAACTATAAAACTTTAAATTCTTATATTATTAATATTAAATATTTTATTATTTTTATTTTATAAAGACTTTTAAAATTTAAAAAGTATATAAAGTTATATTATATAAATATATAATAGTTTTAAAAGTATCTCCTTATAATATATATAGTAAATTAAAGGCTATTATTAAATTTTAAATTTTATTTATTATAATAAAATTTAATCTTTTATAGCCCTATTAGGTTTTTATATATATAAGAGTAATAAAGTAATATATATTACTCTTATTAAATATAGATTTAAATTTTTATTAATAAATTTAATTTTATTATTAAAGAAGAATTCTTTAATAGATTTATTATTATTATTTTCTTTTATTTTTAAAGTCTTTAAAGGCTTTTAAAACTTTATTCTTTCTTTTAATAAATACCTATATAGATATTTAATTTTTTATTAAGAAATAAAATATAATATTTATATTTATTATATATAAGTATAAGTAGTTTATTTATATTACTATATATTTATTTAAAAATATTATATTTTTATTATTTAAACTCTTTTATTATATTTAGTTATATATTTAGTTTATAAATAAATATTATATTTAAAGGTTTATAGAGTTTTAATAGGAATTTTAATATTTATTTTATTATTTTAAGTATTTATATAAGTAGAATAAGGCTTATATAGTTTAAATAATAATATTAATAATATATATTATTTAAAAGGTTATTTTCTTTTAAGTAATAAAAGTATTTATTTATATATTATTATAATTATTATTAAATATTTTAACTTTAATATAATATAAGTTATTTTTATATTCTTTACTTATAAATCTATTAGATTTAATAAAATAAAATTTAGCTATATTTCCTTTTAATATAACTTATATAATATAATTTATAATACTATAATTAAATATATTTAAACTTAATAAAAGTATATAATATATATTTAGTACTTTAAATTTATAGTTATTATTTAAAATAATATATTACTTTCTTTAATATATTTAATATTTATTATATTTATTTTACTTTATTTAACTTTTATTTATAAATTTTAATATTTTAAATAGTTTTTATTATATAAACTAATTATATTTATTTTATTATTAAGTATAAATTTTATAGGTATAATTCTATATAGCTTTTATATTTTATATTAATTATTATATTTATTATAGATATATAAAGGTATAAATAGTATTTACCTTTTATTTAAAACTTAATAAGTTAATATTATTAAGGTTATTAATTATTTTATTTATATTTATTTTATTTATAGATAATTTATATAGTATATAAGTAGTAGTAATTTTTAGAATTTTTTTAATAAATCTTTTTATTTTTTATCCTTTAATTTATTAAAAGGATTAATATTTTTCTTTTAGTTTAATAATTATAAAGAGTAATTTATTAATCTTTTATTTTAATTTAATTTATTAAAATTTAGTTTATATATATAAATATTTTCTCTTTTTTTCTTTATTTTTAAGCTTTTAATACTTTATTAAAGTTAAAAATAGTAATTTTCTTTAATATACCTTTTAAGTTATAGTAAAAGTACTTTATAATTTCTTTTTATTATTATTATTATTTTTATAAATAATATTTTTATAAAAGCGTTTTTCTTTTCCTTTTAATTTATTTATTAAATTAATAAATAAAGTATTAAGTATATAACTTTTAAAATCTTTTTTAAGCTTTATATAATATTTTATATAAATCCTTTATAATTATTATTAAATAAATTTAATATTTAAGTAATAATTATTTATTTAAAAGGTTAATATTATTTATTTTTAAATCTTTAATTAATTATTTAATTTTATTTAAATATTTTTATAGTATTAAATTCCTTTAAAGAGGTATTTTAAAGTTCTTTTAGAATTAAATATTCTATAATAAATCTATTAAGTTTATAAAGACTTTTAAAAGTGTTCTAAAACTTTATAGTAGTATTTTATACTTTATATATATAAAAGGTCCCTTTTATATATTAAGTAAATTAAGGTATTAGTTTTATAGTTTTTATTAACTAAAAGATTTTATAAATTACTATTATTTTTAGTTAAGCCTTCTTTTATAAGGAAAGTTATAACTTTTATATTTTAATATAGGTAATTTTTATATTAGATAATTAAAGAATACTATATTTATTATATAAAGCTATTAGAAATTTTTAAATTTTTATAAAGGAAAAGAACTTATATTATAGAAATAAATTAAAAACCTTATATAATAATACCTTTTAAATATATTTTTACTATATTTAATATATTTTTAACTCTTTTATAGTTTTCTTTATAAGGGTTTTATTTATTTTTAAAATTAAAAATATTTCTTATAATTTTTAATTATATTAAGTATAATATAATAAATTAAAGGGTTGTATTTTATAGTAATATTATAAGTTTTAAAAGGATATTTTATAAAGTTATAATAATAATAATTTTATAATAATATTAAAAATATTTTTAAATATTTTTATAAATTAAATATTAAATATAATATATATTAATTTTATTTAAATATTAAAAACTAATTAAAATAATTAATTTTGAATAGATTATAGAATTTAAGTATTAAAATATTATTAATAGGTATTTTAAAAGATTTAAAGTTTTATTAATTGGTTGAAATAGTAATATAAGTATTATTGAAAATTAAGGAAAATTTAAGGTTTTAAATAATATTTTTATAAAAATTTAATTAAGGATTTATAAAGTAAAAATTTAAAAGGTAGGATTAAAAGAAGGATTTTTAATAAATATTTAAGGGGTTTTTAATAAAAAAATTAATTTAAAGGTTTTTTAAAAGAAATTAAAAAAGTTATATAATAATTTATTAAAAATATAAGTTTAAATAGTTGAAAATAATATAGTTAAAATTTATTTATTAAGATAAATTAAATAGTATACTTTATAGTAAAGTAGGTCTTATAGTAGTAAAATAATTAAAAAATATTTAGGGTTAGTAGTATTAAGGGTAGATATAAATAGCTTAAGGTATTTATTAACTTTAATTTAAAAAAAGTAAGGTTTAGTTAACCTAATTAGGAAGGTAGTTAAAGGATTTAATTTAATTAAATATAGGCTTAATAGGCTTAATATAATAGGTTGACTTTTAAAATAGATAAGTTAAGTTTATTATAATTTAATTGGTTAAGTATTAGGGGATATAATTTATAAAAATAAAGGGATAGATTTCTTTTAATTATAGATTTATTTAAAAAGAAGAGGATAATCCCTTTTATAAATAAAGGTAAGTCCTTTAAATACTTACTAGAATATTATAGAAATTAAGAGAAATAAGTATTCCTTATATAAGTTAGTGCCTTATATTTAGAGGATTAAAATAGTAGTTATATTAGGCTATAGACGGATATGAAGTCGTTGATAAATAGGGTATTTTTTACATGCCCTCACCTGCCACAGGCACCAGCACTGGATGCTGTCGATATTGAGAGTGTGCCTGAGACATTGCCGCTTGGAAGTTCTTCGTGTTTCGCCATTTCGCCTGAAGGATAGGAAACCAGTCACCCTTTTGAGATCCAATAATAGGAATATCAGGAAGAAGAGGACGTTTGAAAAGGAGCGTGAGGAAATAAACGACAAGAATAGTAGGCACCAGAATGGCCGGGTCCAAAAGCAGCTCAGAGAGCATTGCAGATGATTATGCCGAGTCAGTGGAACGAAGTAGGATCGTTTGGACTTGGACTTCAGAAACCTAATGCACAATTTACGTCTCCACCTGGGCAGCAGGCTCCTCATTGATCTTGCAGTGATCGGTGAGCTTTGAAGTCATCTCATGCTGGCCGTTTCTGATATCGTGGGCTAGCACTGGATTTGCGCACGCCCAACCATCCCCGCCTTTTCCTTTTTTTTTTTTGCCACGAGATTATGCTCTGCTTCTGTCATGTTCATGTCATTGAGGCTCCGAATGAAAGGTGCCGCAAAATCTCCCGGGTTGTGGGCGAGAATTGTCGGCGGAGCGGGTTGGTGCTGACCGGTCTCCGGTGGCCATGCAGGAAGAGCAGGACAAGGAAGGAAGGATCGTCTCGTAGGGAGGACCACATAATCAACAAAGGCCGAAAACTCAGATATGGGCCATTCGGCTTCATGTGCGACCCTCCATGACGGCCTTGCTGCCATAGCTTGGTAATCAATTCGTCTTCCAAGGTGGGAACGTCGCGTAACAAGACCGGGCATCAGATCAGTGTACGGTACCAGTACCTACTAAAACGGAAGTCTACCTCACTGGACAAACTGATAGGTACCTAGAATGTTGGCACACAAGTCCTATCACAATGTTACACTGCCTATCGTCTCCACTCTCAGAATCGGCGGCGTCACTGTCACGCTGCAGCTCCAGTCGAGTGTAGGATTTGTAATTTCGCCCCATGCTTGATCTTCCGAATCAACGTCTCTGTCTGAGACACTTATGCTGTACCAACTCCGAGATAGCCCGTTGTTGATTCCTTTGCTTCTACCTCGGACTTGTATATAACTAACAACAGTAGCCTAACCAAAAATGAGGCCTGTGACACCCTGTGCCGTTGCATTTCCAATCCCCCATACATATACTATATAGAATGTACGTGGGTGTCACCCTGTCAGTCTGTAAGGTCCATTTTGTCAATATCTGCTCAGGTAACAGGGACTCACCCGATATCTTGGGCAGTCTTTGTTGGTATCGATGCCCCAAGTATCTGCCTCCCTGCGGCGTGCTTTGTGGGTCGCTGGACGACTCGACAAGACGTGACGAATTCATAGACATGACGAACTGCTGTCATCATCCCTTGTGTAGCACTTCTGTTCTCTTTGAGGTGTCCAAATTCGCGTGTCATGTCTTCTGACAAACAGATAACGGAGCATGTGCTCCTGACCACAGCTTTCCGAGCGTGGCACGGAACACGATACCGCTATGCATGCTGTATCAGGCTTGACAGTTCTGAACATAGCAAAAGGTCTGGGCATGTTGGACAGAAATCCTCCAAGCAGTGACTATTGATCTGGGCTCTGATAAGCTTAGGCTCGAGAGCATGGCTATGATATCAAGTAGTGGGCACCATGGGTGATCCCTCCAGTACCACACAGATCATGTGATCTTATCTTTCACATCACAAATATCAACAACAACCGTAACCTCTCCGGGGGCGCCTTGGCGTTTAAATGGGTGCTCAGAGGCACTTTAACTCCCCGCCCCGCCCCCTCCCCCGATATTCCATCAACTCAACCGTAAGACGGGATCTTGAATCCACCAGGAACCTGGTTGGTAAAAACATGCCCCGGGTCGACGCGGTCCCGCAGGGCCCTCAGCCGCGCCACGCTCTCGGGCCCGTAGCTCGAAATAACATCCTGCCAGGGGGCCGCGTACCCGAGGTACAGGTAGCGGTCGTACACGCCGAGCCCCTTGGCGCGGGCCTCGATGTCTTCCATCAGCCTGCGCGTGGCCGCGTAGACCTGTTCGTCCTGTGCGGCGTCGGTCCACGCCGGCGAGAGCAGGCACACGGCAAGGGACTCGGACACCGGCCGGTCCTGGAGACCCAGGCTGTTGTCGGCCGCACCCCTAGCGTATATTTGTGGCGGGAGGGGCTCGATGTTGAGCGCCCACATTATGCCTGTTAGGTTCTGGACCTGTGCGAGGCTGGCGTCGAAGGCTGCGTAGGTCTCGCGGATCATGGCTTCGGTCGGAACAAAGGTCGTTGTTGCCATGAGGTACCTTTCGGGGAGTGGGCGTCAGCTTTGGTTTTCTGGGGGGGATCAGACAGAAACATTTGAAGAAAACGAGGGACATACCGCGATGCTTGCTTCGGATTGAGAGCCACCGAGTTCTGGGCTATGGTGCTCACGTTGGCGGTGACGGCAGGGCTTCCGATGTTGGGTATTGTTGGCAGGTCCAGAACATCCTTGTAAAACGGTGGTGTCTCGGTTCCGTTGGGGGGCTCGGTGTAGACGAGTTGGTGCAGGGCAACCTTGCCCCCAGCCGCTCCGGAATACGCCCAGCCCGTGAGGAAAGAGGCATTCTTGTCGTAATTATCGGGAGCCATGAGTTTGCCGTAGATGCTGGCCTGCTGATCCAGGATTGTGGTAGGGCTGATGCTCAGGATCGACCATAATGGGCCTTGCTCAAAGGTGACGAGTTCCATTCGCGTCACGATCCCAAAGTTGTTGGCGCCGCCGCGGAGACCCTTCCAGAGGTCCACATTCTCCTGAGCGCTGGCCTGGACTATGGAGCCGTCGGCCAGAACTACCTCAAAGGATGTCGCTTGGTTGCACGTCCAGCCGTGACGCGGGCCAAAGTAGGAGATACCCCCTCCGAGAGTCAGCCCACTGACGCCCACGCCGGCCACACGACCTCCGGCCACGCTGAGGCCCAAGGGGTCCAGCTTGTTGTAGATAAGGTCCCAAGTCACGCCGCCGCCAACAGACACGGTCGAGTGGTCCTCACTCAGCTCCACTGAGTTCAGGCCGCGCAGATCGATAGTCACGCCGCCTCCCGAGTTGGACGCCCCGGGGATCCACATGTGGCCGCCGCCGCGGACCGCAAAGTTGGCCGTGTCGCCATGGCCCCCCGAGGTAAGCGACTTGACCACGGCTGACACTTCATCGACGCTCTGTGGGGTCACAAAGCATAGGGGTTGAACAGCGGCTGCTTGGGGAGAGAAATATGACGCGAGGGACTCGTTGTATCGGGTGTTGCCCGGGAGCAAGACATTGTCTGTTCCGATCAAGGCGATCAATACTTTGCACTGCGAATCCATCATGGATGGGAGTCAGCTCTGAGCACCACAAAGGGGCTGGAGGCGTGCTTGTTGTTCTTCGTCTTCCACTATTTCACGCCCTTGGTTGGATCAAGACTTAAAAGCCACGAGGGGTCAAGTGTAGCCTGAATAACTTACACACGTGCGATGGGTAACATTAGGCATCTTCATTGTTCCGCAGCATCCGAGGAACGTTGCAGTTGAGATGACTGTACCTGTGCCGTGTTGACTGTTTGCTTGGTTCTGGGTAGTAGGGTCGTGCCGCCTGGCTGCGCCTGTTGGTCGAGTTCGCAAGACCTATGCAACACAGGTGTGAGGAACCACAGCAGCGAGGCAGGATCTGCACAGAACCCCCGAGACTTCAGCCCCCAAATTCCCATGCGTGGTGAAAGCCGTTCGTGTGGTTGCACAACAGTCAACAGTGTAGGACGTATGGATTCGGCTTCAGCCAGTCAACGGACCATGTGCAGGTCAGACCACGGCATTGCATTTGTACATATCCAGGTAACTACTACAGTATTTGTGTACTGCTTTCCGGAACAGATGTATCGAAAACGCTTATTCAACCCCGCCCTGTGCCAGGCTAACAGACCTCAAGTGCTCCCAACCCCAATGAAGGCACATTGGGCTGTTCATTTAGACGGTGCCAATCATGCGCCCCAAATCCCCGAGGGTCGTCAGCTTCTTGACCGGTCGAATCGAGATATGTTTGGATCGTCTTGCACCTGGCCGCGCATGAGATGTCGCAATCCCAAGAAAAATTGGTTCTCTCACCTGTGCGATATCGTTGCAATCCCGCAACTATCACCCTGAGGATTTCTGATGTATAAGTGCATTCTTCATTTTTGACTGACGTGTTATTTCTCTTCACCATGGACTCGTCGACCGTTGATACTTGCTCCATCCCTGCCGGGAGATCGCCAAATGGCGTGTACAACTTTATTGATCCACCCAGTTTGGGTGTCGCTGTCATCGCCGTTGGCGTCGTTCTAGGCGCCATTTCAACGGCTTTAGCTGCCGGCCGCCTGTACATCAACCGAAGCAGACTACACGCAGCGGATAGTGAGTCGTTGTCCATTCTCTTGACTTCTTTTTGAGGATGCATCGGTACAGGACAGGCGCTAACTGGCTCTCAATCACAAGTCTTCACAATCATGGCATGCGTGACGAATATCGCGTACACAGGCGTGATCGCAGCTCGTACGTGGCACTCGTCCGTTTCTGTTCCACCCTGCTGCTTTGGCGTATCACTGATGATTTTTTCCCTCGGCCCTCGCACGCAGACCCCAATTACTACCGCCACACGTGGGATATTCCCGTGTGCTGGTACACGGGTGAGTACTTGCGCTTCCCGTTTGTGCAGACGATACTCTTCTTTCCAGCCTTCTTATTTTCCAAGGGAGCCATATTCTTGCTCTACAAGCGGCTGTTTGCCATTGGAAAGCGCATGCGTCTCGCTATCGACGTTGGTCACCTGGTCACACTGCTGGTGTACCTGTCCAACGTCCCGCTTGCCGCCATCTACGCAGCGCCACGGGTTGGACACAGCTGGGAATCGCTCCTGGAGAGCCTGCAGACAAACTCACACCCATTTGCCTTCGGCGGAGCCATACAGAGTGCCATCGGCACAGTGCTGGACATTTACATCCTCATCTTGCCGCTCCATATTGTGTGGCATCTCCGGATGCCTCTGGGGAAGCGATTGCAGCTTGTCGGGGTATTTTCCACTGCCGTACTGTGAGTTAAACATCAAGACGTCGAAACAGTCAACGACGTAAAAAGAGCCACATGTTTAACCGCTGGCCTTTATTTCCTCATCTAGGGGTATCGCTGCCAGCATCGTGTCCCTGGTTTTCAAAATCCAGATCTTGTCCTCTGCCGACTCCTCATGGCTAGCAGGTATTACCAGCATGTGCTCGTAAGTTCCATAGTTTCCACTTGCTGCTATCTGGGGGAGGGGGTGGGGAAATTGTGAAGACAGGCAGGCTAAAACGCAAGTACACAGGCTCATCGAGGTCAACATAGCCATCATGGAACCTCAAAAGCACTCAAGGGTTTCATACTTGAGAGGGGCATTCCTATGCGGGGCATAAGATGGAACATTTACGCATGTTCGTGGGCCAGAATAAGAGTATCGGGCATCCGTGATCCTGAGATACAAGGTCGAGATTAGCCAACCTGCCTGTAGTAACAACTTGAAGGTTGAGACATACTCACCGTTCGGTACAGTTAAAAGGCATGGCTCTGGAAGATCACGACCTGCCGCTTTCTGCTCCTCATAGAAATCATGATAATTTTCTGTGATCTCTAACAAGAAGGTTGCATGCGGCATCAGCATTGCGCCATTCCAAACAGGGTCGTTGCCGTCAGGGCCGGGATAGACAAGCCCATCCTCTTGAATGCGGAAGACATCTTGGGGGAGAAGGTTGTCCCGCTCGGTAGCGTCTAAATCTAGACTTGAAGTCAGGCTATCAATGGTAGTAGCGTGCATGGCCATTTTCGGCCCGCGCCAGGAGTAGTAATGAAGAGTACATGGGAAAAGGTCGCGGTAAACGCTTTTGGCGGGCAGGTGTGTGGCTTGCAGCTGTCGCGCCATCATGCCGCATGATGACCGCGGAAGGGTAAGACGCAGCCGACGTAGTGCAGCTCGGGTAATGGGCATGATGGTGTGCCGGTGCCAAAATACTACCTAGGTATGGAGGCAGAGAACGATGAGCGAGAGGAGAGATGATTGGGGTTAGGTTAGATTAGGGCTAACATTACTTTGAAATGATAGTACTATAAAATCCATTTGCACCTCCCCTGGTAGGTAGCCCACTATCCGTAAGCCCTAACTTTCGTCATCTAGGTATTTATGTGAGTATCCTAATTTAATACAGGTGCACATTGAATTGGGACCCTAGGACCCACACACAAAAAGTACAGACCCATTAACAGTTGAAGGTGTGTTTCTCGTGACAACTACTTGCACATGGGTTTGCACAGAGCCCTTGGCAGTCCATGTGCCTTGACGGTGAGGGCTTTCCGGTGCAAACCCCAGTGGCGAGTTCCAACTCGCAAATATCAGCCATTCTCTGGCTGTCCCATGCTCCTTCGGTTCGATTGATCGATCTCAGCATCGCAATTGCTCTCCTCCTGAGGTCCTCGTGCTCGCAAAACGAAGCGACAAACGATACAGGAGGGATGGTGTCCGCCTCGAAAGTGAACATGGGATGTGTGCCCCGGCTGGCAGCAGGAATGACGATCTCGGCCTGGTGCAGTATATCCTCGTAGTACTTCCGGGGCAGGGGGCAGTCGCAGAATGGACCTGACTTTAGCATTGCCACCCACACCTTGCGGTGGAGCGTCAGGACCATGGCCTCGTTGAACTCCTCCACGGAGGCTGGGGTATGATTGATGCTCTCGAGATACTGGTCGAAGCGGCTGCACCATTTTTCAAACCTATCACAAATCGCCTCGAACTCGGGCTTCCTAGAGATTGGAGGGTATATAAGGGCATGTCGGGTTCGTAAAAGATAGCCCTGATCCGATGTGTCCGTGCATGACTTGCCACAAGCTTGTCCGCACGGCCCATCGCGCATGTCTTCGTGCTTGTCAGACTCCCAGATCGAATGGAACTCTAAGTCGATGCCTCGTAGCTCGTCACGGGCAGCGGACGACGACAGGAACGGGCCCTCGTCGTCGCCACCGCTGAGAGCATGCGATCTTTGGCGGTGGACGGGTGGGTCCCACATGAGGATGGAGGTGTCGAGGCTGAGACGTTCAAACATGTCTGAGATACCACCCAGACTGCTCTCGTCGTATTTCATCTTTGTAACCTGGGAAGACATGCTAGATCCTTCGACCAGCAACGTAGAATCCCTGTCCTGCATCGAGTTTAGAACTTCAGCCCCAGCCCGGAGGTGTTGTAAGGCAACGACATGTCGCCCGTTGAGATTATCTATGCAGACAAAGAGCAAACAGCAGATGAGAATGGCCTGGATGTCGAGTGGAGAAGGGTCGCTCATGATTGGGGTGAGTTCTGATATTGCTTTATTGTATTGCTGGATGGCGAGGTGATCGTAGGTTTGCGTTTCTATCGGTGGCATGCCGAGCGAACGTCTTAACAGAAATGACTTGTGCGAGGCACCGAGGGAGATCAGAGCATGCTTGACCGGATTCACCGCATGGCCAATGGGCAGAACAAAGTCTCGCCAGAATCCGGACAGGGATGTCGAGTACCCAATGAGGTCCTTGATAGTATATTGATTGGCATGAAGGAACAGGGACTTCTCTGGCGGGCTGGCGTGCAAAACCCCGAAGTTATCGAACGAGTTGAGCATATCTAGGCCACGATTTGAGGCAAGTATAATTTCTGATGTCGGTCTCGTCTGCGGTCTGGGCTTCGGCCTCGCATTTGTTTTTCTCTTGTAGCATCGAGGCTCTTGGGGCTGCTCGTAGCCATCGCACTTGTAGCCATTATCCCGGCAGCGCTGGCAGATGGGTTTTGCCTCGTCGCATTTCTTATGTCGAATCCTGTCGTCGTGTTGGTACAAGCAGATAGGACAATAATCGTTTGCCAGGCAGCACTTACTTGCTATAGTGAGGTGCGGGATTAGACTCATTCACAATTACGGACACGCACAAGGGAACAGAACAATAGTTACGCACCATGTTAGACAGCCAGTACGGACTTTGGGGAACTTTGCCCTGGTCCGTTTGGGCTTTAGCTGCGACATACATTCCGTTTGCTTAGGACCCATGGCCGCCTAGGGAGATTGTGACGAAGATGATGGCGATCGCTAGGCGGCGGCAGACAGCTCTGTACGGAAGGCCTTGTACTATTAAAGCACAGAGCATCTGATTGGGGTGGACTGTCGTCGGCCAAATGGGGCTACGGGGACATTTAAGCTTTGTCCCCTGCCTGTCAAATCGTCTTAAAATAGGTTCGATCCACCCGGCGTGGAGTAGTGGAGTCTTTGGTAACGGCTCACGTATTATCCCGTCCTCAATATCGGCATGGTCTACCTCAGCCAAGGCTCTGAGAGGCTAGTGCCGTGGCTGAGACTGGCAGCACGAGTCTTTTCAGCGGTGTTAGCTGCACATGCAAGTGCTAGGATGGATTGGTTTCCCCGTCGCCTTACTAGTATTCCATGGGGGTTCCCGGCCGTTTACATGGCCAGTCGTGCCAGCCATGCCTGAATACGATTGTGCTAGCTACTCTTGGAGCATGCTTCGTCCATTCCACGGAGAAAGACCCACTCCTCATATGTGTTCCAATGTTGTTTCTTCGTATTGAATCGGCGACGATGCCCCCCCCCCGGCCCGCCTGCGTTAAGGTGTTCTAGTTCTAGGTCGTCGCCTAATCCATTCGATCCGATCCCTGACATGAGCCCCCTTCATCAACCCTTGGGAAACCAGCCCACAGCCATCTCCCATGCGTGGCCCCACACATAGCAAACACCAGGGAGGACGTGTCGAAACGTTGCACCGGAAGCTTGTTACGGCCCGATGCTTTTGGAACGAACCGTCAATTGGTCGCAGCGGGGGCAGTCATGATCATAAAGATTTCCGAGCAATTGCTGGCTTCACAGGCCATGACTCATCTGCACAGCCTAAGAAACTATTATCTCAGTGTAACCTATTACGGACGAGCCAATGCAGGCCTGGTTTTCATTGGAATGATGGCGGTGCTTCCACAGCCTGGCTGCATTGGTACACTAGATATCTTAAGTGCTACTCCCTCGATCGACTCCATGCTCACCAGGGGACCCACCCGAGCTTTACCAGTACCTAAGTACGGTATTCTGTCACCGTGGCCCACTCTGACAGTGAGATAAGACGCCTATCATTCTGGTTAAGGTTCCCCTACATAGATCAACTTTTCTCACAGTGTGTGCACCGATTTCCCCCCTCTCGCCGTCGACGTTGGTGGTTGAGCCTTGCCCGGGACGTTAGCGGGCTCCCTGGACTTTTTCTCAGGTTAGCTTCATAGGCTCGCTGACTAGGCCACCTCAGGCTAATGTCAAAGCTGTCAGAGGGCAAGAAAATGAAAAATGCATTTTCACCTGCGTGAAGAAAGATAGGGGCCAAAATAGCTAGGCCAGTCATATTAAAGTATAGGTGTTAATTACTATAGCGCTCCTAAAGAGGTTTTTAAAAATAGTTATTAAACTATCCCTTCTACTTTATAATAATACCTTAAGTAATCTTAAATACCTTAAAATTATTTCTTTATTAATACTTTTTAATAATAATTATAAAATATATTAATATTTTTCTTTAAAATTAAATTTTCTTTAAAATTAAAAAATCTTTAAAACTTTTTTTTTCTTTTATAACTTTTATTTAAAGCTTTAAAATATAAAGGAAATTTAATTAAAATTAATTATATAAATAAATAAGTAGAGAGTTAATTAAAGGTTTACTATTCTTTTAAGAATAGTCTTAAATTCTATAATATTTTAAAATTAAAAATAATAAAATCTTAAAATTTATATTAAAAATATTAAATATTTAAATTACTATAAAAATAATATTAAAATATAGCTTAAAATTTTATAGATTTAATAATTATATTTTTATATTTATTAAACTTTAATTAACTAAGAAATTAAGGGTATAAGTTTAGACTTTTAAAGACTTTACCCTTTTAATAAGTATATAAAAAAGATACTTTTAATTTAAACTAAAACTTCCCTTTTTAAAGCTTTTAATTAATTAAAACTATTTCCTTTAATTTCTTTATATAATTAATTAAACCTTTTTTAATTAATATTAACCTTAGCTAATCTTTAGCTTTTAATTAATTTATTTAAATTTAAGTTTAAAGTAATAATATACTATTAAAGTAAGTAAGTAAAGTAAGTAAATAAAGGTAAAGTACTATTATACTTTCAACTAATTATAACTTAATATTTATTAAAGAACAATTATTAAAAACTTATAATTAACTATTAATTATAAACTAACTATAACTATTAAAAGGTAGTAGTAATCTTATATAAAATATAGTAATAATCCTATATAAAGTATAATAATAATCTTATATAAAGTATAATAATAATTTTATATTTTAACTAATTATAAGTAAGTATTTACTAATTAATTACTTAAAAGAATAGCCTTTATAAGCTTTAAAAAGTATTTATATAATATATATTAAAGAAAAAATTATTAAATAAATAGAAAATAATTTTTTAATTAATTTTATATTAAAATAAAAGAGTAATATTAAGGAATTATAAAAATTAATATCTTTTAAAAATCTATTTTTAAAACTCTTTTAACTTAAATACTATTAAAAGAAGAAATTATTAATAGTTATAATTATTATTAAATTATAATAAAGTAGAAATAATTTTAAAAACCTTTAAAAGTATAATATATTAATTATAAGTTTTAAATTAGGATTATAAAAGATATATTTTATAATATATTAACTTTATAATTTTAATAATTATTAATTTTAATTTTAACTAATTTTAATAATATTATATTTTTATTTAATTATATATTTATCTATTTATTATCTTTTAATTTTAAAATTAATTATTAATTTATATTTTAAATATAAAATTAATAATTACTTAATATATTCTTTTAAACTTATTTATATATAAAGTTATTAACTTTTTTATAAAGCTTTTTTATTATATTTTTATATATTATATAAAATAAATAAATCTTTAATAATAAAATAATATATTTAAAAAAGAAAGATTTAATTTTTAAATATTAAATTTTTACTTTCCTTATATAATATTTATTTAATATATAATAAATAAACTTTATTTAATTTTTTAAAAAAGTTTAAATTTTTTTATAAAATTTATATAAAAAAACTTTTTTAAATAAATTTATTATTATTATTAGTACGGGTTATTATATATATATATATAAAGAGTAGTTTAGTTAGTTAAGTTATATATATTAGTGTTAATTAGAGGTCTACCTATCTAGGCGCTTCGCCGCCTAGCTAGGTTAGCTAGACCTACTAACTAAGCGTAGTCTATACGTAGGCACGGACCCACTAATCCTACTTATAGTAGCTAATCCACTGCAGCCTACTATTCCTATAATTATAATATTATTATTTTATTAATTATATATTTAAAATAAAGATTATATTAATTTATTTAATAAAAGTAAATTTAAATAATTATATAAATTATTTATATTTTTTTTATTTTATTTTAAATTAAAAGTAAATAATTAAAGTTTTAAAAATAAAATATAATATATCTTTTAAAATTAATTTAATTAAATTCATTATATAAAACTTTTATAATAACTTTATAATTTATATTTATAATACTATTTATTATTAAAAATACCTTCTTATATTAATATATTAAGTTATATTTATTTAAATTAATATTATTAACTTATTAAAAGTTAAAGCTATTATAAATTATAAAATAATCTTAATATTATTAAATACTATATATAGGATTATTATATATATTAAATAAGTTAATTAAAATAAGTAAAAATAAAGCTACTATTCCTTTAATTAAAAATATATATAAGTTTTAACTTTATTTAAATAAATACTTATCTATTAAACTTAAAAGATTATTAGCTTTATAAGTAAAACTACTTAAAAATAATTATTTAATTAAACTATAAAATAACCTTTAAATAAAGTAACTATACTTTATTATTTAAGTTTATAGTTTTAATATCGTTAAGACGGTGCCTCTTAACCTTATTTATATATTATAAAGCTAAGGTTATAAGCACTTATTATATTATAATTATTATTATTAGAATTATATTCTTTCTAAGCACTAAGTTTTAAATACTTACTATTATATAAAAGTATTATATATATTCTTAGATATATATAAAATAGAAGTAAAATTATATATATAGTTTTAATAATTTTATAAAAAGAAATAATTATTAATAATTAAGTTTATAACTATATAAAGGTTAACTTTTATTTTTAAAAAGTTATTATTATTTAAAATAATTAATATATTTTAAAAAGTTAAAAGATTATAAACTTAATTTAAAATAAATTAAAATCTATAAAAATCTTAAACTTAAACTTAAAAGCTCCCTTAAATTTAACTTCCTTAAAAAAATATTAAAAACTTAAAAAAGTTTAAATAAAGTTAAATAAAATTATAATAATATAATATAATTAAATAAAAACTATATATAAAATTATAATTATAAATTTTTAACTTTATATTTAAAAGGATTAAATAATTATATAAAAGTATATTAATAAGATAAAATTAGTTTATTAAATCTTATATTATAAAATTTCTATTTTATAAAAGTTATTTTAAAATTATTTTAATTTTATTATATAATTAGTTTACTAACTATTAATTTTTAAATTATTTATATTAATAATTTTAATATAATATTATTAAAAATAATATCTTTTAATTTTATTTATATAATATAAAGTTTAATTATATATTTATATATTATATTTTTCTTTTATTATTATTAATATTATATTTTTTTAAATATAAAATTTTAAGTATTTATTATTATATAAAGGTATTATATATATTTTATATATATAGGAATGAAAAATGAAATTACTCTAGTCCTAACTATATATTACTAGTAACTCGCCTTTAGTCCTTTAGTCCCAAGGTTGTGAGGGCCTCCACTATCGACACAGCAAACAGAATTTACCATGAAGCCGCCGATGTATCTTCTTGGTTGATTGTCCGGAGTTGAAAACATCATTTGATGTCACTACTACAACGCGTACCGGAATAGCCGATCCTCCCTGTCCGTCAAATCACTCTTGAGCGCACCTGTTCCATCCAATAACACTTGCCCCCCACGGGCATCCTGCGCCACACCATTACCGGCGTTCTCTTCGGCCGCCCGCTTGGAATTGTCTTTGTCGCAAACAAACCGATACCAAAGAATAGTCGTAAACAACAGACACCACGTCACAATGGCGGTGACAACCCCAGAGAAGTATCTCGGCTTATGCGTCCACAACTGCGGCGCCCCAATACAGCCCGCACAGTACCCGATGAAGAACATGGCGTTGACGATGGACCGCTTCGTGTTTCCCTTGACGTTCGAGGCTGTCAGGGAGATGAGAATGGACCATGGCGCAGTGATGCAGGATGACAGCCACGACGCGGTGATCATTCCCCAGCCAGCGCCCAGGGACAGCTTCAAGAGACAGATGGTGCCTGCGAGGGGCGGAAGCACGAGGGCCAGGGCAACAAGTGTGCGGTTTCGCGGCATCAAGATGCATCCGAGCACGCCAATCCAGAGCATGGCGATCTGGACTGCACCTGATGGAGCTGTGTACAGCATTGTGTGATACTTGTCGTAACCAATATTGTTGATTACAAGTGAAGCAAACTATCATACAGTCAGCAGGCAATTCTTTTTGGAAATCCGTAAAAGGGGGCGGGAATCAAATATTTACCGTGAGCACGGGAGACTGCATCGTGACAAGCACCCCAAACGCAAAGACAAACCACGACTTTGGGTCGGTCAGGGCCTCCCTCAGCTGGGCCACTGAGAAATTTGTCTTGTCGCCGCCTTCTCGATCTCGGACCATCCGTACGGACAAGACCTCTTTCTGTCGAGCGTCAAGAAACCATGCATCTTTAGGCCCATTAGGCATGAGAATAAAGAAGACGACTCCGGCAGCAGAGGTCAGGGCGCCACAAATGAGGAAGAGCACTCTCCAGGGAGCAAGAGGCAAAGACGTGTTCTTTCCAATGCCATACATGAGCAAGCAGCCGATGATTTGTGCCACGCCGTTCATTGTAATCCAGAGCCTGCAGAAGTTATGAGGGCCATGTACCTTTTACCAAAGGGGCAGTTCCACTTACGCTGTTCGAGAGGCATGCTCACTTTTGCGGTACCATACACTAGTGATCGTGATAAATGCCGGCGACACCGCACCCTCGGCGAATCCTAGCAAGAATCTGACGGCGGCGAACCCGGCAAAGTTCGTTGGAGCAGCAAGGCACATGCAGATAGCGCCCCAGACGACCACCGTCACGCCAACAAACTTGGTAAGATGGAGCCGACTCATCAGGTAGATAAATGGATACTCGGCAATGAGCTGGCCAACATAGAATATGGAGCTACACCAAGAGTATTCTTGGCTGGTCATTTTCAAATCCGTAATGAGACCAAAAATCTATTAATAACGTTTAACTAACTACCAAGTTCTGAGGGATGGCGCTTTTGTCGGTGGATGGACAAGACTCACACTCGCATAGCTTAAACTCTGCTTGTCCAAATACTGGAGAAAGAAAACGGCACACATCATGGGCAAAATTGTAAGATCGATCTTGCGCACGACCGCTCTCTCTTCCTCGGCAGTGTATGGCTCCCCGACATCCGCAGCACTGTTGGGCTTCTCGTCGAGTTTGGTACAGTCCGACGCATCTTGAGCAGGAGGACCTGTCGTTTCTGGCAGCTCGTCATCGGGCGGGGAGATCATCGTAACGGTTGACTTGACTTGACCGACCAATTCAAGTTGTGGTTGTAAGATGGAAGAACAACTGCATCAACTCCTTGGGAGGCGTGTTATCTACAGTGGAGCCGGGCCGCAGTCGCTGCTAGTACCTAGGTAACGTTAGTCTGCACTTTCGCATCTATTCACTGGGATCTCCACTCAAAGCCGACAAGAAATGTTGATCGCATAATAGTCTGCACACTCATGGTAGGCGGAGGTGCGATAAGCAGCCGGCCTCTGGCCTGAACCGGATGCCGCTCGAGCGGACTATGTAACTATGGCCGTCCCGGTGCGAAGAGGGGACGCATTGCTTTTGCGGAGAGCTCCGAAGATCCGCCGACACTGATGAAAGCCGGGACTTTGGAATGGAGTTTGTTTCTCCTGTCGTGCCACAACTTTTCCCTCCGTCGCAAAATACGGTCTGAGCAGCTCGCCAAAAAAAGACTCTAGAATGGTTACCGAAGCACAGCTTAAGCCCTGGCTGCGGCCAGCTCTCAAGAGCTACATCCTGACCAATGCCAACGTCGTCGACGTGACCAACGGCTCCATTCGCAAAGGGGCAACTGTCAAGATCAAGGACGGCCTCATCATCTCGGTTGAAGATACCCCCGACACCCTCTCCCATGCCCAGAATGAGGGATCCGAGATCATCGATTGCAAGGGCAAATTCCTGAGTCCGGGGCTCATTGACTCGCACGTCCACATTATGGCCGTCCCGGGCTTTGGGGATCTCTCCAAGGCGTTTGGAAACCCCAACGATGTATCGGTGCTCCGTCAGCCGTACGTCTGCGCGCAAATGCTATACCGGGGTTTCACGACAGTGCGGGACTGTGGCGGCGCACTTCTGGCGCTGAAGGAGGCCATCGAGGACGGTGTGTTCCCGGGCCCTCGGCTCTTCATCGCAGGCCATGCGCTCTCCCAGTCCGGGGGACATGCAGACTACCGTGGGCCTCACGACGATAGCATGTGCTGCGGCGGCACCACCACTGGCTTGGGCAGGATAGCAAATGGGGTGCCTGAGTGCATGCAGGCAGTCAGGGAGGAGATCCGGACCGGGGCGGACTTTATCAAGATTATGGGTTCGGGTGGGGTGTCGAGTCCGACAGACAAGATCGACCATCTCCAGTTCACGGGGTCCGAGATCAGAGCCATGGTGGAATGTGCTGCGAATGCAGGGACATACGTGACCGCACATGCCTATACGGCCCAGGCGATACGACACTGCATCGAGAATGGTGCCAGGGGTATCGAGCACGGCAACTTCATCGATGAGCCAACGGCTAAGTTGATGGCGGAGAAAGGCTGTTTCTTGACACCGACCCTCGTAACGTATGCTGAGATGGCATCGCCCAAGTGGAAAGGGTACCTGCCTCCAGAGTCTGTCTCGAAGAACGAAGCAGTGTTGCAAGCCGGCCTGCAGGCATTAAAGACTGCCTCAGATGCTGGCGTGACTATCTGCTACGGGACGGACTTGCTTGGCCCCCTCGGAACGGCGCAAACATATGAATTCTCCTTGAGATCACGAGTCTTGTCACCACTGGCCGTGCTGCAGAGCGCGACCATCAACCCTGCTCGTCTGATCAAACGGGAAAAATCACTGGGGCAGATCAAGCCCGGGTTTGAGGCAGATATTTTGATCCTTGATTCCAACCCCCTGGATGATGTTACAATCTTTGATGATCCTGAGAAGAACGTCCTGGCCGTGATCAAGGAGGGTAGGATACAAAAGAGCAGGTGGGAGGCTTTCATAGAGGATGCGATTTCACCAGTGCGAATCAAGCCATCCATATAAATGAAGAGTCGTCACGTCACTCGTGTTAACTTATAAGAAGCATGTTATCAACGGTTCATAGTCAATATAAATCAAGAGGGTGCAGCTTGGGAGACAACCTATCGATGAGAAAATTAAAGGCAGTCGATGAGTCTGTTCTCCTGCATACCAATCTTGGAAGGCGCTTGCCTACACTTTTAGGATAACTATGCGCAAAAGGACGCGGACGATGACTGTGTGCGAGTTCTTCTGGCTCTTGCAAGATCAATCCGTTCAGTTCTATACCTGTAGTGGATGCATGCTCTTCCTACCGCCGTTGAGCGACATATTATTAACCATTAACTGCTTGCTGTACCGGATGGCAGGCAGATTCCTCTGCATCCCTACGCTCACAGCTCAAAGCATCGTATCCATCCAAGTACCTCCTCGCTAATTGAGTGCCGAACGTTGCGGGTAGGACGCAAAATTTATGGCCACTCCTCCACCATTGACGACGATATTCTTTCCAATTTCCCTCGGATGAGCAACTGTCCAATACCATCCATCGTACCACCATGGAAAGGGGCTGACATTGAAGTTGTCCCTGCATCCGATGGCGCCCCACAGGTCGAACCGGTAGCATTGGACCACTTCTTGGCCCTCTGAATGTGTGAGAAAGCTGCAAGGAGTCTATGCGACGGCGCCTAAATTGCGTATGCCTGGCCCGGACACGCTACAATACATAGTGGCATGTATGTCAGACTCCCCGAGGTGTAATCAACACAGCACCAGCGAAATTGTTACACCAACGGTAGAGCACTCGTCTCGAAAGCTGTCCTTTCGCTTGCCATTAGCCTGTAGAAGTCTTTTTGTTGATAGTATCGTTCCCATCAGATCGCATTTGACGCGCGTTCTCCAATACTTGACAAAACAACGCCCAGGACCCACCATCCTGGCTTGCTGTCTTCGCAGGCCGGCTCTCCCCTCTCGCTTCCCCGGTTCCTGTAGAAGTCTTTTTGTTGATAGCATCGTTCCTATGAGGTTCTAATTGAAGCCTGTTCACTAATGATCCAAGTAATGCTCGAACGAACGCCCGGGATTCCATGTCTTGGATTTCTGTTGTCGTAAGCTGCCGCTGCGTTGGACCAGGTGGGTGAGTGCCCGCAGTGCGATCTCTTCTATACTCCACCTCCTTAAGATCGGCCAGTTCAGCATCCGTGATATGGAAGCGCATTCTTCGTAACGCCGCGTGGCGTTGCTCCTCGGCCTGGGCGATTTCGGCATCGGTGGCCGGGATGCGAACTTTTCGTGGTGCCGCGCGACTCTCCTTGCACTGTGCGATTTCGGAATCAGGGATGGTGAAACGGATTTGTCGTAGTGCTGCAAGTGTTGCCTCAGATAGTGGTTTACGCTGTTGGATCACGATGTTGCCGTCCTGGGGTTGCTTCATTTTGATGGTATTGTAAGTACCTGCAACATGTATGTGTTGTATTTTAAAGATGTCAAGGGGTTGGATCAAGACGAGGAGTCGTGAGATGAGAAGAGGTCAGCGGCTACAAGCTTTTACGAATAAACACAAGCTTCACTTGCGACTTCCCTGTTGATCTCCTACCCAATGGTGACGCGCACGGAGGGCGGCGGCAGGCGGAGGAAGGTCCAATTCTGCCACCCCGCGCTCTGTGGTCAGTTATTGGCGAGCCAACGTGTCAAAATTCATGCCCGGATCTGCTCCTGTGGCCGCTACCTGCACAGCATCCATTCGATAGGCTACCTGGGCGATTCTCACTGACCTGCTCCCTTGATGGGTGTGCCTGGGCAGGCTTACATGGCGAGGGTCGTTTTGAGTGGTTGTCGAGTGTATTGATGGGGAAGAGCCAAGATTCTTTTTCTTTTTCTTCCTCTTTTGGCTGGGTCTCCCTCTGTGGAATTCTTCTCATATAGGGGCCATCTTGAGACTGTCAGAGTCTCGTCGCATGACTGCTTTGCTGCATACTAGCCCTCGCTTTACTTGTGTGGACGATCGGCGGCGCCGTCAGTAGCTACACCTCCGAGCCTTGTCTCGGTCCCAAGACATCTTGGAGGCTCCGGCAATGTGCCCTCGCATTGAATTCTCTCTGCCCTACTATTGGCATCATACCTTTTTCAAAAAAGGAAAGCTGGGTCTTAAGAGTTTACCACTGTTTAAAGGCGTCGCATACGTTTCTCATACATGGGGATGAGAAACAAGGCCACACGGGATAGATGCAATAGGGCTCGGAGCGAGTGGAGAGGTGAGCCCATGGGAAAGCTACACGAGCTGGATCAGGTAGTTGGACGGAGAAGAATTACTTCATGATCCATGTCCAACAGTTGATCTGTTGCCAGTTCTCTCTTTCCTTTCGAAACTCGGTTTTACAGTCAGGTTAGGAATAGAAACACAGTGATGATTGCTTTCGATGATCGCTTTCCTCGAGAGTTCGTACCTACCCTGGTACTTAGCAGAGAATGCCAACCTAATCCTTCATGTACGTAGCCTTTCCCAAGAAACTGACCGCGGGCCGAATGCTGTGCGACGAAACACTTGTCAAGAAAAATCCACCTTCGTTATCCGTGTCATCACAATCGCCTTCTCAGGTCCTTTCAGAGGCGACGTTGACTCGTCGCTGTCTCGTGTGTCCTTGTCGGTGCTCTCACGCAGCTCGAATTCTTCCCATGGCTTTGTCACGTCGCCCTTCGGGTCGTAGTATGCACGGGCATGGTTTCCCGTAAAGCTACGCCCCATTATGCTTGCTCTCCCAGTCTCCCCTGACGTACTCAAAGCTCTTCCGGCTGAATATGGTGCTCCGTATTTGTCGTATCTCTGGTATGTGTGGGTTCCCGCGTAAGTGCCAGTGCGGGTCGTGGATGACGTGATCCCGCGGATCTTGGCCTGCAATGTCTTCAACAGTGGCCGACATGGTGGAATGCATCCTCCAATGAGCACTATCCACGCTTCAATAATGGTAGTTGTGGATAGCCGAGCTATGAAATATGTTATATCGCCCTCCTCGTCGGCTCGTTGGAGATTCGTGAGCTCTGCTGTTTTCAGGGCGGAACAAGCGGCCGCGACCAGACCAAATCCCAGTAGAAAACAAAGGCCGATCTTCATACGCATGGTGACTTGTAGACCCCAAATCAGGTAAATAGGATATATGGCAAGAGCAGCATCCGAAACAGCAGAGTAGCCTATGGTGAAAATTAGCCTGGCTCACTGGGTAGAGGTTGACTTTGGGATGGGAGCGAGACATACTGCCCTGGAAGTACGCATACTTCAAATTGGAGGCCCTGACGTTGCACTGGCCAGGGACTCTCTCATCCCATATCTTTTCGACTGGTGAGCATTGTAAAAAGATGGTGATAACCACGGTGATATTGACGACGATGTTAGACGCTCCAATGAACCAGAGGAACCACGGCCTGCCTTTGTGGCGACCTCTGATCTGGTCTAAGAATGCGATGATAGCTAGCTTTCCGATCACGATGCCTATTATTGCCGACACCATGTTGATCCAGCTGGTGCGCACAGCCTCGACAACGTCATGGTGCCGGAGATCGTGGGTGTGAGCGCCAATACCAAAAGTAATACTGACGATGAAATAGGCTTGGCTAAGACAGAGAAGAACCTGCAAATTGTCAGCTGCATTTCTTGCTCATTGGGATGTCCGTCTTACGAATGTGACGAGAGCCAGCCAATAATCCAGGCGAAAACGCTTCGTACATGTCCAACTGGTGTAAGTTCTGGCCGAAATTGCACAAATCCCTAAAATAGCAAACAAGAGGGATAGACTGAGGAATAATACGCCATCACCAGGAAGCGTCGTCCAGTTTGGGGCCATGATGCCGGACTAGAAGGGAGTCAGCGACCTTTCGACTGGAAAGGAAAGGTCGCCTACCCCATGAGCAGGAGGCAATTCGTGTCTTTATTCTCAAGAGGTGAAGCTGGATTTCATGTTGCGATAGAGCCTAGTGGCTCAGATTTAACCTTTAAACTTGGCATACAAATCCTGAAACCACTGACACGCATACTCCCGACGAACTATACATTGATTTCAGGCTCGGAAAATCGCCGGCGGAGCGGTATAAAAAGCGGATTATACCCCAGCGGACGCCATCGCAGCTGACTACTTCGAAACAGGTAAAGCCAGCGGCGCAACGGCCCTTGGCAGAGCGAGGGTACGTCTCCCAGCCCGTCGGTTTGGGTCCATGGCGAACATTGTCTGTGTGTTGCGTTGACCACGGATCATCCCAATCGTACAGACCATAGTCAATGGTACTCCATGGTAAATGGCCCCATAGAGCCGTAAAGAAAAAAGAATGCTTTCCCAATATTTTACATTGTCCGCATAACCTGCATCTACCTCGAAGTCGCCCAAGTGAGCTTCTTGGCTTCCTAAATGACACACCGACCCCACACATCCAAGTTCAGGATCGTCCGGTCATATCTCCGGAGTGCGTTCAAAGCCCGGCTGCGTGTATTTCATGCATGAGTCTTGGCATAATTCGTACACAGTACTCGTCATTGCAACCATCTTTACCTTGTAAGTTTCCCATAGTCTTGAAGACCATGATCGTCTCCTATACTGGGGTGTGATCCGTCGTCTGAGCTTTGGCGAATCACCAGTCGTGGAACATCACCCACTAGAACGCTTCTCCGGTCTCAGCACACCCGAATAGGCCACTGGCATATCGACTAGACCGTGGCTGCAGAACAATTTGAGACGACTGCCGTATAGTCCCGAGCTTCCGTTTCGAAAGAACAGAAGCCCAATACCTGCCAACGGCTGCCGCGGGGATGGAAGCATGGTCATGACGAGCATTGTATGTCTAATCGAGATTACTACCACAGTTCACGGCTGGGTATTCCTGACGTGTAAAGATGTTCAGTCTGTGCCAGTTGCGACGTTTAGATGGCATGGGTAGGGTGACCAATACCTGTCCGTCGGAACTCATGCTTCCAGCGGTTTCACCTAGCATCTGTCACCCTGCAGCACCAGTGGCCGCCCCGGATTTCACGTTTTTGGGACCAGGTTTCGACGCACCCCGCATAAACTTCTGTTAGTGGTCCCGAATATGAGATGGACATGGTCAAGTGATTCGCGCCTCCGCATCTGCCGACAGCATCTGATCAGACGTTGCATCTCGGTACCAACTGAAATCTTGTTACAGCTACCCCTCAGCTCAAATAAACTTCCTCCCATATCCATCCACCTCCCGCAATACGGATTCGGCAGGTGGATTTTTGAAGCGCAGTGTGTTACTTCCGTGATGGTTGTTCCGCAAATGTTGTAAGTTAGCACTTCTCATGGCTGTGCACAATGTCTATTCACAGCATGGCGTCTACAACCAGAGTATTTGACGGCGGGATAATAGCAATCTCCATGTGGTTGATATTTGTGCCAAAATTTTAAACGGTGCTAATATTTAATTTGCGAGACACTTGACTCCTCTTCCCAGTGCCACACGTCACTCTTTGACTCTCGAAATGTGGCCATTCCCATAGTCTCTGCCTTCTTACTACCCTACCCAGGTACGCAATTTGTAAGATGATTTTAAGATTTCCATTCATTTGTCTTCAATAATTTGATTATACCATCAAATCTTTCAAGCCTACCTAGGTATCTATGATAGTACCGAATGGTATAGCCAAATGTCAGTCAACCCGCATGTCTTAGCTGACAGGTGACAACGAATTATGCTAACCAATGACAGGATCAAAGGCCATGTATCTGGGTACCTCCCCACAGGTGGAACCCCCTGTACTGTAATTCCTATTCATGCAAGCCGTGCTCGAGGATCACTTCACAACCCAGCGGTTGCTCTTGATAGTCCCCGATATTTGAGATGCTGAGGCGTTGTAAAGATATTTGAGGGCTGTAACTGTTCCCTGACGATGCTAGGTTAAGAGAGGACCTGCAAGGATACATGGCCTGCGGGTGAGTGCCGGATCGCTGGTCTGATCCACACCGGATAATTTGTGCCAAGATAGTGTGATAGGTTTGAACATCGGTCCGACTCAACCGGTCGTACTGTCATGGTAGACTCGACTCGGACTAAGGCGGCAACGTTGTGTAGCGCCGATCACGAAGGGATACACCTAGCTAAGGCTTCCCTAGATGATACCAAGTGACAGAGGCAGCATGTGGCAAGGTCGTTCTCTTCAAGCATTCACGCTGGATGCACGAAGAGCTGTTGGGAGCAAGGTGACGCATTCCAAGTCTCCATCCCCCAGCCCTACCCAGCACGAGGCCAACATTGGCCAAGCCATCCGGTGGGATCAACAAACACGCAAGAAATCTGTTGCAACTATGTCAATGCAGTTTCTAATCCCTATATCTACCGATATCACGGCTTCCAAGGTTGTGGGGCGGCATCGAGCAAGAGGCAAGCAAAGCTGCAAGGAAAAGGTTGATTCAGTTTCCAGCCCCCATGGACACTGGGACCAAGACCTGCTGATGTCATGAAGAAGCAGGCAGGCGAATCTCATGGCATTGATCAACACTGAGGCAACTTCCTCGTTGGAATTCAGCCACCGCATGTCGCAAACGTTGCCCGCCAACAAGGCGGCATGTGAATGGCATAAGTCCCCGGCCAGCTTTGATGCCTTACTGACCTCAAATCTCGATTTTATTGAGAACGTGGAGTACTTTGGACGCGTAAAGAAGTCAAGGTCGGTCACTGAACTACATATGCAGTTAGGCGGTATCATAGACGAAGAATAAATCGAGATAGCTTTTTATCACCAGTGAGTACTTGGTGCTTTTCCACCAATTTCTAGAGATGAAGCTCCATCCCGAAGGCTGACAGGGGATCGTCTTGACGAATGTCCAAGAAGGTTCGCACCTCCACATCTGCCGACAGCATCTGATCAAATGTTGCATCTTGGTACCAACTTAAGTTATATTATTGCTACCCCTTAGTGTTAAATGAACTTCCTGCTATATCGATCTACTTCCTATAATACTAGCTTCTTAGGTCCTTCGCGGTGCCTATCTCAGGGACGGATTCAGGAAGTAGATTTTTAAAATGTAGTTATTTATTTTAGCGATCATTCTTTATATTAGACGTAGTGAAGCAAGGGATAAGGGCTTTACACCCGGGTCTAGGGGCCTTCCCGCCCTTAACCTCGCGACTTATAATTTATATATAATAAATAAAAAAGTAGATAGAATAGTTACTTTTATATATTAATTAAATAAGAATAAAGATAGATAAATTCTATTTAAAAGTTATTAAAAGAAAGGTATTTATTTATATAATTTTACTTTTATTTTATATATATTTAAAAAGATTTATAATATTTTTATATAGTTATAAATATTTATAATTTTAAATTTTTATATTATAAATATAATTATTAAATATTATTGTAATAATAATATTAATTATAATATTATAAAAAGATTATATATTAAATTAAAATTATAATTTAATAAAAAAGTTTAAATTAAAATATTATTTTTAAATATATATAAACTATTTATATATTTTATAATTTTATTTTAATTTAAAATAAATAGTTAAAGTTTTAAAAGAATAAAATATTATATATCTTTTAAAGATTAATTTAATTAAATTTATTATATAAAATCTTTTATAATAATTTTATAATTTATATTTATAAATTATTTATATTTTTTAATTTTATTATTAAATTAAAAGTAAATAGTTAGAGTTTTAAAAGATAAAATATAATATATTTTTAAAGATTAATATAACTAAGTTTATTATATAAAACTTTTATAATAACTTTATAATTTATATTTATAATACTATTTATTATTAAAAATACTTTTATATTAATATACTAAGTTATACTTATTTAAACTAATATTATTAACTTTAATATAAATTAGTTTATTAAAAGTTAAAGTTATTATAAATTATAAACTATCTAATCTTAATATTATTAAGTACTATATATAAGATTATTATATAACTTAGATATAAATATAAGTTAGTTAAAATAAGTAAAAATAAAAGTTACTATTCCTTTAATTAGGGTTCTAACTCTACTTTATAAGTAAATACTTATTAAATAAAACTATTTAAAAGTAATTCCTTAATTAAATTAAAAATAACCTTTAAATAAAATAACTATACTTTATTATTATATATAATATTTAAATTTATAGTTTTAATAACTTTATAAAAATAATTATTAATAATTAAATTTATAATTATATAAAGATAAACTTTTACTTTAAAAAAGTTATTATTATTTAAAATAGTTAATATATTTTTAAAAATTAAAAATTATAAATTTAATTTAAAATATATTAAAATTTATAAAATTTTAAATTTAAACTTAAAAGTTTTAAATTAAAGTTTATATTTATAAAAATAAAAGTTTTTATAAAACTTAAAAGGTTTAAATAAAATTAAATTAAATTATAATATAATAAAATAATTAAATAAAAATTAATTAAAAATTATAATTATAAATCTTTTAACTTTATATTTAAAAGAAATAATTTATATTTATAATATTATTTATTATTAAAAA